AGGTTGAAAAAGTGAGTGTGGGCCCCGTGGGTTATACCACACGGGGCTACCAAAGGTGAGAACGGGAAGGATGGTGGTAAGGTATAGCAAACGGGCTTGCGCAACCGTCATACCTCGCTGTGTGTTGGCAAGCATGCGGAAAGCGGCAACGCGGGACGAAGCCCTGGCTGCCATGACACGAATGTGGTGGGTGAAGGTTAGGCGTCAGTCATACCAGATGCTGAGCCAGCGCAAATATGAAGCCGGTTGAACGGTGATATCCCGCCCATCCCACTGAACCTGCAGGGGGGGTTGACGTCAAGAGAGCGTCTCGGGGAGGTAAAGTGTATAAGCTCAGTTTTCGCCATGCCAATGGTCAGCCCAAGCTGGTGAAGCGTGGCACCCACACTAGGTAGAGTGTGTTGGATGATGGCAGAGTTCTCATTTAGCGAGGGAGAAACAATAAGGAGGGCAAAATCGTCGATGTAGCCCGCCGTAGACTGCTGGGGGTGAGCGAACGGATCAAGGGTCGCATATAGCGGGGAAGAGTATATAGTAGAAAGGACTGGCGACAGAGGCGATCCCTGTGGGATGCCGAGCACAGCGACGTGATAAGACGGACCCAGCTCGGAATTGAGCTTGGGCCGCACGGTGCGCGATGAAAGGAATGACATGGTCCAAAGGACCTTGTTTGTGGGAAAGCCCAAAGAAAGGAGAGCAGAGTGAAGGACGTCGTGGTGAATGTTATTGTAATAGCCTTCGACGTCCATACACAGTAAGGTAGCGGAGAAACCCTTTTCCCATGTGGTGCGTACACGGTGCATCAGAGTGACTCCCGCATCCACGACGGAGTGTTGGCCTCGCCCACCAAACTGCGAGCCGGGCACAAGATTGTGAGCACCGATTTGAAAGTTGAAACGAGCAGCAACCACTTTCTCTAGGACCTTGCTCAGGGTTTCTAAGAGCGCTATTGGTCGGTGGGACTTGGGTGCGGTGTAATCCGCCTTGCCCAGTTTGGGCAGGTACACAACCACTGCAGCCCGAAGTGGGGCGGGGAGGTAACTCAGGCGCAAAGAAGAGGATAGAAAAAGAAAAAGAGCATGACACGCACCAGACTGCCAGACCCATTTTAGGAGCCGCCATGACACTCCGGAGATGCCAGGCGCTGAATAGTTAGATGCAGCCTCGATGGCAGCAGTTACTTCAGTGATAAGGAGGGGGCGGTCTGGGCGCGCTGCAGGAGGCGTAGAGGTAAAGAGAGGAGGCAGTTCAGGCAGGGGCGGAGACGCCGAAAAATAGAAACGTGTGAGTAGACGTCCCGCGTCGGCAGGGAGAGAGCCAGTCTCCCCGTCTGTGCGGATGACAGGTAGTGGGGGTGTCCGCACTCCTTTGGTCCATGAGGCAAGCCGCCAGGGATTGGTGTGCTGGAGTCACACGACCGCCTCCCGAGTCCAGTCCTTCCGAGCTTGTCGGATGGTGGCCGAGAGTGTGGCCTTGGCTGCACACCTCCCCTCACGAGTATGAGCCACCTGGACAGCTGCGCGGGCAGTGTCGCATGCATCGTTCCACCAGAGCTGAGAGGCCCGGTGAGCATGTGTGCGTCGGAGGAAAACTTCGTGGCAGGCCACGGACATTGCTCGCAGCAGAGCCTGAGCGCCCGCTTCGAGGTCATCATTGGTGGTATAGGTGGCCGGTGGTGAGGATAGCGCCAGCTCGCAGGCAAGGCACGTGTTCCAGTCATCCCGTTTGGACACGTCGACTCGAAAGCCAAGGTCAACGTCTACAGGGTGAGCAACGTGAGAGAGAGCAGAGGTTAGTAGAGCGTGATCAGATTCAAAGGATGTGGGAGTAGCGGCGACTCCGTGAACATGAAAATGCGCACTGGAGGTCGCGCAGACCAGATCGATGATGGTGCCTGAGAGCAGATCACCATTCACCATGTGGGTGGGTTGATCGAGGTCATTAAGAATTTCGAGCGACTCGCGCTCTAGCCACCCAGCGAAAGCAGTGGAGGCAGTGGAAGCAGAGCAGAAGGCCCGTCCGGTCCATGACCATAGGGGGTGATGGAGATTAAAATCCCCGGTGACAAGGAGGTTCGCTCGTGGTGGGAAAGGGATATCGTAGAGAATGGGCAGAACACGGTGTTGGGCTCACGAGCCTTCGTTATAGCAGTTGACCATGAAGAAGTCATGGGTGGGATCAGAGCGTGAAACAAAATGAAGGACGACCACATCTGGGTCCGACACCAGGTCGGTACGCATGGATATGTGATAAGTGTTTAAGAGCACGCGCCGGACCAGGATGCTGGCTCGAGGTCACGGCAGCGCAGAGGAGGAGGGGAAATGATAGGCGTCCAGGCCGTAGGGCCGGACATTGATGTGACCATAAACAGTAGTGCCTGATTCAGAGCCATGGGGGGTATCGATGCCGATTTGCCCCCACCACAGTTCTTGAAGAAAATAGATATCGTAAGAAGTGGAAGAAACGAAGCTGTGGACGCGCAGATTGGACCGGGCCACATTTAAATGAGCGGTTGTGATATTCTTGATGAGGGGTTGGTGTGCGAGATGGGAATGCGGTAATCTTTCCGCGCAGGGCAGGTGGTGTCGGTGGCACTGTGACCGTTGGTGCCACAGACTACACAGAAATAGTGGTCAGACTCGCAAGGCTGGTCAGCCGGGCGAGCCTCATGATTGCAGACAAGGCATGCCTGCCGATGCATATCGGACGTGTGGTCAGTCTTTCCACAGAAGCGGCACACAGGCGCCCGCTTCTTGCAGTGACTTTCGAGATGCGTGAGGCGCCAGCAACGAGTGCACTGATGGAACACGGGTTGATCTTTCGACTTCTTTACAGTGATGCGGGAGCCAAAGAACCAAATGAAAGCGGCAGCATCACCGTGGTTGTCATGTCCAAGGAGGTTACGCGCACAGTAGTCGCGATGGGCATCCTCAATGGAGACGATAATAGAGGACTTCCCGAGCTGCTCGCGATGCTCCTTAGGCACAATGAAGTCGGGTAGACCATTGAAGTGAACAGACGAAAACATGGCATTACGGCGTAGTTCCGCCATGATTTCCTCCTCAGTGAGTAACAATCCCGTGTCGGGATGACGCAGCGGGCAGCTCGGGATGAACAGTTTCATAACAGGAACGAGAGGGCAGAAGTCCTGCGGCACGGACGCACGCTCACGCGGGTCTGGCGCAGGGGAGGCAGCACGTGGGACGACTCCCAACATGTGCCGTATGGGCCGGAGACACTCGCGTATGAGCGAGTCGGGGGATTCATGCGAGAAAACTGCTTGGACTTTGGTTGGTTCAGCGAAGCGGAGACTGAGAAAACGTACCTTGGCCCACACGGGGGTCTCACGCAGGCGTGTATGGACCTTAGCATACCATTGGGGCATGGTACCCCCCGCCTCGATGGCGGCATGCTGTTCGGGAGTAATGAGAAGGACGTAGCACTTCTCGCGGTTCTTGGCGGCCACCTGTGCCATGGTTGGGGCATTCGGGGCCTGCATCTCAGGCTGCGTCGTAAGCTGTGCTGCAGGGGCAGCTGCACTGGAGTTGGCGGCGGGGGCACGTTGGCGACCAGTACGGACTGGCGGTTGGGGTCGCAGTCCCTCGGGGGCCTGAGGAGGTTGTGGCAGCGGACGCCCACGTACTAGCTGGGCCTCGATAGCTGACAGCCGCGTGTTGATGGCTGATGTGGCCATACGAACACCATCCTCGACAGCCTTAGTCAGGGCAGCCTGCACGTCGATGCCGACAGGGAGGGCACCTTCCGTGCGCAGGCGGGTGCGTGGCACCTTGTCCATGAGTGCGTCGTCGTCGAGAAGGATGGCTGCGTCAGTGAGCTGCTGATGGAAGAGAGCCTGGTAGAGTTGCAAGATCCGGGCACCAGCCTCTGTGTCGATGATGAGGGAGTCGCGCAGGAGAGCATTGTGGAAATCGCGAAGGCAGGTAGAGAGCGCGACAGTGCAGTTCTCAAACTCGTCGGAGTATGTCGCGGCCTCGTAGGGGCCTTCGATAACGCACTGCATGCCAGCAGCAAGGTTGTTCAGATTATTGTGCAGAGACCTAATGGCGTCGCACATATGATTGTGGACCAGTGGGTGTGGGGGCGTCGGCCCTGGGGCCGATGACGTCGTGCTCGCTGGCGGTGGAGACCCTCCCGGAGGAGTTCGCTCGACACCTATGCCCTCCATGGTCGATTCACTGGCAGTCGCCTGTTGGGCGCTTATAGTGGACATGGTGGTACAGGAAAAAGAAGAGTTGACCGCTCACATCTGTGCACCCCACACCATTGACACACATCATGACAATATCATTTCAACATGCATCCTGACTCTAGCACATTCATGGTCACATTGATGAGGCTCGCATGTGATGATAAGGTAGACATTATAGACACAGTATGTATGCCTCCACCTCACTACTTGGAGAGATTGTGCTCAACAACTACTGTTGCAAGTCTTCCATGCATGATGATGACTCACACAATCTTCTTCATGACATGCTGCAACAGTCATCACAGCTGGTCACTTATGCAGTACAGGATGGAGTCAGCTACACACATTCACAACTTCGCACTGCAGCTTCTGAAGCTATGAGGCTCAACAACATGTGATTGTGACAGCTCAATTCATATGATTTCTCTGTGACTCACACTTTCATAGGCTATACGATGATGGTGCTGCACTCAATTTGCAGACAATAATATTGCAGTGAGAGCTCAACTGCATGTTGGTCTCCACTCAGCAAGATATGATTGATGGTAGGTGTCAGCCTAAAGTTACTTGTATCGCTACCTCAAATATTTGTTTAGATGAGACACGAAGATCATCAACACAAAGATAAAACCTGATCTCACAGCTTCAGAAGCAACTTGAGCTGCATGATACTCACATCACTAAATTGAAAGAAGAGCTTCAGATGGCAGGAGAAGCATGCAACAGGCTCTAAAAAGAGGTTAAAGAATATAGAAAAGATGCAGAAGATCAAGCATGCTTCATAGCAAAGATGTATGCATGTGTGGATGGCCTTAGTTTGGATTCAAATGAGCAATCACCAGTGGTACTGGAGTGGTGGGCTGAAGAGGCCCATGACTCGACATGGAGGAATCCTATGAAGGCTGCTCTTAAGCACAATATGAGGACGTTCAAATGTACTAGTCACTGTATACATTCTTTCCTGAAAATCTCGACAATGTGCACATTCTGCTTGTACTACTGTGCTCAAACCACATGCCAACATCATCATCTTGCAACATCTCAGGCTAAAGTAAGTTGTCAAGCTATCATTAGGCAATTGAAATGGATCTGACAGAATAGGGGTAGACTGTGATGATCTGGCTTGAACATCAATCTTTTTTCCTCACCATTACCTGCATGCCTGTAAGTAGGTGCACTGCTTGCTGACACAAATATGGAGATGATGTGGCACTTCAACATCATAAAGCCGCATGCCAGATGTACAAATGCTATCAAGACACACTCCTGCAGCATGCCCTTCAAGGATGCCTTTGTGAGCTCAAAAGGCACCGTGACATTGATTAAGCACCCACTGCCATTGCTTCAGCTTCATCAGTCACTATGGTCTCTTCATCATCAACAGCACATCTTCCAGCAGTGACAGATATGCCCTCCTTTGCCACTCTACCTGGAGACCTTGACTCTGAAGTCAACATGTCCCTGAGTATGGATTATGAGGTCAGTGTCAATTCTGCTTGATCCTTGTGCATGTTGACAGGTTGATCTTATGAAGAATCCTTCTCCTGATGTGGTCACACATGCTCAGGCTGACTTGGGCATGTCACCAATAATTCAAGATGTGGTCACATCATCACCAGCTCCTATTTCAACAACCCAGTCTGTTCATTCAACCCACAATCAATTGCCTGCCAGATACCATGATATGTTACCTGAAGGCCTTGCACCCCTAAAAGAGCAGGATGAATGTGTTGATCATGCTAGGCAGTCTGTTGATGAGATACTGGCTGTTTTGGGCAGCAAGATGACATTGACCACTTCCTATATTCGAACATCCCTGAACTCCTCTGGTCTCACTCGTGAGTATCTAGATGAGCTCTGTTCTTGTAGTGTGGATGATGGCTTGGCTGTCAATAACCTTCTAGCATCAGGACAAGCCATCACTCAGGCATGTTCCAGTGCTGCAGGCAGCACCATGTATGCACCATGTTGGCTTTTGGAGCCTGAAAGGCATTGTGGGATAGCAGTGGACCTCAGGGGCATCAGAGCTGGGTACGGAGGCTGCAGGAATGGTAGCCGAATAAGCGCCAGGCATGCGAGCTGCACTGCCTGCCCTGAAGTGGCATGGTTAAGTAGTTAATGTAGTGTTACCTTGCTCATTTATACCCAAATTGCCAGTGGTGTCATGAGTTATTGTATGTGGTGCTGGTCTTGGCTGCCTGTCACAGTATTAAGTGGCACCTTTCTTTTTGCACCATTAAAGTCCTCATTTGAGTGGTTATTCGGACGCCAACCTTCATATTGGTCTCGCAACGTGGATACTTGGACAAACAGCACAATGCCACCACATACATCACGGACATGACTGTGTCTACCACATGACCACCAAGCGCCCATGATTCAGCCACCCAGTCATGTGACACTGGCCACTTGCCCTATTCAGAAGTTGTCAGGTGTTGATCACATGACACCAGGCCACTTGCCCAGAAAGGAACCCATTGGACCATCAAGCTAGCAAGCACCCAATTCGCCACTCAAGATAGTGGCACCACTTTGCTGCCTAAACCAATAGGCAGATACCACAACAGAGGATCCCCCTACCAACCGGCATACAGTATAGCCAGGTACAGGATAGGCTAGATCTTCTCACAACCCTATCCAGATGAAGACTGATCGTCACACTCATTGTTCTGAGTTTGGACAGATCCTCTCATCTGATGTTGCAACCGTTGTGATGTGCTCTGTTGGCCATCACCCATTGGCTCCTCAACAGTGGGCCCACTTACAGGCATTTATCTCATTGGATTAGATAGGATTACCTTGGCATATCCACGGCCATTGTAGATAGTTGCTATGACGAAGTCCAGAACCATTACTGGTTTTGGCAATATGTTCACATGTAGAAAGGACAGGACTCCAGTAGGTACACCTTAGTTAGAGTGACCAGGGTCCACCCCTACATGTATATAAGCCCATGAGGATCTAAGGGAGGACCTTAGATTCATTATACTATTGTATGCGGCCTAACAAGCCAATTCACCCCTTTGTTGTGAGCATAAGGCTAAGGGCCCTTTGAGCCCCATTTTCAGACTGCATACCACTGCGCACGTCCTCAGCCTAGCCCTTGTGGCAGGCTTTTTATGTGGGATCATTTGTGCAGGTCACAAAGGCAGACTTGCCCTTAATTGGGTTAAGTGCTTTGGTGCTTTGTGACAGAAACCTTATCTACAACCTGGGTTTCAGTGTGTTGAGTGCCGCTGTGGAGTCATTGCTCAAACCACAATCCTTGGTTCCTATGGAGGTAAGTGTATTTGCTGTCTTGTACTCTGACAAGCACTTATGGTAATCAATGCTAAATTCACTTCACATAGAATGCATTCTCAGCAAATGTATCGACAATTGTGCCAAATTATCATGACCTCTTCATTTTTGACATGCTGCATGAGTGGGATCTCAGTGTATGGAAGCAAACCCTGATACACCTTCTTCACCTGCTGGTAGCCATCCTAGGATTATATACACTGACATTTGATACAAGGTGTGTAACATTGCATCATCAGTAAGGCCATGCCCATCAACATTATACAGATTCAGACAAATGCCCACTTTTAGCCACAAAACGATTCACTGTTTTGATGCAAATGTCTCTAAACTCAAGAAGTGTTATGAAGTGTTCCCTGTAAATCCCCCCTAATCCACAACTCGACTTATCTTTATAGTGTGTCAATGCCTAGTTTTGAGGTAGCAGTGAGGTACTGTCACTCTACCCTATCTAGATTTTCGCTGAGCAGCTACTGCACATTCACCTGCAGGTTACTAGGTTTGCTGATCTGACTCTAAACAAGCGTATGAGCCTGAATACCCCTAGAGAGTGAGTGCAGATCCCTAACTGATCACTGAGGAACAGTAGTATCAAGTTCTCCTTAGAAATGAGGTTCTAGTGCAAAGAACTAGTTCTTAGAAACAAGGAGGAAGAGGTTATCTTCCTTCTGCTGCTCTGGCCCCTTTATATAGTCACAGACCTATAGTCTGGGGTACTAGTACAAGGGGTCTCCATCTAGCTAAACATAAAGAGACAAATACTAACCGCTGCGAGCTAAGTAGTTGGCAAGCCAGAGTTAGTACAGGTAAAAATAGAAAACTTGAAACACAAAGGTTCTGGATCTCAAGATCTGAGGATCCTAAGAATAGAAAATAGACTTGAGAAGATCCACTCTGAGGAAATAGTAGATGAAAATGAATACCCCTCAAAGGTGCTTCTATTGTTCCCACGGTTCCTTGTACAGCATCGCGGAAAATGTGAGCTGAGAGACTGGTAAGTCTCGAAGGCACATGTGGTCTTGTATCACATGACCAAAATTTAAGGGTTCCCCAGCACTTAATCCTTTCAGATAATCGACGCTTCACTTTATAACACAAGCTCCCCTCTCCAACCACCAAGACCCTTGGTGATCAAACCATAAGGTCTCCGCTTCTGCTGATTTGTGATCAGGCTTCTGGTGTGAGGTTCATCAATGACATAGGGTGCCTGGTTTCACAGTTATCTGAATGCCAAATAAGGTAAGTGAATTACCATAAGCAATAAGTTCAGTTGCCAAAAGTATCTGTAGTTAGTTCCAAGTCAACCAGACTGGAATGATTATGTAGGCCTTAGAGTCTGATGCACTTTAGCTTTCTTCTTCTTCTTTTTAGAGTTGGAAGACTGCGAAGAAGGATTTTCGAAGTCAGATGTAGACGTGCTGTTAGAACTTCCAATGATTTCAGTGGTGACTTGGTCAGCCCATGTTGCTATCGGTGATGGTCCAGAATTGCTTTTAGCCTCCGGTCGTTCGATAGTTTGTATATGATCAGTTGTGCAGAAACTCTGAAGGTTTCGAGGAGCTTGTTTTCCTGAAGACATCGACATGCTGTCAGAGCTTTGATTGTCAGAATCAATGCTAGAGTTTTGTGCTTTCGCAGATTTAGGATGATCGGGTGACAGCGAATTTGAGATTCATCCAGAATTTCAATGCTTGCTCTGTTGTGGTGGTCGATATAATCACCCATTATTGTCTGTATCTGGAGTTCTTCTAGGACATTCTGCATGGTGGTGTCCGTAGCAGTTACAATTATAGCAACACTCAGTGAACTGCTGATGACCAGACATATTCTTGGCCTTGAATGCTGTTCACTGCTGATGGCCTGACATATTCTTGGCCATGGATGCTGTTTGCTTTGATCGTGCATAGCGATGTTGGTCCCTTGTGAACCTTCATCATGCAAGGGCTTCGATACCCTCCCATTCATCTTGTTGAAGATTGAATGACATCATCAGTACTGCCTTCCATACTGATGTTGGAAAATCAGTTTGATCTGAGTTGGATTCCTCGGCTCAAATAACATTGATCTGATGAAGCTTGAGAACTCTTCGAGACATTCAATCAATATCCATGGGATCATCATCATCTTCATTGTTTATCGGATCTGATCGTTGTTGAGAGCCGTTGATTTCGAAGTATTTAGTAATCTTTGAATTGATTAGCTTTGTGACTAATTGCTCAATCTGATCCTTGATTGATGTCATAATTGAGGACCCCTTCTTGAGATCTTTCGATCTAGTGTGTGTCTTCTTTAAGTGCACACTCTCTTGTTTGGGTAAAGAAGTTTCCTTTTTAGGCTTAACTTCTTTCATATGATGTCGGGTCAGTTTTGATTTCTTTGCTGAACATTGTTATGCTTCATGTCCCTTTTTGCCATAATGGTAGCATATTCATTCTTTGATCAGTCCAGACTGAAGTCGTCATAGCCTATCGACATCCATGGCATTTAGATCTCATTCAGGAGGATCCACCTCTATAGGAACTTCTTGTTCTATTCTTCCAGATGAGGAAATAAACTTGAAGATGTTGGTTTTGCCATGATAGACATCTTCTCAGTCAGTGATCCTCTGGCCACTTCACATGCAGCCTGATATGTTGCTGGTGATGTCATCTGGGTGAACACCTTCTCGGCCAGCTGCTGATTCAAGCCTTACTTGAAGTGAACAAGCTTTGCATAGTCATCATCGATTTTGGCATAGTGGAATAGAATGTCGAGGTTTTCAATATAATCGTCAACACTTCTTCTTTCTTGCATGCATTTGCCTTCGATTAATGCCTGCCATGCTTGATTCTTAGTTGCAACTTCTCCATACTTTTCTAGGAGTGCTAGTCAGAAATCGCTATAGGATCCTAGATCTCCTGGATCTCCAGTTTGTGTGGTTACTTCCACTTTCCATGACTCGATCCATTTGGATGCAGTCGACTTAGGCTTGAAGTGAGACATGACAAATACTATTTGACTATAGTCATCATCGTAGACTTGAATGTTTGCCTGTAGATGTCGTTCCACTGATCTGAGGAATGATGCAAACTTTCTTTTGTCTTCTGTGAATGGTGGAATCTTCCTCATTCATCATTCTTCCACTTCTGGCATATTTAGAGTGGAATTGTACTGTGTGTACAATTTCATGTTCTGGGAATATTCCTGCCATTGGAATTCCAAAGATGTTGTTTCTGGATGCACTGGTGGCCCTTGTGCTGGGTCATACTGTGCCTTGACAGGATGTTGTCCTGTGGTTCCTAAACCACTTGCTTATGCCATGGCTGACTGTGGCCTTCCTAGTACTTCAAATTGTACTGATGGCTTTCCTCCTTCTGAGGATGTCCTAGTTAAAGGTGCCATCCTGACTCCTTTCCATAATTTTAACCCGTTGTAGGATTTTTTGGACATTGGCGTAGTACTTCAGTCACCACTCCCTAATAGGCTTGGATTGATGCTGAGAGGATTTCATTCCTCTCGCTTTTTTCCTTTTCTTAATCCTTCGGCATCCTCTGACCTTGGATCGACTTGTATTGCTTCTCCTCTTGGAAGCTCCATTGCATCAGAAATTCTTCCTCGAATTCCTTTCTGATATCCTTCTCATTATCCATTACTCGACAGATTTCTTGGACATCTCTCTCGAGCTCATGTAGCTCTTCTTGTTCTTCTGGGGTCATAAGGTTCCCAAGCCATTGTCGTCTTTCCAGCTGAATAGCTCATGAATTTCTGACATCAGTGAACCAATCTAACTTTTCATTGGTCATGTCGTTCCAGGATAATGGTGTCGTATATCCTTTATCTCTTTGATAGCCCACTGGCTCTTCGTCAAAGTCCGATTCATATCTTTTGATTTCGTGATATGACATCTTGCCTTTTTCTGTCTTTGGTGGCTTTTGAACCAATTGTTTTGCTTACCCAGCACCTTTTAGTAAGAATGGGGCTCAGTGATGCTTTTTGATTTTTGATGGCCCTTAACCAATCTTGTTCTTGACCACACAGGTCTGCGGATTCACACAGGATTCTTCTGAATAGTCACACAGACTACCGCTTCAAATCTTCTTGATTTCTAGATTGCCTTTCCTGGAAAGGGCTTTTGCATGTCTTCAACGTGTGCCTTAGTTGAGGGCTTCTCTTCTGGATAACCACACAGGTTATCGCTGATGCTTGAGTGACCACACAGGTCCGTGGAATGACCACACAGGTCCAGTTTGATAGCAAAAACTAGGACTTACTTTGCCTAGTCAACTCCTTGGTAGAGTCCTTGCAGCAGCAGCGAGTAGACAACACTCTTCATTGAGGTCCTAAACCTAAATAGGTTGGATGGAAGAAAACCTCTTTCTAATGTTATGAAGTGTTCCCTGCGAACTCCCCCTAATCTGCAACTCGACTTATCTTTATAGTATGTCAATGCCTAGTTTTAAGGTAGCAGTGAGGTACTGTCACTCTACCCTGTCTAGGTCTTTGCTGAGCAGCTACTGCACATTCACCCGCAGGTTACTAGGTTCACTGATCTGACTCTAGACAAGTGTACAAGCTTGAATACCCCTAGAGAGCAAGTGCAGATCTCTAACTGATCACTGAGGAACAGTAGTATCAAGTTCTCCTTAGAAATGAGGTTCTAGTGCAAAGAACTAGTTCTTAGAAACAAGGAGGAAGAGTTTATCTTCCTTTCGCTGCTCTAGCCCCTTTATATAGTCACAGACCTATAGTCTGAGGTACTAGTACAAGGGGTCTCCATCTAGCTAAACATAGAGAGACAAATACTAACTGCTGTGAGCTAGGTAGTTGGCGAGCCAGAGTTAGTACAGGCAAAAATAGAAAACTTGAAACACGAAGGTTCTGGATCTCAAGATCTGAGAATCCTAAGAATAGAAAATAGACTTGAGAAGATCCACTCTGAGGCAATAGTAGATAAAAATGAATACCCCTCAAATGTGCTTCTATCATTCCCATGGTTCCTTGTACAGCATCACGGGAGATGTGAGTTGAGAGACTGGTAAGTCTCGAAGGCATACATGGTCTTGTATCATGTGACCAAAATTTGAGGGTTCCTCAGCGCTTAATCCTTTCGGATGATCGACACTTCACTTTGTAACAAGAAGCCAGCTGCTTGCAACTTTGAGGACATTCTGCAGATATAGAGCTTTTTAGCTGCACTAATAATGCTCATTATGTTGCTATAGTGCTGTATTCCTGCATTTGATGATCTATTTCCTGAAGAACACAATACAATCATCCAGGATCTCCTCTTTTTGATGGCATATCTTCACAGATCTACATCGACTTCGACTCCATACAGAATCTACTATCTCTCTGGCAGAGTCCATGCTCAAACATCTTGCACACATGCTGAGGCAATTCAAAAAGACCACCTGCACAGCATTCGCCGCAGTGGAGTTGGTTAAAGAAGCTCAAGCCCATGCATGTCATCAGGCTGATGCACTCTCTGCAGCCACTTTGTCACATAGCAGTCAATGTCTGGCATCAACATCAGCACTTACCATGCAGAGCCATGATGCTTCTGTCAAGAGGACTAAGGAGTCCAATCTCAATATGTACAAATTGCATTCACTTCCTGACTATGTCAAAACAATTCGCACAATTGGAACAACTGATTCCTATACCACATGCATCATAAGAGTTTGATTTCAATGCTCCACTTCCTCACCAACTAATGTGCCAATGTAGGAAGAGTGAGAGCATATCAACTCAAAAGACTGATATGAAAGGACAAGTAAGAAGAATTTCACCAGCCAGCTGGCAGTGATCAAGAGGCATGAAGCATGGTTGCATGAAATTTCTCATGACCTTGAACTGGCAGGAGCTCAGAACAGAAGCATACTGAAATTTGCTAGTAACTTTCAGGAGGCACATCCATCTTAGCATTACTACATCGTGCAGCCCTAAAAAAACCATCTCACTATCCTGACATGGATGAGGCAACATGATGGTGATCCTGCCATGCACATAAGATCATGGTCAGTGTGACATGGTGTACTTTGCTGATTGTGCCAGCACAGAAATTCACTTGAAGGTTCAAGTGTCATCTTCTTTGTCAAATTCACAATCAAGATGACACGGCCACATGGACTGATGGTGATCTACAGACAATCATCATCAAGGATGACTGGGTTTACTGCCATCAGACATTCCATGTCAACTACACCACATACAATGTTCACCATTCTCAAGGCGTAATCCATCTAGGCAGTGATCACTGTAACATCATGATGCTTGCCGATTAAGCTGATCATCAAGCTCATCCATTTGGTATGCATGGGTCCTAGAAATTCATCACACACATGTTATGGAGATATACCCTGGCTCATGGGCATATGGCTTATTCCAGCATGTTGAGTTTCTTTTTATTCATTGATTTGGGGAAGATGTTGAGTGGCAGAGTGGGTGGCAGGCTCAGCATCTGGATTATATAGGATTTGTACCCAAGTCTGATCCTGGTGCTTTCAGCTTCGTCAATCCTGGCATGGTTTTGTGAGGCTGTCACCTGCTTTCAGTATTTGCTCTTGGTCGCATGAATGCACTTCTGCAAACATCCCTTATCACACATTGACCTGGGAAGTTGGATGACTGGGACAGATTCTATGTCAACTGGTGATGTGCTTGCCTCTCTTAGTCTGCCAATTCTTTGCTCACTGTTCAATGAATCATGTAGCTTCATTGACTGTGACATGCTAATGTGATACATTGACAAGGGAATAGATCACAGAGTGGCAAAACTGACATGCAGACATCCCATCTTTCAGCAAGAGAAACTGATTGCTAAAGTGGATCCTGAGTCAGATGATGTCAACATTGCTGAGATAACAGATAATGTCACAGATAGCAGTCCAGATGAACTTTTGATGAGTCTCGTTGATGGGAAATCATGACGATGCACTCAGCAACAATGCACTAAATGAGTCAGATATTGCAAGCAATGATGAAGATTGGCTCTAGTATGTTGTAGCAAACTCCTTTTCTTAATCTGTTCTCTCATTTCATGGCTCACCACAGTGCTATATAAGGACTTTGGCATGAGAAGCCCACTGTCTCTAAAACCACTGACAGCCAAGCTATGGCAGTCAAAGTTAAGCTGGCCTCGCAGTCTCGAAGCCTCCAAGTTCATGTGCAGGATCACAATCTTGTTGAATGTGATTCAACAATTATGTCAAGTGACCGCAAGTTTGAGCAGCATATTTAGAGTGGTACATGCCATATCTATCAGCGTACAACATGATCTCCCTCTACATGTCTTCATCATCTTCAGCATCTTCTCCCTCATCTGAATCACCTTCCTCAAGCTGTCCAACTGCTGGGGACAAGTATCCTGCATCTTTCAATGTTCAGCTTACTCAAACTGGTCACCAGAAAGCTGCAGAGACTGACTTCATAACTTTGCATGGCTGTCACTTCATGCAGGCCAATGACATGTGGACACTGCCTGCTATTGTTATACAAGAGGGCTTGCAATGAGAGGTCACTGACCCTCTGCTTTCTATGTCCTCATACACTGCTGAGTTCATGTTCAAATTTTGCTCAATTATTGCTGCTCACACTGCATGCTATCACAGATAAAATTGCAACTATGCTACCTACAAGGCACTTATACGAATTATGCTGACATTAATTGATGACATCATTGAATGCAGCCTGAAGATCATGTCCAAACTGGTTAGTTCACATTACTGCATATGCAATTATTCAGATATTCCTCACTTCATGTGAAGTTGCAGGAAGGTATCTGTGATGCTTGTTCAGATGATATGAGAGGGTTGAAGAAAGCTGTCATTGAATGGCTCGCTGACACCATCATGACGGCAGTCAAGAGAGATGCAATGTCATTAACCCTGATATCACCAAAGTCACATCGAGGCTTCAATGATCCAGTAACCGGTGCTCTGTTGTGCCTGGTCGAGCTCAACTGGAATGACCCCCAGTAAGCAGTGCATGAAATGATTACTCGAAGGCCTTGTTGATGCTGATGGCTCACAGAGTTCAGGATGAACTTAAGCATGGAATGGCACGCATCAATGGCAATCTCATCAGCATGCACGACTGGCCCGCATTCTTATACGACCATACTTACATATGATCTGCAGCTTCCCTTTGATGGCATCCTTCATGGGTTGCTTGTTGTGAAGGTACATCATAATACATATTACATACTATCTGGGTGGCATGACAATGATGTTTTCACACAGGCATTTAAGCACATCTTCCTTGGCCCCAGCACAGCAAACACCGACGATGATAGTAACAGCAAACAAGGTCAAAGTACATGTGCCAGCAATGTGGCCATTCATGGCATGCATAAAGTCAATGCTGCATCCATTGCCTATGCAGCTGTGCATGTACATGTTTCATTCATATTCATCAAAAGCGAGTTCTAATTCATATTGTAGATCTTCTTTGCACTGTCTTCTGCAGGCACATATAGCAAGACAAACAAGGCTTGTGATAGTGTTACATTGTACCACAGTGTTTACATGTTCTTTGATGATTCCTTACTTAAGGAAGAGGCTGATGAATGCCTCATGTGGTGGAACCAGTATGATGCTCCTTTTTTTCGAGTAGTATGACATCGACTGACATCCATACAGCAAAATCTTTATTACTGCGACAATCGAAGAGGTCGCTATTCAATCACACCTTCAACAGCTTCGTGCAGCTAAATCCTCGCTCACGAAGGATGCATAACAATTCTGCTAGACTGACCGAGTTGTCGCATCAATTTAGATTGCTTTGTATTCCTATCATAATTTGTAGCTGACAAGCTAGATTAAAATATCATTATTTTATCTACTATATATTGAGTGATGAAATTCAGCAATGCTGGTCGCAAGTGTCCAATCCTCAGAACAGATATCAGAGCATGTAAGGTGAATATCAGCCTTGCATCACAAACTCAGGGTGATGGCCTTTCAGGGGCTGCACATGGAGATATCTTGCAAGGTACACATTGTGGGAGTTCACAATGTGGATGCCTTGAGCACAATGTGTCATCAAAGTGTCAGACAAGAACAAGGACATAACAGCTTTATCATATCTCACCAGGCCACTGACGTTTCACCAGATATATCATGGTGGTATCTTCAATAATAAGGTATGTGATTGTTCTGTTAAGTCTTACAGGTCTGATTGATCTTATAAGGCCGTATGAGCAGTTATAATGGGTGCACAACTATGCTTCCATTTTTTCGATAATGCTGTGTACTGGTGTCTCTTCATTTTATATCAAGTCATTGTCCTTCACTTTTTGTCACTTTGCATCCATATGCTTTTGACCATGTTTTATCCATGCTGCATAGTTAATCCTATATTGTGTCGTCATTCTTCACTTTTCATTGCTCTGTGTTTACATGCTTTCGACCATGGTTTATTATAAACTCTTGTCAGACAGTAGTTTTACCAGTAATTCATGTCAATAAAATGATATTTTGATGTTTCTATAAACCACTGGATCTGATAATATGTAATCTGTCTGGACAATCATTCATCAGACCTCTCTGAGGCCACAGCCAATTGCCCAAACAGACAATCATTTCCTGTGCTATCTGTAAATATCCTGAGCATGTGGTAAAAAGATAGGCTGATCAACTCACCGGTGGATGGCTGATCTGGGATGGTGGGGTTAGTTAATCATTTAGAGGTCACTGATCTGGATGAACAATATGTCAAGTGACAGATTTGTCAGTTAATCATAGATCATGCAGGTTGGAGGTAGTTCGTACCAGATATGTAAGGCTCCGGACTTTTTGCTGATGTCCCAGCTCCACACCCACATGCTAAAGAATTTCTCTAGTTGCGTTTCCAAGGTTTCTTGGCCAGCAGTAGATAGGACAGAGGTGAATGAGCCGTGAATGAGCTAGTGTAACATGCCGACATCAGCACCACAGACTGGCAGTCCAGCTCCGACGCACCACGAAATCATCATAGCCATTCATAATCTGCGCTCGAAGCGCAACGTCTTCGACAGAATAGTCTTGATACTCATAGATTACGTTTTCTGAGACGTCTTGCTTTTTTGATGCATTCTTCGTTGACGTTCTGGAAGAATCCCTTACGGTAGCTGCCCGTGGCACCCTTGCAAGCTCGAAGCACTGAGAGCCATCACGATCCGCACGACATTGCTGACCTTTTGAAGAACATACCGCATGTATCCAGTAGTTCGGTTCTGGAGATACAAAAACAGATCGTCTGCGCTGAGAATGAATGCTCTCGCACAAGTCGCCTGGATTGAAGATGCTGCAAGCGCATCGTAGGTTGGCTCATGTCGTATTGGTAACGGTAGTCACACTCACGAAGAGAAACTAATCAGAGCCTTCGCGAGACCGACCTGCCTCAGCATGCGGTCGCGCGAGACGGCGGGATCGCGAGCCGTATAGAATAGGATCTGCGCCTGTTCCACGGCGTCCTCGTCTTCATGTGTAAATTGTGCAGCAGGACGGAGCGTTGGGTTGAAGATCGTGAAGTATAGAAGGCTCGCGGGTATTTTGCTCATGGCAGTGGGATTTGCGTAGCTTCCAGATTCGATGACACTGTATCGAGTTTCACGTAAGAGAAGACTTCTAGTAGGCACCAAGTGTGTGACGATGGTTGAGACAAGTTCGGATTCATGCTCAGTGGCGCCACAATGGAGCACAATGGCCATTCCCGGAAGCAGTGACCCCGACGGTTCACTCTGCAACGCGCAGCCTCCTTCACATGAGCTGCGTGGTAGGCTTAATAATTAATGTATCAGTGCAGCGTTGGTGATTATACATATAATAGCGATGTAACCACCATGTAAACATACTCTATGGGAAACGCGATTAGTTGTCATGCTACGACTACTCATCATACTCTGAATCAGTTTCTAATCGGACCGGCTGCATCTCCTCCTGGTCCTCTTCAGATTCCGAGCGCATCTGCGAATCATCGACACTCGACGAGCTGGGTGAAGTTGCATCCTGACTGCTGTCAGACATTACATCGTCGGACACTTGGGCAAGAGCGCCGTCAGGTACGTCAGGCCGCCACTCTCCACGATGTGTCAGCTCCTTCACAACATCCTTGTCGAGCTCCTCCAAATCAGCTTCTGCCTCCAGGGAGGATGTCTTCACAACATCCTTGTCGAACTCCTCCAAATCAGCTGCTGCCTCCAGGGAGGATGTGGGTGAGTTTCTCGACGACGGGTCTGGGAAGTCGAACTGATGAGCTGAAATTGTCAAGGGGTCCAGGGACGTTGCGACAATCTCATCAGATTGCGCTTGCTCGAAGGATGGTAGCTCGCCATCATCAAGTGGAAGGAGAGAAGACGCCGGTGGTGATCGTGCAATTGACAGCGGAGTCGCCCATGGGTCAGTGTATGGTCTGAGACCAATAGCCGTGACTGCCGTACTAGTTCTAGGAGCGAGAGTTGAGAAAATGGGGGATACCGCCTTCCTGCTGCCCTCAGAAGGAGGCGTCGGCAGCTGTGATTGCGCATCAGGGGGTGTCAGGGACATTATCTGCGGACTCCTTTGAGCCGCCTCTATTCTCGCGTGACTTTTGCCGCCGAGAGGCCGTGAGGTGCGCCTCCGGTAGAACAGCAAATATGCATTGGCATTCTAATGGCAACAAGGTCAGCAAACGTGAATGCACGACTTGAATGAAACAGGCACTAACGACTGCAGCTTCAGCGCGTGTAGGCGATACATACGAATCATCGAAATGATACCACTTGTCTGTGACATGATTGTACGCATACGCGCGATAGTGGCCGCCGCCCAAGCCGCCAAGATGTTCATCGACAGCATACAAGTCGTACATCAGCGGCTCATCCACATTGCTGAGCCCAAGCTGCTCAATGTCCACGCCCTGCTCCAGGAGCCGTTGAGCAACTTGTCGCTCGCCAACCATGTCCGAAATATCCAGGCCATTGATAGGAAAGTCAACAAAGGTATCAATCTTGTCTCGCAGCGTCCGACTGTTGCTGAAGCGCTTCAGATGCACTACCAGGATATCGGGGACCTTCCACAGATCGAACCGCTTCGTTGCCTGTTGATGCTTCTTGCATCTCGGGCAATACCACAAATCGTCCTCACCGAGCTTCTCCTCCCGCGTGAACTCGTCTAGACAGTCCTGAATCGTAATTCCCTTGTTCTTCTTCAATGACGACGCCTTTTGACTTGCCTCGTACTCAGGATGAATGTACTCTTCCCAAAACTTCCATCGAGCATGCTGCCAACGACTCCGCTCATCGCCGAAGAAGTAGTCTTTCACGTTCTCGTCAAATTCGCAATAGAGTGCATCGGCCTCGTGGAGAAGTTCTGCAGAATCCGACGCAAGGTGCTCCCTGGAGTTGAGGCGTTGAGCGCCGGAGAAACCATGGCCAATCCCGTACTTGGCATTGCTCCGCTGAACGAGGAGCTTGAAGATGTCCCTTTTGAAGCCGACCTTGCGCGGTTCCGGATCTATGTCATCTTCCATACCAATATCGTCTTGATCGTGCACCACAGTTGCTTTCGCGTCGGTAATATCGCTCTCTTCAACAACAGGTTCCTCTACGGTTACGATATCTCCGTTTTCTTTAATCTCCGTCACGGAGTCCACTTCGGGAGGGCCAGAAATAGGAATTTGCACCGGCTTCATCGAGGTGGGCGTCCCAGCTTCCCATGTAAAAAGATCTCGGGCGTGGTCGGTCCATCTCTGCAGACGGTCCATGATCGCGTCGTAGATTGTTTCCAGGACCATCGCCTGCTTGTGATCAATGACAACGATGAATGGGTATCCGAAGAGGGTCTGTCGGGAGTAGCTCGTGCGTGGCGGCGTGCTATCGCACAGGAACACAGGTACAATATGAGGATCATCGGCCTGTGGCTTGTATGTCCTGCTCTGCTGAGCATGACAAGGTAGCTCGAAGCAGACAATAATGTCGCCATCGGTCATCTCGCCCACGGGAACGGTGTCGTTGAGGTCTTTGTAGAACCGGTTGTTGAAGACCTCCAGCGTTAGCAGCTGGGAATCCATAAGTAATGGGGCGTGCGCAAAGCACGAATGTACTCACATTATCAGGTTCGGCGTCCATCCACCTGCCAAGCAACTGCCGAAGGTCTCTAAAGGAAGCATTCCGGTTGATCTCGACTGGGACCTAATTGAAATGCTACAGAAAATGATAGGACATGAAACTGATCGGCGCACCTGCACATGTGGCTTGTCAGTATCCCATGGAACATAATATATGGTATGCCGCCACTTCTTCTGAACCGGCAGAGGAAGCGTGAGGTACATGAAGGGATCAAACGTGATTGAAACCTTGAGTACGACGCGTTAGCCGAAGTGGGCGCAATGGAAAGTATTCGTGACGTCGCACCTTGGAACACTCCGGGCAAACAAGTGTACTTTGATATTGGCCCTGGAATAGATCAACAATAACGCTGTCGTTCCTCATCATGTATCCGCGCCATGACTTGTTCGCGAGCTCCACCAACTCCTTGTCGCCGCCCCCCTCCCAGTCCGGCTTCTCCACATACGGCTTCTTTAGCACACGATTAAGGTCCTCATGCAGCCCATCGAGCAAGAACGCGACAAGCTCCTGCGAGTCATGTTGCTGGTACCCACTGAACTGCGGGGCGAACCGCTGAAGCGCTTGTTTGAACTCACGCGGAGAGTACGAACTACTCGTCGTAAAGGGTGCCCACATCCGCTGGAGCAGAGCACCAAAAGCCTCGGCAATAGCACCCTGCATGCCCAAAGGGTTGTCGGGGTTCAGCTCCTCTTGGAAAACCCCAGCTGAACATGGACTTAACGAATAAGTGCTGTTGTAACATAGAGCATAGACTCACTGAGGAAGTACTCCGCCAATTCTTTTGTATGAGCGAGACATTGCAATGCAGAGTTCATAAAACAAGTGTTTCCCCTAGAGGAATGTGAATAGATACGACAGGATTGACGCGTAATTGCTCACATGTTGCCCAGCCCCAACGTCCCTGGCTCCTGGCTACTGCCCTTGGCGGAACGCGTATGAATGAGAGGCCCGTTTTTTGTTGTTGACAATGCCGGCTTCGCTACTGATGACTTGACCTGCATGTTACTGAAAAAGTCGTTTTCAGAGCTGAACAGCCTTGGAGTCGGGGCCTGTATAGTCGACTGAGAAGTCGACGTTGAGGAGATGCCTGGCTGGGAAGGCACTTCGCTAGCCTCTGCGACCCAATGTCCATCTGTTTGGTATTCCACCACAAAATCGTCGCCCGCCTCAATCATCTCATCCTCAACGGTCCGTTGGCTGGGCTCTAGAATTATACCGCCACGCTGCTTCAGCTGTTCGGGAGTGCAGGACATTTGCTCCCAAGCTGTACTGCTCTCGGTGAGTTTCCAGATGCGGTAGGCCCGGCCGTCCGCACCCAGGACAGGCTCTGGCAATTTTGAATGTACATCCTGAACGGTGTCTTTGACGGAGATGACAACTGTTCGTGGGGGCACACTGACGCCGGGCACAGGCGCGCCGGTCAACACGTGGACCTTGACTCGAGGCGGATGAAGCTCGATTGTGGGCTCCTCGTGTATGCCACGACCAATAACCTTGCGAGGTAATGGGTGGCGCGGTTCGCCGTACCTGCGGGAAGAAGTTGTGGCATCGAAGATGAAGCAAAGCATCCAGTAAGACGCACCATTCAACAAACCATTGCCACACCTTTTCCGGGACAAAGTCATAGTCATCAGGACCGATCGTCTGTTTGATGCTACCGTCGTCCGGAGAGACAATGTCGCTGTTGTCAACTGGACCGAGATCCTTCTCTTCCACGGGACCTTCCTTGTCCACTTCGCCAGAGCATGCTTTGCGCCATCGCTTGAGCCATGAGCGAGAGACGACATACCAAGTTTCGCCTAAATGCATTGGGGTCTTAGACAGCTGTTCCACCTGCTCATATCTCTGAGCAGGAGTGACCAAGGCCGCAGACGAGGATGAAAAGTCCTCGCCCTGCTCCGCCATGTAAGCATCGATTGCGTTGATGGATGGAGAATCGTAAATGGAGAGGGCAGACATGTCTTGAGACTGAGGCATGCGCGGTGAGTCTTGGGACGTGTCGTCACATACGGAGCGTTTGGGGGAGGAGGAGGAGGGCTCAGATGACATGGATTGCGAGCGCTGTCTTTTGCGGGTGTTGAAGCTGGCAGTATCTTGGGCAGAAAGAATTGGGGACGAGGATTGTGATGAGGGAGTTAGCATAGCGTGCAAACGCACTAGAAGACGCTAGAAAGCGGACCGAAAGATGTCGCGTAGCAGATAAATGAAAGGCTATGTTGAATCGCCCCAGTTGAAAGCGGGGCTATGGCCACTTGAAACGAATTCGAACATTAACCAGCACTTACTGCAAAGATTGCACGTGACTTCCCGATTGCTTACTTCGTTGCAGAGGCCACTTGGGGCCACTCACGCGCAGTAAAGGATACGCCGCACGAGATTTGACCAGCTCAGGCAATGATCCCCTTGTTGGAGGAGCTTCTAGTGCATGCATATCATCAGAGGACCACGCCGTCGAGACAGCGTGCTCGCCGGTCCTGTGGTCACAACTCCATGCAGTCTGTGATTCGGTAGTTCAGTTGCCTGCATCTCAGCGGGCCGGCACGTAGACCGCATTTACATCGCCGCATCGCGGTCACACGTTTGCGATCGTCTGGCAAGAATAGAGGGCCCAGACGGACGAGAATCAGTACATGTACTCGGACCGCCTCTCCTCGCCAAGATCCGCACACTTATCGCTCGCACGGCCACCACCTTCACTCGCCCCCCACGATGTCCATTCAGTGTAAGAGCCTACCTCTGCACAGTCTCCTACACACTGCGCTGATCTAATACTTCAGCGAAACACTTTCAAAATGCCCCTGAGAATCTTGTCATCGAGTCACTTCAGGGTCTCTGCAGCTTGAATCCGCAGATCGACCTCGATACCGCGAACAAGGGTCAGTCTACGCTCTCACGTTCATTGGTTGCATCATTCCCATCAAAGTTCTCTTCGCTTGTAGTCGTCTATGTTGCTTCGCCGGACCGCTCGAAAGTCGCGTTGATCTGCGGAGGAGGCTCAGGACACGAACCCGCCCATGCAGGATTCGTAGGTCAGCAAGTTGATCAATGTCTGGTCCCCTTTCACTGATATTTGGCGATGGTCAGGCTATGGCATGCTTACTGGCAAGTCCTGAACTGGTGTGGCAGCTCATCGAGCGCTCACAAGGTGTCGATATGTAGCTGCTGCCTGCGGAAGCGTTTTCGCATCTCCGAATCCCAGCCAAGTGCGTCGGGCCATTGACATTGTCGAGAATGAGAAGGGGCAAGTCACTCAGTGGCTGTCTCGCCACTTTTTTGCACTGACGTTCTTCCTGACCGATTAGCTCAGTCATTATTGTCAAGTAAGCGCATATACCCCGCTGCATTACCGTGAGTGCGTCATACTGATACGGACGGTTCTCGTCAGGAACTACACCGGCGACATCCTGAACTTCGGGCTCGCAAAGGAACAGTATGCAGCTCTACACCCGGAGAAGGCGGACCGCGTCAGGTTCGTCATTGTCGGTGACGATGTCGCTGTGGGCAGGACGCAGGGAAAGATCGTAGGACGCAGGCACGTATCTCTCCCCTCTATCATCCACCACCTTCCCCTTACAGCCAATGACCTTCGCTATCATCGCAGAGGTCTCGCGGGGACCTGCCTCGTCTACAAGATCGCTGGCGCGCTCGCCGAGCGTGGCGCCGAGCTCGATGAAGTCCACGCCATCGCGCAGTGGGTCTCATCCCGCGTGGGCACGATCGGTGTCGGACTGGAGCACTGTCATGTTCGTCCGTTTCTCTCGAATCAATTTCGTGCGCGCACTGACCGTCTTTCCGTCACGCACGTAGGTCCCAGGTACGGCTGCGGGCGAGTCGCACCTGAATCCAACTGAGATCGAGATCGGGATGGGTATTCATAATGAGCCGGGCAACCGTCGCGTGTCCCCCGTCCCGTCCGTGAACGAGCTCGTTCCGATGCTCCTCGAGCTGCTCACATCCACGACGGACCCTGAGCGTTCTTTCCTCCCGTTCAAGGGCAAGGACCACCTCGTGCTCCTCCTGAACAACCTCGGGGGTACGAGTGAGCTCGAAATGGCGGGTATTATCCGCGAGACGCGGCATGCGCTCGAAGCGCAGGGGTACAAGATCCGGCGTGTGCTGGCCGGGACGTTCATGGTGCGAGCTTTGGGATCATTGATCTGCATACCATACATTGACGGCGAAATGCTGACAGACGAGTTTGAACATGCCTGGCTTCTCGATCACCGTCCTGCTGCTCCCTCACCGCACCGAAACCGACGAGTCGGTGCCGGACACGGAGCTCCTCCTCTCCTTGCTCGACGAGAAGCCCGCCGTGCCCGGCTGGAAGTGGGCTTCAGCGACCACGCCGGAGCCGTCTTCGCTGCAGATCAAGCGCACGGTCAGCACTGCTCCTGCGGCGGCCGTGGGGGACGTCACGAAGCTGGGCTCGGAAGACCCGGCCGCGTTCATCGCCTCGGTGAAGCGCGCGTGTGGGGCGCTCATCGATGCGGAACCGGAGATCACTCGGATGGATAATATCGCGGGCGATGGTGATTGCGGACTGACGCTCAAGGACGGCGCGAACGGTGCGGAGAGCATCCCCTTGGGCTTTCTATTCCGGCAATACTGTTGCTGATGATTGCCCACAGGTGTGCTGAGGAACGTCGAAAGCGGCAAAATCTCTGGAGACGATGTCATCAGCTCGATCATCTCCATATCAAAGGTGGCCGAAGAGCAGATGGGCGGGACGAGCGGCGCACTCTACTCGTACGTGCCGTATTCTATTTCGTCTTAGTCGTCGGTGAAGTCCACTCACCGATACCTTCTCCTTGACTAGCATTTTCTTCTCCGCACTCGCGCAGGGCCTGCAAGCGAACCACGGCCACCAGAAGACTCTCACTCCCGCGCTATGGGCCAAAGCGGTCTCATATGCGCTCGAAAAACTGTACACGTATACGCGGGCACGCCCTCCGTCGCGCACGTTGGTGGACCCGCTAGATGCATTCGTGAAGGCCCTCACGGCGTCGAAGGGGACGGACTTTGCCGGCGCTGTGCAAGCGGCGGACGCGGCGGCGCAGAAGACTCGGGACCTCGAGGCGAAGGCGGGGCGCAGCGCGTATGTCGAGGGCAATCGGCTCAAGGACCAGCAGGTGCCCGACCCTGGTGCGTGGGGTGTCAAGGTCGTCCTTGAGGGCTTGCTCGCCTCGGCGTAAAAGGCGACCTGCGCACTAGACTTGGATGAATGAAGAATGAAGACCGAGCGAGCAGTCATTATAGAGAGAAATTTGAAGAAGGCCAAATGCCATGTGTATATTAAGATATGCGAGAAGAAGTTTGCGTGTACGTGTACGAAAGTGTATAGAATTTTGTGTTCCTGCCATCTTCTCACAGACACCCGAGCGCTGCGTGTGTTGAGATATTCTTTCGCTTCCCTTGCATCGATCTGCAGTAGAGCGCTCAGTTTCTATCGGGAGCTCCAAGGGATGCTGGGTTCGGCCGCGTGAGACCCATCATGCTCGGGCGCGCAATGACCCCGTACTCGCGAGCGTTAGTGTACCGCGGTAGGGTTGGCTGGGTGCCTGGCAGGGATCTTGGCGTGATGGTGCGCGCTTGACTACCCTGCTTCTGTTTGGCGCGTTACGCTCGAGTCAAGATCATCTAACATGAGGAGGTCAGCGTATTCGTTGTGGATGCACACGCTCGTCCAACTACCCAACACTAATCGCTCTCCGAGGGGGACCACCTACTCGTCACCAAAAAAAATCTTTCCAGCATGCTCACTCGAAGATCCAGAAAGAGACGACACGATTCATTTGCAAGCTAAACACGCTATATAGTGCGATTAGCACAATATACTAAGCCGCTGATAGCAACAATAGCGCATTCTTGGCTTCCAATGACTCGGTGTGATGTTCGAAATGCACGAACATGAACAATCTAGGCAGCCATGTAGTACGATGTATGCGTATGACAATGGCATGCATGTATCATCATATACGCGGGCTCGGTTCTAGAGATAACTAGATCTTCGTGAGCGAAGAAAGATATCAATGTAGCGAGAGAAGTGGGACCGCTGGCAGCGCGATACGTTGTCGCGGACATAGAGGTGAGTTACCCATCTTTAGCCTGGCTCACTTGCGCGTGTACAAGTTGAGTTCCCGCTATATAGGATGGGGAGCAATGAACGTGAACCGAAATTGTAGAAGATGATGAAATTGTCTCAGATGGTAGATTACAGTTTAATCTCGACTCTGATTCATATCTGCACACCCGCATTGACAGCGCGACGGCCACAGCAAGACCGACGGTGGTCAGGTGCTCCGCGTCGAACTGCGTAGGCCACACGAGGCCCCCCGCCGACTGAATAGCCAACGTTCAAGGTTTCAATAATGCAGATACCAGATACGCTCACAAACAGCTTGGAGATAGACTCCGATGATTGCGTCTTCCTCTTTTTTGGCGTCTCCCAGCGGGACGCAACAATTGAGTCGCCGTGATGACACTATCATTTATCCTACTGGAGAACGTCAATTGCCAGCGAGAAGACGACGAAGCATGCGGGGAAACTTGTGCAAGGTTGGTGTTCGCCGTGGGTTGGCAGTCACACGGTGTGATTCTCGCCGTCGAGCACGGGCGCGGGCAGCTCGGTAGGGAGCTCGGCAGGAGCTTGTGGCTGATTGTATGCGCGGCGGCCACCCAAGCCGGTGGACGTAGTGGCAGTGCGCGCTGACGCGGAGGCGTGTGTATTAGACCCGAGGTGTTTGGGCAAGCGGAGCATGTGCAGCTACCTGCCCGAGGATCCTGTGGCGGAGCAGAGGTACGTCTGGCGGAGACAAAAACAACGCGGGTCAGCCAATGGGAGTGCGCGCATCGCAACTCCGCGCATATCCTCTCTGCGGGGTCTGCGCCTCATCTGCTCCCGCCACCAGCACGTTGTGGCCACATCTCCGCGTCCGCACCAGGCAGGCTCTGGGCGCAGCGCAGCATGCGGTGAGTGTGCCTGACACTCGCAGTTGGGCACTAGGTCGTCTCCGTGACAGTGTTCCGTGCGAACGGAATGTCCAAGGGAACGTCGCGTAGCCGACTTTATGCGGCAAGCATGCTCGGAAGACACCAGAACCCCGCATGTGGTCTAACCGGCCACGAGGTTACCCAACCACGGCGCTGCAGCCGCCTTGTCTGCGACGCGAAACAACCCCGCGCCGGTGATCACGCGCCCTGGCTCTCCACGCGCACGTCGACGGCGGGCGCGCATGTAAAGGGGTCGTTCCACGCGTCCAGATGCAGAATTTTGCAAAGCGGAGAAGGCAGAATGTTCAGAGGGCAGAATCAAATCTCCGAGATCGCATGTGCAGCCAGGAGGATGCCAGTGCTGAATGCGGGGAAAGTCTGGAGTGTGGGGTCCGGGGTCCTCGATGTGCCTGCCAGATCCATCTCCATTAGATCCCATCATCCCATCATTCCATACACGCGGTCTCTTCGCGCTTGTCCTCCTCATCTCTCCCCCCCCGCCTATAAAACCATGCCTCTCTCCGCCCGTCCCATCTTCCTCGTTGAGCGCCAGGTCGACCTCCCTCGCCCCCTCCATCCCTTTCCCCTTTTTATTCCCCCACCCGTCACGCATCAATCATGCCAGGTGGTCCCGTTGCAGCAGGTCCCGCTATCGGGGCCAACGCCCGCAAGAATAAGCTCGCTGGCATTGGCATGACCGCCTTCGCCGCCTTCGGTGGCATCCTCTTTGGCTACGACACCGGTACCATCTCTGGCATCATCGAGATGGCAGATTGGCTCAAGCTCTACGGCAAACCCTGCCCCGCCTCCCTCGCCACCACCAGCTGCACCGGCGGCTTCTATCTCCCCTCCAGCAGGTCGTCCCTCGTCGTCTCCATCCTCTCCGCTGGTACCTTCTTCGGTGAGCACCATTCTTCTTCACCATCATCTCCGCATTTTCTAATGCCCCCGTGATAGGTGCCCTCTTCGGCGCTCCCGTAGCCGACATCCTCGGTCGTCGTCTTGGCATCATGCTCGCCTGCATCGTCTTCGTTCTCGGTGTCGCCCTCCAAACCGGCTCACACAACCTCGCCACTTTTGTCGTCGGTCGTGTCTTCGCGGGTCTCGGTGTCGGTCTCGTCTCCACCCTCGTCCCCATGTACCAGTCCGAGTGCGCACCCAAATGGATCCGTGGTGGCGTCGTCACCCTCTACCAGTGGGCCGTCACCATCGGCCTTCTGCTCGCATCCGTCATCAATAACGCGACCAAGAACCGCCACAGCCACGCCGCCTGGCGTATCCCGATTTCAATTCAGTTTATCTGGGCATTCATCGTCTTCACCGGCATGATTTTCCTTCCGGAGGTGAGCGCATGCACTTTGGCGTTATCTGGCTCATGGCTGATTCCTGCCTTTAGTCGCCGCGTTGGTTGATCAAGCGGGGCAAGGATGCTGAAGCCGCCAAGTCATTATCTCGCCTCACGGGCCTCGTGCCGGGTGAAGCGGACCTCGAGCTTGAGCTGGCAGACATCCGCGCGGGCCTCGAGGAGGAGAAACGTTATGGAGAGAGCTCGTATCTCGACTGTTTCCGCCCGTCGCACAACAAGATTGCCCTCCGCACGCTCTCCGGTATCTTTATTCAGGCATGGCAGCAGCTCACAGGTATCAACTTCATCTTCTACTGTGAGTCATTTTTCTCGCATATGTCACTCACGCGTGTGCTGATCGGCACGCACCAGACGGCACGACGTTCTTTAAGAACTCTGGCATCAAAAATCCGTTTCTCACCTCGGTCGCGACGAACATTGTCAACGTGTTCATGACGCTGCCGGGTATCTGGGGTGTCGAGCGCTTCGGCCGTCGTTCGCTGCTCCTCTGGGGCGCCGCGCTCATGTGTGTCTGCGAGTATCTGATCGCCATCATCGGTGTCACCATCTCGGTCGACAATGCATCGGGTCAGAAGGCGCTGATTGCGCTTGTCTGCATCTACATTGCTGGCTTTGCCTCGACGTGGGGTCCCATTGGTACGTCAATCACGCATCGCGCAGATCCTCCTTTCTGATATTTCCGTGGCAGCGTGGGTCGTTGTGGGTGAGATCTTCCCACTGAACGTGCGGGCCAAGGCAATATCGATGTCGGTCGCGTCAAACTGGCTATGGAACTGGGCGATTGCGTACGCGACGCCGTACCTGGTCAATTCGGGTAAGGGCAACGCAGATCTCGGCGCAAAGGTGTTCTTCATCTGGGGCTCGACATGCCTCGGATGCCTGATATTCACGTACTTCTGCATCCCCGAGACGAAGGGGCTCTCACTGGAGCAGATCGACTTGCTCTACCAGAACTCGACGCCGCTCACGAGTGCCAAGTACCGCCTCGAGCTCATCACCGCGGACGTGCACGTCGCGGATGTTGTGGACAAGGGGGTCCGCACGGACGAGAAGGTGTCCGATGAAAAGGTCTAAGGGCCACTGCGACCGGCTGTCTGTCCTGAGTGTTTGTTCTTGTGGCGAGTGTATGCCCCGCTGCGTGTGAATGGACTGCATGACGAGTATCTCACGCAAATGCGATAATGTGTAAAGAGTAGCTTTTTGCTGTCTTTCTTACGATGGGTCTGTTGCAACACGAATTCCCCCCTTCATGTTCCCTGCCATGAACATACTGTACACTACATTTAACGAGTATCAATTATCACCTCCCGTGGGTCCATCGCCGCATAATGGCCATAGCGCTACTTCGCTGGCGAGAATCGATGGCGGATGGATGGCTGGGATGGCGAAAATGGACCAAGAACGCGGCAAGTATGAGCCGAACTGAGCTCGGAGATAGAGTTCATTCATTCGCACTTCCCAGGCGCGAGCTGTCCCTGAAAGCTTGACAGGTCGAACCTTGAGCTTGACGCAGCTCGGTGACAGCGAACACGCTACCGTACGTAACTCGGCGTCCACTCGCCGTTTCGAGGGGGAACAGATTCCTATTCCCACTCCAATATATCAAGTTCATAATGATTCAATGAAGCGGTTATCTACACCACGGCGAACTGGGAACGACGCGATCAGAACGCGAAGACGACGGAGAGGTGAGTAATGCCCAGAGGCTGGCACAGACCTCGGACACCAGCCCGCGGCGATGGCATTCATTGTCCATCACGCACATCTGTCAAACTCTCCGCTATTCCAATTGTTAAATGAGGCGGCGAGTCCCTGCCGAGGCTGGTGACCATGCGGCGCGGTGGGAATGCTTGGGCCTGTCGGCTATTACTGTGGGCGAGTAGAGGGCGCGGGCGCATACCCCGTAGTGGAGTCAGGGGTCGGTGGCGACGCGGTGGCCCGCATGATCGTCAAAGGTGATCATTCCAAGTTCGGGAGAATGGAGACAGGCAATGTGCAGGCACATCTGTTAGGAGGATGATTTGCCGGGGCGCGTGATACCAGTGAAGAATGACGTCGGGCGCGAGAGGTGGACTTGCAAGACCGTGACGAGACAGAATCTGCATCTGCGTTGATAGGCAGCCGGCGTCGATATTCAGTCTTAAGTGGCATATTTATATGTCGGGGGCCAGCATGTGCAGATTGCTGTGCACTCAGGCGAGCTTTGTGGTGATCATCATCGTCTCGAAATCATGCAGGCTCACTGACTTGTCGGGCGCTGTCGAGAACGCCTCGAGCATCTGGACTGTCTGTAAGCCGGTTCTTTAGCTGGATGGTCTGAAAAGCAGTATACGAACATACCTCTTCGGCTGTGATCTTCTCCTTTATCACTTTCGCGACGCGCGTGATGTCTTTGATCCTGATGCGTTGTTTCTCTAGTTCATCGTCTGGGATATCAGGGAAGAAGAGCGCGAACGCTTTGCGGCATTCCTGCTCTTGACGTTGCGTGAGACGACGGGGACGAGTGAGATCTTCGTCTTCGGCATCATCAGTGCTGGCACGAGACATTGCATGCGACGTCCCTCGGGAGACCTTCTTGCGACCTTTGCGCTTTCTTCCAGACGTGCGCATGAAGCCTCCTTCCACATACTCGTCGCCAGAGTCCTCCGGTTGTTCCTCCGAGCTAGACTCCTGTGCATCACTGACAACATACTCATCTTCCGAACCAGAGTCTCCTTCCTCGGACAGTCCGCGGCTGGCCGCATCTTCGTTCTCAACCTGATTGTCCACCGCGCCGTCCGCTTCACCAGTGTCCAGAAGCGCAGCACATACCGCCCGCCAGTCTTTACGACTGACGTACTTCTCTTGCTCTTGCTCCTGCTCCTGCTCCGTTCGTGCGCTCCCTGGATTTTCCCATCCGGATGCGGCGTTCCTGAACACGGCCAGCACGTCCTCGTCGTCCGGTTGAAGATCGAGCAGCTGCAAGGCAGTAGGTATGAGAGAGAGCGGGATCGGTGTGGGTTCTGTATCCTCCTCGGCGTCACTTTCAGGTACGAATCCGCCGGGAAGGTCATCGGATTCGACGAGGAAGCCTCCGGGTTGAGGTGTTTCGAGAAGGAAGCCGCCAGGCGAAGAAGAGCTATCGACGACTCCTTCTATTGTGACCTTCTGCTTTTTGCGTGGCGGGCTGGAATCTCGCTCAGAGGAGGCTATGGCATCGTCAAAAGCGCGATCAATCCGTCGTTTGAGGCGTGTAGGCAAGGCTATGTACCCAAGGTCTTCTGCGTCCTCTTCCATGCTTTGAGATCTCAGCGGCGAGTGCGGAGAGATGGCAAAAACAGCTTAGCACCAAGTTTCTTGGACGCCTGCCCAAAATGGCAGGCACGCGCGAACAGACACAGTCACGTGGGGCGCGTCGCAACGCGTCGAGGGCGTGACCGGCGTTGAAGTGAACGACGACCATGGCTGCGACACGCCCCTCCCGCCCTTCCCGTTCCGAACACACCGCCGTCACCAACGATGGGAGCGACACCGATCCTGATGAAGATACCTCCGTGGCGGACCGCCGGACCGCCTCTAAGAAACGCATCAGTGATGTTTTCACGCTCGACCGCGACGAGAGTTTCTCTTCTGATACTGGGCGTGTGCCGCTGCGATCTGTGAACATCAATGACGATATGGCGGAGAAGCGCAGGCGTAGGAAGAGTGCCAAGGTCACCGCGATGGGACCGGAGGATTCTCAAGCAGGGCCCTCTGAAGTAAACAACGAAGAACAAGGTGGCGCAGGGCCATCAGGAACGGCGGCTGCACGCCAAAAGCAGCAGCTACTTGCTGTGGCCCAGGCGCCCTTGATCAATGTGCCTATAGATGTCATGAACTCGAACTTTGAGGAGTGGATGAAGATGGCTACGGATAATGTGCGTCCGTTCTCATCATGCACTCCACCAAGCGTTCATCTTGCTCGCAGAAAATCAATGCAGCAAATTCCTGGAACTTTGCGCTTATCGATTACTTCCACGACATGTCCCTTCTCCGCAACAACACAGACAACTCCATCAACTTCCAACGGGCGTCGTGTACCCTCGACGGATGCGTTAAGATCTGGACGAGTCGTGTGGACAGCGTCGGGACTGAGACAGGCAAATTACTCAGTAACCTGGCTAACGAAGGCAGAGGCGGAGATGACGAGGAAGGTGCGAACGTGGACGACCCGGATAATCAGGATTCCTCTCAGGGCCCACGTAAACGCAAGACGCATAGAGCCGAGTCAACTCTCGCGAAGTCAGTCGCACAATTACGGAGCAAGAAGCTGGACCTTGAGTTCACCGTGGACCCCCTCTTCCGGAAGACTTGCGCGGACTTTGATGAGGGTGGCGCACAAGGCCTCCTGATGAACCATCTCAGCCTTGGCGTGGGTTCCGAAGGAAGCTTGCGTGTTGTATTCGACGCCAGTGATGCGATGGGTGGAGGAGAGGAGGAAGAAGAGGCTGCGTCGGAGGAGCCGGAGGATCAGGTTGACATAAGCTACCTTCGCAGTATGTCTTGCAGCTTCTGTTTGCCATGATAGTTCACTGACCGTTCGCAGAGCAATTTCTTCCTGACTTGAATGTCCTAGAAGAGAAGGCCATATCTCACTCCATAGAGGGCTTCTCATTTTCAAAGGACAGTTTCTCTCTCGACGAGACGACATTCTTCCGTGAAGACCCTACTGGACTTGACGACGACGACGACGATGCTGGCGATTTCGGCGATGGGCATGTCCAGGATGTCGCGCCATTGGATGGCAATGGGGGCCAAGACGACCAACCTGTTGAAGACTTCTTCGTCGGTGATCAGGCAGTAGGGGATGATTACGTCCCGGATGTGTTTGGACCTGGAGATACCCTCGACGAAGAGAACCAAGGGGAAGAGCAAGATGGTCTTGCGAACGCTGGCCGTCCGGGCGCATTCGTGCCATTTGATCCACGGCGGGTGCCGAACGAGCGCGACCTGGTCATGGCTATGACAGAAGGCGACGGGGAGGGAGGCGGCTTATTGATGGACTATTTCGAACAGGGCTTCCTCAAGAATTGGGCCGGTCCCGAGCACTGGAAGTTACGGAAAGTGGTCCGCAGGCGTGAGTATGCTCGAGAGCTGCTTGACGACCTGTTATTGACGTGTCCACTTGGAATTGTAGCGGAAGCGACCACGGCTGCTCCGAAGCAGAAGCGCGAGAAGAAGGAGGCATTCAAGATTGACTTCTTGACTTCGTCTGAGAAGAATGTGAAGACGATCGCCAAGGAGCTCTTCGTGCCGGTCACCCGCGGTGCGGGGATAACGCTCCCTGTTCCTTCGTCCAGTAAGACTTCTTCTCGCAAAGGCCGAGGCAGGAAATCGAGGGACAAGGATAAGGATAAGCGTAACGACCAAATGTTGCCCGACGACATGCATTTCTCTAGTCGGCAGTTGGTGACACTCTTTTTGAAGCCAAAGTTCGCTGTGAGGATGCTGTCATTTCACAGATGAGCTGCGCTGACCAATTGATACGCACTTATAGCTGAGAATGCGAGGCCATCGAGTTACATCAGGCAACCGTGGTGACGCTGAGATAGACGAGAACTTCTGGGCTCAAGCTGCAGCCGATCAAGCCGCAGGACGCGCAGATGCTGATGGCGATGAGAGTGAGCGACTTAAGATCATATTCTCACCAATTTCCTTAAGCTTACATGTTCTCTTGAAGCCGTGGACGGTGGTGCCATTCCGTTCAACACGCAGTTCTTCCATGACGATTATGACGACGGCCCAGGATTTGACGACGCGGACGATGTCGCTGATGGTGAGAACGGCGCAGCTGTCGAGCCTGGAGAGCAGGACCTGCTTGCCGCGACACAGGACCAGACAAGACGCGTACGACCAGAGTTTGTTAACCATGCTAAACGTGCGAAGAGAGTCGACGTGCGGAAGCTGAAGGACAATATCTGGAAGGGCCTCGACATTATCGTCCCCGAGCCCAAGGAGCAAGATGTAGAGGACGATGCAATGGTTCGTTTCTGTTACAGGGATGCAGGGCTTTCATGATACTTACAGCTGCCTTGTATATGCAGGATACGGACGATCAAACCCCCACTGACCCTCAGGAAGCACGGCAATTCACTGCTGTCATCTCGGGCCTGCAGAAGACATATCCAAGGGAGAAGATGGAAGAGATCAGCACGAGTTTCTGTTTCATTTGTCTTCTGCATCTAGCAAATGAAAGGGGCTTGAAGCTGGAGACTGACAAGGAGGATGAGGAGATTGTCGAGGAAGACGAACGCAAAGTGGGAAGAATATGGGATCTGAAGGTGCGTTCCGTGACCGATGGTGATGCCGAGCATATGCTGATATACGCGTCTAGGTGTATCGCGACCCGGATGCGACGCTCACAGCATAGTAATTCGAGTGGCCTTTGCCACTTACTGTACCATTGGTTACCTACTCCGTCTGTCTCCTTTATATATGATACTGTGCTCATACATTTTTACCGCAGCTTGGCTTATATGATGTAGACCTGCATTTGATTGCGAAGGGAATTTGAGCTTCAAATGGGCGAATCCTACATCGAGGAGAATGGAACGAACATGCAATACATGTTCTCGTCAATTGAAGAACGCAACGAAGCTAGGGCTACAACATCTTCGGTATAAGTGGGGATGAAGATGAAGGAAGGCTGCGGATGCAAGCGCATAAAGCCGGCGGATCTCATCATGTAGACGATCGAGTCAACCATGTGTTATACATGTCCTCGTACTTCTTCTGCATGCGGCCACTGAGTTCCAGGTATTCTGAAAATGCCTTAGGCGGCAGTTCGAGGATGCCCTTCGTTGGTGCACGAGGATCATCTTCAGATGGATAGATGGTGAGAATGGCGGTGGTGGGAATGCGTGCACTCGGTACGTCGGAGACAAGGAATATGCGTTCGCCGAGAGGTCTGAATGTGAGCACGTCTACCCAGCGCTCTCGCAGGCCATGTTGGCGTATTGCTGTATTACAAGGTCAGTAGCTGACACTCAAAACAAGTTACATACTCACATTGTACCACCGTGACCTGTCGTTGCACAATCGCCACTGCAATGGACCCGCAGTCCAACATCGCGTCGCGTTGTGCTGCCAGTGCACCAGACGGGTGTGGGGGTCCAGCACAAATGTCACCACATCTTGAAGGAACTGTCAGGCAGCTTCTATCGGCCTCTCCTCTCCTAAACTATTGCGGCTGGGTGTGCGTGCTTTTGCATGCCACGATGGCTGCAAACACAATAGCTATAGTCGCTCAATGAGGATAAAGTCGCACACGCATGCGTCATGCCGGTCATTGTGTACGGATCATTCAATCCGCAGAACAATTGTCAGGGCCGACTCGTCGCATTACCATTTAACACCTTTTTTAGAATAAGAGATTCGTCAAAGTAGGCATCAACGCCATTGAAACAAACAAACGCATGGCCTGATATGGCAAGCAGAACGTCCCGTTCGTCATGTTCATGCGCATGGTCGATGAATGGTTGGGGCATAGCGCACGCGCGTCAGCTACCGGCGCGGATGACGTTTTGCAGCGCTCTCTTCGACATCGCTGGCAAGCCATGTGCAGCAGTGTTGTCCTGCCCTTGGGCTCTCATTCATTCCCACTGTCCATATCCTTGTTTGGCGCGGTATATGGACCTGGCAGTGCGTTCAGTGGATGGCGGTCCGCGAAGCCATGCTGGCACGTATTAGGGTCCTTTCTTTCGGGGGACGCAATATGCATAACTAACGGGTGTTTTCATGGTCCGTGCCTCGTCCAGACATCTATCGCACAGCTCATAAAACCGCCTTCGCGAAGGGGGTGATCGTCGTTCGTCTGCGCGCGCCACGATATATCGCCAATTCAGTGACGCCACAAAGTTGAGAAATTGCGCTCAACTGTCTACTATCGAGTACGATTTAAGGTGTGTCATATGCTTCAAGATTGCGCAGAATGAGCATTGGGCTGGTCGATCTGCTCCATCCGGCAAGGCGGTGGTTTATTACATGCATGAGCATGAAGGCAGTTATCAGGATGGTGACCAGAAGCTATGTGCTCCTGGAGGCAATGCGCTTCTCGAGGCAATGCGATGCCACACTCACTGCCTCGCGCTCCGCTCATCTCACTAAGCACATATCTATAGAGAAGCGTGCAGGGATATGGACGACTCCATCGACAAGTACCGCCTTTGTCCGCAAACATAGCCGCACAGGCATTACGCGGTCAGACAAGGATATCCGAAGCCCGCGGAGGTTGAAGGCGGTCAAGGAGAGAAATCGGATGTGCACTGTTTATAAGATTACAAAGCCGGTAGATATCTCCTCTGAGATCGCGTTCGCCCATAGCTCTCAGGGTATTTAGAAGAAGAGATCCACAAAAACAGAAGGTACAGTAAAGATTTGGGAAGATAAACAGAACAATCTGAAGCAATAAAATTTGCTGTATCCAGCGGGGATGCCAACTCCAATTACTTTGAAATTACGTTTAGGATGAGGCGCCTACGCACTAAGAGGAGGTAGCAGCGATCAACTATATTGAGCAACAGAACGGCAATAACAGAACATGGACGAGTTCGCTAAGGAAATGCAGAAAGAATTTGGTATGGTCGCAGAAGCCGCCGCGACCGGCGGTGATAGTCGTCACGGTCTTCGACAGTATGGTAATACTTGAGTAAGAATGAGTCACTAGCAGCCAGTGGCCTTAAGGAGGAGAACTGATTAGAAATGAGATTGCGTATAGGACCGGCGAGGGTGCAGGTAACGGTAAGCTTGCAAGCTACTTACGTATCCATGTTGAAGCCTGACTAGGTCGAGATCATCAAGAATGATACCATTGAACGAGTATCGACGCACCGTCATGAGACGTGGTCCGACCATATTCTCTTTGGTATGTCGCCCCTTCCATTCCCTTGTAAAATCAGCATTGGAAGCTGGACTGATGTCGTTCGCATTGTAAATCAATCATGTTCTTGCTTCATAAAATGCCTAAAGCCTTTCTGACTTTTTGTATAGGTCCCGATCCAGCTGAGGTTTTGAGCTGGAGCAGGAGGCTATACGATACCACGTAAAGCCTTCACAATTGTCTCGTTTTAGGGCCTTGAATTCACGATAAAAGGGGCTTGCCACGCTCACATCGCGGATCTCCAGAAAAAACGCTCTGGAATATCATTCATTACAGAGGACTGGATGTGATACAGATGATACATACCCGCGTGTATCATGTTGAATTTGACCCGCTGCAGTCGCGTGCTTGACGAACGGAACTAATTCTGACCTCAGTTCTGCTACTATCGGTGTGGTCAAATTGGCGGGGCAGTGTGTACGTTTCGCGCGATTATAGGTGAGTATTATCGTTCGGATGCAGAAGAGGAGGCTATACGCTTCTTGAGGCTATGTGACATCCCGCTCACCGCCTCAGAGTGCCGCCCATCCCCCTGTGCAGATACTGCATGGCGAAGCATGCGAGGACTCCGTCGATAAGGACCGCCTCTATCGTCACACGAAGCTATCCAATTTAGTTCACGACACACGAGTATCGGATGAATCCCGCGTAGTGGATATTGGGTAACGAGGGCGATATATACACTTGAGGAGAACTGAATCGAGATCGAGCATCGAGATGATATGCTAGTGAGTAACATACGCAAGAAAGTACAAGCAGATCGTGGAGCGTGGACGAAAGCAAGCCAGAAGAAGACGCAGACGAAGAAAAAAAACGTTCCACAGAAGCAGCAGGACAGACGGAATGCAATGGAAGGTGGGTAGGTGTGAAGAGGAGCAGAATGGTCTACGCCGCCATCTATTCGTTCCATACCGAAGTCCGACCGTAACCTAACCTCGGCCCTTACAGTTTGCGCAAGCCAGGGGAACGTCGACAGTTCAGAGAATACACGTGATAGCAACGCCAGAGGATCGGCAGTGAGCGGGTATATGTGCGGTCGTGATAGGACAGTCGTGGCAGTCGTGAGGAGTCGTGATGTGTGTGAGAGATATATTGGTTGTAGATGTGTCATCGAGAGTTAGCAAGGCGTAGATCACGCTGTGCTTGCTTATTGCAGAGAATGTGCACCATGCGTGCGAGGGCGCAGGCACAGGTGAGCTTGCCAGCTGCCCATAGAGACATGTTGAAGACCGACGAGGTCTAGGTCATCCAGAGTGATGCCATGAGCCCCGACCCGCCAGGCCGGCTCTGCATCCTCCTCCATGTTACGTGTTTGCATGTCCTGGAAAGATTGGCGTCGAAGGGCGTCAATTACTGTTCTCGTTGTGAACATGGTACTTACGTCGATGAAACGTTGGACGACCCTGGCTACACCCTTAGCCAGCTTGGCACGTGTTATGGGCTGAGGAGGACTACGGAAGTCTCTCGTGGGGATTTGCTTGCTCCAGGGCACGTAGCCAGGCCACTGTAACGGAAGCCGTCAGCTCGCACTATATAACATTTGGAAAGCAATGTACATACGTTGATTCGGATGGATACAGAGGGGCCTCTATCCACGAGAACCGGATCGTCTCTGTCCTTCAGGCTCATGAATCTGCTGTTGATAGCGTCTCGAAGAGAGATACCGCAGGTCTCTGGGTTGGTCACATAGAACATGATCGGAGCCTCCAGTTTGACTTCCTCAACGTAGCGCTTGCGATCGCTTTGCGTGTGCGGCCTGTACGTCTTCTGCAGGACAAGCTGGCCACGCATGGGGACTTGGGGATTCGCCGTTATGATCGACTGCACGGTGAGAAATCCGGTAGTCGCACGGTCATCCTTCACACTATATTCGAAGTGTGCCTGTTGGGGTATCACAGTGAACATGTGAGGGTAATGATCATATTTTGTAGGAGAATACATACCGGATGATCAAGCGGATAATTATAAGGAGTATTACCCGGCGATACTCTAGGAGAGCGGTTGATGAGAGGGCTTCCATTACCTCTGTAGCTAAAAGGTGACATGTCCGGTGTGGGCAGTGCTGAGTTGGAGCTCGAAGGCGTGGCATTGCTCGGGCGACGCGTCAAATCCGGAGTGTAGGGACTAAGTAGATCTTCTCTGGCGCTCATGGGCGACGGCCCGAAAGTGGTGTTGACTTGGATCTGAGGCTGACGCGTGGACCTCCCCATATCGTACCCAGAGTAGGGTGGGGGATACATGACCGAAGGCAGCTGTGACGTTGGCATTTCCTCTGGGAACATGTTCTGAGCACCAATCGGACTGAACAGCATTGATTGTGGCGCTTGTGGCGATGTTGGGAAGGCGTACGTATCGAAAGCAGTCTGCGCCAGAACCGGCTGGTGTGCAGTACGTTCGGACCCAGGTGGATACATTATGTCAGGAAACTCGTAGAGGTCGATGCCCTGAACGCACAACGTTAGCGACGATAGCTGAAAGGGATTCGAAACGACGAACTGAGATGTCGGGAGAAGCATTGCCGAAGGTATTCAGCAGCATCCCGTGGCTGCTCGGCCCGTCGTTCCACATATGGCCCGAGTGTTGCATGGCGGCTGCGCCCTGTGAGTCGGGCATCAAGGACGTCCTGATGGAGCCGGGTCAAACAGGAGATCAGCCATGCTCGATGAAACCCACTCGTTGTACTCGTTCTCTGCTGTGGGTGGGCGAGAGTCAACCATTCAGGCGGATGAGGGCAGTGAGTAAGAGGTGGAGGGTGGGCCGGCTGGAAGGAGGCGATGTTATATATGAGTATTGAGGATATTGAGGTTAAGCGCCGATGTACGAAACGGGAGGCGGACGAAGCTCAGCTCGCAGGAACACGGACACACGGACGCGACACACTCACGCAACCGCAATCAAGCACAAAGTGAACGCCGCTTGGCCGAATGCGCTATCGAGGTACTGGGCTTCTCACGTCGGGCGGGTCGTAACGGACTTGAGACTAGTAATGCCGCGTCCTTCCTAGGAAACAGGTACCAATAGTTGTGTTAATGGGGGAGGAACTTTCTCCGGGCGCGAGAACGAGAAGAGGGAGGGTAGAGGACGCCGACGTAAATTATACCAAAATGACACTGGGTACGATAGGTGACTCGATGGGCGGTGTCACCGGCACCGTGCATCTGTCTGGATGCACGCGCCGGCGATGGCGGTTCAGAGAATTCCATCGGGGAGTTCCTGGTGTGGCTTGAAAAACGTGGATGCCTACACGATGAGGTATGAGGCTGTGCAAGGCGGCTCGGATAGGCAGGAGCTTGAAAGCGATGCAGACGATTCGTTGCTGGACCTGCCTTTTGGGGCCCGGATCTCGGTGATGCAAGGCAAAATCGACGGCGAACGTACGCAAGTGATCTAAATGTTGATGCCAGCAGGCGGGTTGTCCGCCGACGACCACAACCACAGCGGCTGCGGCCCCAAATTGAGTCGGAGAAGCGAAGACACTTCCTCTAATGGAGTTAGTTCCAGAGCATCCAGAAAGTCTGCAATCGCACGCTGCACAGCAGATGTCCCTGCGTTGCGGTGTAACCAATGCAGCGCTGGCCGTCAGCGCCCGGTGCCGACGGATGCGGCGGAGGGGACACTCTTTCCGGGACCACCTTCTAATGGTTGGCCATGAAAGAGCACATGCGATGTCGAAGTAGTGCGAGTCGAACAGAAAGCATCGCAGAGCGCGTGTGTATCCTCGCGCTGGCGGGGGACATGGAGAATTGACCGTGGCAGAAGGATATCTCAGCCACAGATCACCGATCACGCGTGGCGCTTTGCCTCGAGGCAGTACCATCCACTGGCAATAATCGTTCACTGACGTTCTAGTCGTCCCAGAACTCGCGCTGTACGTAAAACCGGAGGCGGCGGTAGTGCACTGAACAAGTTTTACTGCATGCGGTGTATTATTGCATTCTCGTTGGAACTGATTCATTCCGAGCTGAAGATCACGATCAGGTAATGCTCCAGGTCGTTTGGCAAGTGATTACCTGCATCGCGAATTTTCAAAATGTCTGTCACCTTGTTTTCCCGCTTCCGCCCTTGCCGGTCCGGCGACTTCGCATTCTGATTTTGGCCTAGTGAATTACCCAGTCCTTCAGTCGGTCGACCTCGCGACAATACCAAGCAAGGTCCCAGATTTTTCGCGATTCCATAGTTGCTTCGCGGCCAACTATCCCAATAGCTTCAACTCGTATTAAACGAATACCGGGTATTGTTTACGGAAGTCTGCGGCGTGGGTTCACATGGAAGCACGCCCAGCTGACCTCCCTAGCCGAATATAGAGCAATGTGCCGTGCACTAACGTAGCTCTGAGCGTAACCGTCGGCCCTGGCAGATGAGCTATCGGCTCGCTGACGAATGAGTACCGAGTGAACAAGGATGGCCGACTCCATCTCCTTGTCGCTCACATAGTAGCTATAGAAGGTTTTGCGAAGACACTAGCAAAAAAGATTGGGTGACAACCTGACAATCGTGCTGAGGACATGGCCACTCGTTCGCGTTCGCCACCGATCAAAGACGTATTGCAATCGTTCTGAATTCAGCAGCCCGGCGAATTATGGCAGCGGCACAATGGAATCGGCGCCTGACCCACTCGTCGTGAAAGCTTCTACCGGCAGGAACTGAGTAAATGCTGCATTGATACCCGGGTCGACTCGGTGCTACCTTTCACGAACGACTCAGGGACAGGAACGACGGGCAAGAACGGCAGTCGACAGGGCCGTTTCCCACTCATCACAATGGACACAATTCATTATTACCAGTGCCTTCTAGAAATGCTTTACTCCATCCAGTTCATAAGACCTATTGTGGGGATGTCGATGAACGTGGCAGGCTTGAGGTATGCACTGTAAGCAACCCGGCCACGTCTTTCCGACAAGTGCGGCGAACCTTGCAAGAGCTTGATGAGCGCCGCAATGCGAACATCCGACACAGTCGAAGCGTTACAAATCAGCGAGCTTCCTCAAGCCCCGTCGCTTTTACCTGAACCTTGAAGCTTAAGAGACGGGCGGATGACGAGCGACTTCGGCCAAGTCGGAGTGAATGAACACGGTCATGTAGCGGCCTGCCTTGTCCGGTACTCTAGTTTATTGGCAAGAATCGATGCGATTTTTAGAAGCACTTCTTCGATATTCAGCTTACAGACAGTGCGATGTAGAATGACGTCTTTGGCAGCTCGCATCGGGGAGAAACGATGACGAATTTGTTATGCGATTCGAACTAGCATACACTTCAACCAGTAGGGGAAAATGGCCACGGCGCTGTCTTACTAGAACATTGACGATAGGAGGTATACTTTCTTCCCCCTCGTACGCCAACTATGCGGCTTGGGCGAGAAGTACGGGCTTCCTCCCCGCTCTGTCGGAGAGAAGGGTTGAAGCTGCCATAGCAGAGTTGACATCTCAGTAGAGGTCACTTAGGACTGAAGACAGGCGGACATGGACGCCGCAGCGAATAGTCATTCGAAGTTGACGGCCTGCACTAGGCCGTCTTTGTTCCTGGTACTGTTCCATAGAGAAAGGAGGTAAGAGCCCGACATGTGGGAAAAACTCTTCCTGTCGTTTCCATCTCCATATACGTGCCATTTGTAGCCCGTCTAATGCGAGCAACAAGGAGTATGCGTCAGTCTTCGCCGCCAGCACGATTCGCACCCGTCGACAAGGCACTCACGAACCCAATACAATACTTTCCAACTTGGGAACGAGGCCCTCATCATGACGTCTGAGATTACGAGTATGCCGGCGTTTCCGCGCCGCCGACAGATGAGCCGAGTTCTTGCGGGTCACTGGACTGTCGAAGGTGCAAAGACGCGACTGCAACAGCTGTTTGGGTCGCAGAAGAGCATTCAGATCCCCTACGCAAGTACTGGCGATTGCACACCTCCGAGAACCTACCTGGATAACAGCAACACTAGTTGTGATATATCATGGGAAAATCCCTGATATAGTGCGCGTTAGAACTCTCAACAGCTACAAGGCTATAAGGAAAATCGCTCACAATCAATGACAACTGATGCGTAGGCCTGGGAGATCCTGTACAGAATCAGCTAATCCATGCAGACCGTTACACCACATGGCAGGAATCAGTTCAATGCGCCTTTTGGGGGGGGGGGGGGCATGGCAATTTCTCATCAATAAATAAAAACTCTAGTAGTGTCCAGTCCCATCGGTGGTCGTAATGGAGAGTTTGGCACATTTAGCCTATTGGATCCTGGCGGTACACTCCCAAGATACGCATCAGCTCGGTGAGGTACCATCCGGTGAGTCCCCACACTTCCAGTCGCCCCTCGCGCCCGCCGCCGATCTCGTCGCGCTGCTGGGGGTCGTTGACCCAATGCACCTCCTCGTCCGTGCCCACGTCTGCATGCATCGCGTGTGGTCCTGACACAAGGTCCGCGACGCTAATCGCGTTGTATGGCGTCACGCCGCGGAACTTGTAGGAACGGACCCGCGTCGGCGAGACAATCGCGGAAAAGGGGAGGTGGAATGCGTGTGCGACCTCGGTTTGATTTAATTTCAGGGTCTTTAAGGGCAAGGAAGGGAAAGGCTCTTGCGATGGTCCGTCTGCTTCGGATACAGCGCCCTCCTGATATGCGGGCACGTTGCGTGGGTCGGTATGAATGAAGCCCTGAAATTAAAGGACGATCAGTCCCGATCAACCACCGATCTGGTGATGGATGCCTTCGAAGACATGGACACTCACGACGTAAGGCCACACTCGTAGTCCATTCAGAGACTTTTGAGCGGGGCCAAATCGTCCAAGTATCTCCACTTGTTCCGGATTGATACCTAGTTCTTCCTTATTTTCGCGAAGGGCGGCAGCCAAGGGGCTGCTATCCGTCTGGACAGCGCCATTCCATCATCAGACCACAACTGGTTCGCTGCCCGAGTACGGACCTTATCGACTCTCCCTCCGGGAAAGCTATGCCAAAGTCAAGTGTCGACGACCGCAGCGACTTGCGAACGAGCATATCTGCGCACCTCACCTCTCCGGAATGATGTCTCAGCTTCCCGGCGCGCACCTCGAGCAGGATTCCCGGCGTATCATCGACATTGCAGAACGGCACGAGCACGGCCGCATGCTTCTCGGCGGGATCAAAGGCATTAGCAGGCTCGGAATCGAACCAGGACGACGCGAGGGCAGCGCGGATGGTGTTCAACGAAGCGCGTGTGAGAGGCGAGCTGAGCGAGATGCTCCCAGAAGACGGAACTGGTACAGTAGGCATAGACTGAAGATGAGAGTCGGCTCTTAGCGGAGAATGCGCTGCGGACTTGCGTCCGTTGAGCTCATGGACTCGATGGCCGCTGTTTGCGTGCACATTGTGGCTGAGCGTCGAAATCAAAGGTCGGCGCGGCACCGTCGATCTCTCACTCACACACACAGCAGCCCGTAGAGTCCGCACAACGGATTGCTCAAGACGATTCGGATCCATGTCAACGTGTGCGCCCGATGTCACCAAGCACGTCGCTTGCAATAAATTGCGCATTGCGCAGCATTCACCCATATGAGAATGTTGTATTGTACACACGACAAGATCGCGATCGGGGTAAAACCGGGTTCCGCAGGTAAGGAGGTTTTTCGAAGGCCTCTGCGCCTAATCGAGCCCCGCTCACCACATGATAGGGCGGCATCGCCGCCGTACTCTCGCATGAGCGCATAAGCTGGCGGTCTATTCAAGGACGTTGGAGTAGCCCAGCGGAAGTTCTTGAATGGGCAGGATTAGTCACCTTATGCACTCATGCCGCGCCTGGCTTCGCCATCGCATAGGGGCCACAGCATGCGTGCTTATAAACCCTGGGCAGGGAGGAGTAAAGCAGAGCCCCGCTCTTCCTCCCCTCAGGTGAGTACCCGCTCGTGTATGGCCCCCAGAGCCCCGCTCTGACTCGCCATTACTCAGGCATATCATACGTGCTGCGACCGCGAGATTCTATCCGCCCTGCCAGTTCATCACGTCTCGCAGCAGCTCTTAGCAACCATATCTTATCTTTTCGCTCATCATTATTCGGTGCTTCGTGTTGAGACACTGCATCACCCATCTACATAGTCATCCATGGTCGGTAGCAATGCATCTTCATTCACTCAGCCTACTCCGGAGTCTCAGGAGGCCATTCAAATGCGTGCCGAACGCATGCAGCAGATCGTATCTGATGCTGCGGCTTCTCGAATCACGAACGATTCAGCGATCCAGCGCCTTCAGGAGATCGGAGCGAATGACCAAGAAGTACGTGACTACCTCGATCAGCTCGTTGACCAAGAGCGAGAGAAACTGGGAGGAGAGCGTGCAGGAGGATCAGGTGAACGTGAGCCTAGCCCCAGTCAATCGACCGAAGGGAGAGGAGAGCGTGTTGAAGAATCACAATGCGAGGCAAACCCAGCCGACAAGCTGGCCTGGGCAATCGTTAAACAAAAGCTCCTCTCGCTGCGTCAACCTCGCGGCCAGGTCGCTAACGAGGATCTGTTGCTCGAAGACCTGGCTAAGGTTCTGGGACGGTCTTCCGAGGATAAGGCCGCTACTGGCATCCCTCAGTCCGTTCTCGCTGCCGCTCCCCATCTGGCATCCATCCTGCCATCTTCGCAGGACACTCATCTGGCAGAGACGTTCCGCTTGCGTCAGCTGTACGCAACTGAGCATGCAAGTGACCCGATCCTTGACCTTATGCAGCAGCAAGGTCTGCAGGTTCCTCTGCCCCGATCAATATGGAAAGACATACTCTTGGATCGGTATGTCAACTTCGAGAAGTTATTCGCATCCATGGAGTTGGGCTATGACCATGACGACGAGCCTAAAGACTTGGCAGCCGGCTTCGCTATCATTAAGAAGGACCACTCATCGTCTCGTCGCCCGGTCCGCTTTGAATCTGACTGGATTCGCATCTTCGGCGCATGGGCAGATGGGGTCCGGTGCCTCTACCCTCATCGGTCGAATGAATTGGATCAGTATCGGACGATTATCCTGGAGTTGTTTCATTCGATGGCATCCGATCCATCAATTGCAATTGGTGTTGATCGCGCCGCTCGGGATGCCTACTACAAATCTCCATTTCATCTTGACGATCGGGCGCGCCTTCAAGTCCACATTTTCGCTGAGATTATGCGTTCAACGTCGCATACTGCCCTGGGAAAAAGGTCTTCTGCTGGCTTGTCGGCGGCGCCTTCCAAGCGCGCGGCTACGCCGTGCATTAATTGGAACCTGGAGCGCTGCAATGATGACCACTGCACAAACCGGCGCAAACACGGAGTCTGCTGTGAGTGCGGAGGTCAGCATCGCGTCAAGGATGACTCGGCATGCTTCGCTGCATTCAAAGCACGAAAAGCACCAGGAAGCGGTGGAAGCGGCAGAGGCGGCTCAGGTAGCAGCGCGAGGACCTAGGTCGCTGCGTGCATCTATGCTATTGGGGAAACGCAAAGCCGAATCTACCAATGCGCTTCCTCGCTTTCGGCGCAGTTTTGGATGGGTGGATGCTTCTCATCCGACACTTTCACCGGCCGCGCTATCCACCGAAACGGCGCCACCCCTTCCAGATCCGCCAGCCCATTTGCTGTCAGATCCAGATATTCAGGCCGCGCTCGAGTGTAATCGCCAGCACATCCGAGTCGAGACTCCATTCAATGTTGACAAGCTTGAAGCCATGCTTGTCAGTCACCCTAATCAGCCCTTCGTGCAGTCCGTTCTGAAGGGCCTTCGCCATGGCTTTTGGCCTCCTGACGAGGGCGAATGGAAAATCGAATGCGCTGAGGTAACTGACAACTATCCGTTAACTTCACCTGATCTGCATGCGATCCGTGCCTTTCGAGATCGGGAGACCGCGGCAGGTCGATGGTCCTCCGAGATCTCACAACTCCTCCCAGGCATGAAGATTTCACCGATGTTTGTTGTTTGGAGGGACGACAAGCCACGTGTCGTGACGGATCACTCGGCATCTGGCCTTAATGACGGGATACCCCCTGCGCAGGCTAAGGTTCGTTATGATAACATGCATGACTTCGGCCAAGAAATGCGCGAAGCTCGTAGGCGCAACCCAGGCCGCTGCCTCATTGTCTATAAAGACGATGTCACCTCTGCGTTCCTGAACCTACCAGCGCATCCTATCTGGCAGCTTCGCCAAGTAGTCACTGTCGATGGTGCGCTTTACATAGTGCGACGGTTGGTATTCGGAAATCGAGCATCGCCCCAGATCTGGTGCTCTGTTTCGGGACTTCTTTGCTGGATCGCGGTTCGCAAGCTCGATATCGTCGGCCTTCATGTCTACATGGATGACTACTATGGTTGAGATTTCGATGCTCACACCGTCTACTATCGCGGACGCCATCGACCTTATCGCCAGGCCCAACTCCTCATATTCTGGGATGCGATATCTTGTCCGTGGGAGGACAAGAAGCAGCTTTTTGGACCGGCACTAACCATCATCGGTTTCTGGGTGGACATCAACCTCGGCTCAATCTCCCTTTCCCCATCATCTCTCGCGAACTTCATCATCGATATCACTGCCTTCCTTGAAGGTACCTCTCGTGGTCCTCCCTTGCGAGAATGGCAACGCCTCGCTGGGTCTCTCAACTGGCTTCTCAATGTTCTTCCGTGGGGTCGGCCAGCCTTAACGGAACTCTATCGCAAAATTGCTGGGAAATCTTTTCGTTCTGCACGCATTTTTCTCAATCGCGATGTTATCACTGACCTTACTTGGTTAAAGGAGGCCATCCCACGTGCTACCGGTGTCCGCTTTGTTGCTGATGGCTGTTGGGATATCTCCGACGCTGATCTCATCGTTTGGACCGATGCTGCCCTTACCAAAGCCCTCGCTTTTGTTTTCTCTAACCAGGCCTTTGTTTATCCTATCCAGCCTTCGCTCGTCGCTTCGTCCATCGACATCTTCTTTCTCGAGATGCTTGCCATCCTCTCCGCTATTCATCATGTTGCCTCCTTGCGTCATCCACCCCGTCGTGTACTTATCTGGACTGATAGCCTTAACTCCGTCGACGCACTCAACTCACTCAGTGTTCAACAAAGCCTCCATAATGCACCTTTGAAAGCTATTGCTGGCATTGTCATGGAGTCAGGCATTGACATTCGGGTCCGTCACCTTCCCGGAAAGCAGAACATTCGGGCCGATCTGCTTTCCCGTCTGCTGCTGGATGATTACGCAGCACAGTTTCCCGCTGACCGCGTCCGCCTGTTCTCGCCTCCGCGGAGCTTTTGCCGGCACGCTGGAGAGAGCACTTTTGAATGCCCTGGGCGGGCAGCCTCGTTCGCACACTGCCCGCCCCTTTATCGCCCTCGATTCCATCGATGCGCGTGTCGCCTTCTTGCAGGCATCTGCTGTTGAACTCTCTACTAAAAAAGGCTATTCTACTGGAGCGCGTGATTACATTGTGTTCTGTCTCTCACACCACCTGCCGCTCGATCCCACACCCTTAACGCTTGCCCGCTATGTCGCCTACACTTCACGTTTCATTAGTTCTGCTCCGAAGTACTTATCTGGCGCCCGGCACTTTCTCCGTGACATTTACCCAGCTTTCACTTCCAATCGTGCTCATCCTCTCGTGCAGGCGACCATAACTGGTTCTCGGAAGACTCGCGGAGATCCCGTTCACCGCAAACTTCCTCTCCGCCCCTTTCATCTTCTCGCCTTCTCTGAGCACGCTCGTCGATCTTGTCGCTATGATGATCTCCTCTTCGCTACTATCCTCTCCTGCGCATTCTATGCATGCCACCGCATTGGTGAACTTGTTCAACCTAACTCCCATTCGCTCTTTGACTGGCGCAAAATCATCAAGCGAGCCTCCCTGCATTTCTTCGGCTCCCGAGCGGAATATTATCTTCCTTATCATAAAACTGACCGCTTCTATCATGGCACTACCATCATTCATCTGTCCCAGGATATCGCCTGCCCAGTCCACTTGCTTTCGCAGTACGTCTCCTGGCGTGATCGCTGTCATGGTGCCCGTGCCGCTCTCTTCTTGCGAGAGGATGGCTCAGTTCCTACCCGTCTCTGATTTGATCGCCACCTCTTCTCCCTCCTTGACCACTCGTTTGGTGGCCACTCTGCTCGTGCCGGTGGTGCGACCCTCTATGCCAGCCTGGGCCTCTCTGAGGATGTCATCCAAGCCCTTGGTCGCTGGTCTTCCCCTTCCTGGAAACTCTACATCCGCGATAACCCTTCAGTTCGCGCTGCGCTCCAGCTTGCTGCTCTCCGGCTCCTTTCTTGAACTCACTACCTTCTCGCACTCATCTTTCTCACCTCCTCCTCCCCCTCACTCAACATTCTTGGGTTATAGCCGATGTGCTCGTCGCCTGCTCTAATTAATGTGAGGGCCCCGGAAAAAGCCGGAAGCCCGTGAACCGCTATTCTCTTCCGCGAGATCTGATGGCAGAGGTCGGGGTAAAACCGGGTTCCGCAGGTAAGGAGGTTTTTCGAAGGCCTCTGCGCCTAATCGAGCCCCGCTCACCACATGATAGGGCGGCATCGCCGCCGTACTCTCGCATGAGCGCATAAGCTGGCGGTCTATTCAAGGACGTTGGAGTAGCCCAGCGGAAGTTCTTGAATGGGCAGGATTAGTCACCTTATGCACTCATGCCGCGCCTGGCTTCGCCATCGCATAGGGGCCACAGCATGCGTGCTTATAAACCCTGGGCAGGGAGGAGTAAAGCAGAGCCCCGCTCTTCCTCCCCTCAGGTGAGTACCCGCTCGTGTATGGCCCCCAGAGCCCCGCTCTGACTCGCCATTACTCAGGCATATCATACGTGCTGCGACCGCGAGATTCTATCCGCCCTGCCAGTTCATCACGTCTCGCAGCAGCTCTTAGCAACCATATCTTATCTTTTCGCTCACCCTCCCTCCTCTCCCATTTTCTCTCTCTATTCGTGTACTTGTACCTCGGGATCCATGTCAACGTGTGCGCCCGATGTCACCAAGCACGTCGCTTGCAATAAATTGCGCATTGCGCAGCATTCACCCATATGAGAATGTTGTATTGTACACACGACAAGATCGCGATCATACAGCTAACTTCGCATTTACGCTAACCGTACACGCAGCGGATCTAGATCAGGCTCTCATCGGGTGCGAACATCTGGAAGTTGCGGTTATACGTTCCCGAGACCAGGTACCTTCCATCGTTCGAGAGGTCCACCGACATCACCTTCCCACCGTCCGTCGGCAGCGTACGCAGCAGCTGCCAGTCGTCCGCGCTCCACAGCTTCACGAGGCCGTCATAGCCTGCGCTTGCCATGTAGAGCCCGGGGCGGTATCTGCGCTCTTCCGCCTCTTGGTCCTTCTCCTTGTCATCTGTGCCGTCCATCGTGATGTCCGGCGGTTGGGAGTCGGTGACGTTGTTGTACGGCAGATCAGTGCCGCGGAAGAACCGGATATCTGAGACATTCGACAGATGCGCAGGGATCGTGTAAAATGCTCTCAGGGATCGCATGTCCCAGATCCTGATCGTGTCATCGCAAGAACCTGTTGCAATTTGATACCTAGCATAACACTTCAGTACTCGGTGTGCGAACACGCTTCAGGCGATGACCAACCCATTCGGAGAGAACGCGATTGATAGGATGGCCTGGACATGCCCATCGAGCACCATCGCCGTTCGCCCAGTACGGAGATCCCACACTCGGCCTATTGCATCCAGACCTCTTTGATGTAGATGAAGTAAGCATCATGTTCTAAGTAACATTAATATCAACATACCCCGAGGCGGCTAAGGCACCATCTTCCTGGAATTCGACGGTATACACCTCTTTCGAGTGGCCTTCTTGCAGCAGCAACTCCTTTGATGTTGCCACGTCCCACAATCTCCAGGATGTGTCGAAGCTTGCACTGGCGACATAGTCACCGCTCGGGTGGAAGGCCACTCGACATATCCGGTCCGCATGTCCTTTCATGACGGACAGCGGTGTCTCACTAGACGCAAGTCAGAATGTTTCGAGCAGCACGCTAGTCACGGTAGCCACACCTATTTAGAGACCATAAATGCACGTCCATATCTCCGGCGCCACTGACGAGGTTCACGCTACCTTCACTTTGCGACAAAGTGGCCTGCGGATGCCACGCAACGCCTCCAACCTTGTCACTGTGGCCTGTAGTTGGTAATTAGCCGAAACAGCCGATCTTCTCATACTAATGAGATACACACCATGCAGGGTGCGGACTGGGGTGCAATTCGGTACGTTCCAGAGCTTGATGTTACCCGTCCAACTGCCGGTTGCAAGGAGCTTGCTGTCTGGCGAGAAGCGGACTTGCGAGATTGGCCTGTCATCGCCAATCTGAGAACCCAGCTCCGCGAAGCGCTAAGAGGAAGTAGATGTGAAATATGTGCTGCAGAGTGGAACCTGCAAAACACTGCGCACCTTGACTTCGGAAAATATTTTCTTGCGAATGTCAATGATCCGACCAAGTGGTATCTTGCTGTCTAACCGCTGCTGGGTGACTCGTTTTTGAGCTCTACATGGGAACGAGAACGGAAGGAAACACAGTAAGCACCTTCCTGTTGTCCACCTATCGGTAGCAGAAATCCAACCTGGGCAGAGAATACTCCGCTATCCGCCTGCGAGCCTCCAGGAGCTGGAGTGGACCTGGAGTGTAGAACTCCTCGACCTGCAGTATGCGCCGTTCGCTGAGCTCCCACAGACATCCGATATAAGCATGCACATACCTCCTCTTCGCTTTCCTCCGACGTCTCCTCTTCCTCCACCTGCATGGCCTCATCTCCCCGAGCGGCATTAATTTGTGACAAGACATAGATAAGACGATCTCTCCGGTCGGCAGCCTGCACATTTCACGGTCAACACGAAACGTTTCCTATTATTTGATACGGTAAGCGACTCACGCGCTCTCCAAACAGTGTGATGGGCTCCCCAATCTCGCGCAATCTCGCCTTTACACGATTGTCATCCGTCGGCACGGCGAGACTCCGTGCCTTCTTCTTGCGTTCGAGTTCGTCCAGGATGACCTTGTTCTCGAGCCGCGCACGCTCAGAACCAAGGTAATTTCCATCGTCAATGAGGGTATCAAGAGTGAGCTCGGACATTTTCTGCGATGAAAGCACGCGAGTAAGGACGATGGACTTGTTTCCGTTCCCAGGGATGCGTTAAGTGTGTTGTTGACCGTTGTTTGGCAAAAGCTTTAGATCTCGAGCGAGATCCCCAGACGCGCGCAGACGGACCTCGCGTCCATCACTTCTCCTTCCGCAGCCTCCTTCACTCCTCCTTCCACCATGTCAGGCCTTGCGTCTCCTGGGCCTCTCAGGCAGCGCAAAGCTGGCTCCCACAGGTCAGCTGCGTACACCGAAGTACCGCAAGATGAAGAACCATACATCGAGCCATCCAACCAGGTAAGTGACACGTTGTCGCGCGTCACGAACATGCGTGTACGATGTCCAAATCGTCTAGCGCAATCGCAGCGCCGCCGAAACGCTCCTAGAAACTGAGCAGGCTAGTATAGCCATGGTCGGCTTGTTGACCCTCCTATCGTTCTTGCTCCGCTTCTATAGAATCAACCATCCAGACCAAGTAGTGTGAGCACCCGTCGCCTCCAATTGTTGGTATAAGAAGTGACGCCGCGCTTAGCTTCGATGAAGTCCACTTCGGCAAGTTTGCATCGTACTACCTCAAGCGTCAATACTACTTCGATGTCCATCCACCGCTTGCAAAGATGCTCTTTGGCCTGGCTGGCTGGTTCGTCGGCTACGACGGTCACTTCCTGTTCGAGAACATTGGCGATAGTTACACGGAAAACCACGTACCTTATGTCGGGATGCGCGCTCTTCCGGCCTTCTTGTCAAGTGTCACTGTTCCAATAGTCTACGCGATCATGAAGGAATGTGGATACTCGACAATTGTGGCCACCTTCTCAGCTTGTCTCATTCTTTTTGGTGAGCACATTTGTGGGCGGTGTAAAGTAATTTCAGCTGACGTTTTTGCAGACAATGCTCATGTCGCGCAAGGACGATTGATACTGCTCGATGCCATCTTGATCTTTTTCATGTCGCTCACCCTCTACTCCTACGTCCGCTTCCGGAAACTCCGCTACCTGTAGGCTCAAGTCGTGCATCTTCTATCATATCTGCTGAGACAAGTGCTCAGGGAGTTCACGCCGGAATGGTGGGGATGGCTTCTCGCTACAGGAACGTTCATGGCATGCACGTGGGCATCCAAGGTCAACGGTATTCTGACTGTAGTCGCGATTGGTATTCCCGTATTGGTTGATCTTTGGGATATCCTCGATTTTAAAAAGGGACACAGTATGGTCAGTGCCCAATCACTGGCTCTATTCATTCTTATTTGATGTCCGCCACTCGTCAGGAATACTTCTGGAAACATTTCATGGCGCGGGCTGTCGGATTGATTGTACTTCCGATCATCATCTACTTGACAGTCTTTTACATCCACTTGTCGATACTCACCGAGACTGGTCCGGGTGACACATTCATGAGTCCCGCTTTCCAGGAAACTCTCCGAGGTAACGAGCTGCTGATGAATAGCCAGGGTATGTATGTGGTTTCCGAGTGTTGATCGTGACGTTAAAAAACTGATCTACCTTAGAGATCCGCTACTACGATACGGTGACAATCAGGCACAAAGACACAAGAGTGTTCCTACATTCTCATCCGGAAACGTACCCGTTGAAGTACGAGGATGGCCGCATTAGCAGCCAAGGTGATACCTTTGACCTCTTCTTCGGCCGTGATGTATGAACGCCCTCCCAGGTCAGCAGGTAACCGGGTACGGCCATGAGGACTCGAATAACAACTGGCAGATTATCCCGACAAAGGCGCTTCCTGAAACCGGCCGTGGGCGAGTCGTGCGGCACGAGGATGTGATTCAGCTACTGCACATGAACACCCAATCGCTGCTGCTGACGCACGACGTCGCTTCGCCACTGATGGCCACAAATGAGGAGTTCACCACATGGCCGAAGGACGATCTTTCGCGGTACAACGATACGCTGTTTAACTTGCGCATCGTTGACGGGCATGATGGAATGGCGTGGAAGAGCAAGTCGGGCCACTTCCGGCTGGTCCACGTCCCGACTAAAGTGGCAATGTGGACGCATACAAAGCAACTGCCGGAGTGGGCTTTCAACCAGCAGGAAATCAACGGCAATAAAAATGTGAACGAGAAGTCTAACGTCTGGTTCGTTGACAACATCGTCGACGAAGAGAGTCAGCGCTTTTTGCTTATATGTTCGAAGCGAATTTTGCTCTAAACCCTGCATTGTGAACAGCCGGTGAGGACGTCAGGAACCGCACAAACATCGCACCGAAGGAGCCGAAGAAGCGGAACTTCTTCAAGAAGTTTGCAGAGCTGCAACTCCTGATGCTGCAACACAACGCAGGTCTTACTGCATCCCATCCCTACGCCAGCAACCCCATCAACTGGCCGTTCCTCATCAGCGGTATCAGTTTCTGGACAAATGGCGATGAGCAGAAGCAGATCTATCTCATCGGCAACATTGTTGGTTGGTGGACCTGTGTGATTGCATTGTCCACATACGTCGGCATTCTAGGTGCCGACCTACTCGCCCGGCGTCGCGGCGTCTACCCCATTCCGGAATGTAAGTCAATCATTAACGCTACTGTGCCGTGCTGAGTGTTCACTTGATATATAGCGATACGCAATCGCCTGTACAACTCGACTGGGTTTTTCCTGATCGTCTGGGCGGTGCACTATTTTCCCTTCTACTTAATGAGCCGGCAGCTGTTCATCCATCACTACCTTCCATCGCACCTTGCGTCCGCGCTGGTCGCGGGGTCCGTGCTCAGCTTCATCCTGTCGGAGACTATCAACTATCCTATCTCAACGCCAGGTCCCTCTCTGACAAAACCGAAACCCAGGACCTATGCAGATCTGGGAGCGAAGGGCCCGATTGTTGTCGGCGTATTCGCGGTCCTCATGTTTGCTATGTTCTGCTACATCGCACCGTTGACATATGGGACACCAGGGTGAGTATTCGGTGATCACAATGCGCAGCTTTCGCTGACAGTTGAGAAAAAAACAGACTAGATGGAGACCAGGTGAACAGCATGCGCCTGCTGTCTTCGTGGACGCTCCATTTCGCTGCGAAAATTACAGATGGAGTTTAGGGTACGGCATGCGCGCGTGCCTCACTCGTATGGACTGTATACCTGTGAAGAAAGACTGTTCTACTTATTTACTCACTGGTGGATTATGGCAATGTATGATTTCTCTTGATGCCGTAGATGAAGTTATATCTACATCCTTGCTCTTCATTGAGGTTCGGCGGGATGTGTGGCGTTTATTTGGACCCATCTATACGCCCGCTCGTCACTAAGATTATTGTCGTATTCTGATGCGGCTAGCTCGTCGGGAACCCTTATGTTCTTTTGAGTGTACAAGAGTCGACTAATCAAGATATACGACGGACAAAATAATAGATGTATGCAATAAATGTACATTGCGACGAGGAGAAAACCCAATGAAACTGAGAGCAGGAACAACGAGTCCGGCATAAGGGATGACGTCCATTACTATGCAGTGTTCTTCACCTGAGGGATCCAAATTCATGTCAGTGACATGTCAATCGATATGTGAGCACAAGCGTGCCTTTTGCATAAATCCTGACACACGCCCGATGTCGATCACTGTCGATTCGCTCTCGACGGCCACTAGCAGATTGTCCAACATCTGGGGAATGGGGCATTTTAGTCGCGCGACTTCACGCTAACAAGTAAATTCCAGTTCACTCACATCCTCGACTTTGTCGACAGGCACGCCCGTACACAGAGCGACGATCTTCTTGCACTGGTACTCCTTCTCAGCGCTCGCGCCTTGCAACGACCGCAGCCGCTCCTCCATCAGCCGCTCCGTCCGCTCATGCCACATCTTGAGCCTCCGCAGCCTGATGATGCTCGAGACCGTGTCCGACATCGGTATGATCGGGTCTGCGTCAAGACTGAACCCGAGGTCAACCTGGCCCGCGAGCCCGGATATCGTCGACGCCTGCCCGCGCATGCGGAATGCGTTGCCCACCACGTTGCCCGCGTCCGATCCATCAAGCTCTGTCCTTCCGGTCCAGTCGAACTTGTCCTCCTCCTCGAGTGCCTTCTCGAGGTTTCGGATGCGTTGATTCACCTGGTCCGTCTCGCCGACACGCACGGTCCAGGATTGGATCTGTTTCCGCTGCTCAGAGAGTTCGCGCGTCGCTGCACGCAAGTGCGCCTGCGTGACGTCCAGCGCGTCCTGCTTAGTCTTGATCTCAGACGCAAAATCGTTGCCAAGATTTGTGATCATGGTGGTCATATCTGTAGCGCATCAGCCGTGCGTCCACATGGAGGGCAATGGACTTACCGGCAAGCACGTCTTGACTCTTCTGGACGGGTGCTGAAGGAGCTGATCGTAATGAGTTCAATATGTCGTCCGCACGCAGACCAACCCCAAGCTCCTAAAAACCATCGCAAACGTGAATATCGGCGAAAGAGGTCAGACGGAGATCCCTCACTTCTGTTTCGACACCGAAATCGCCTGGTCTTAGTCCCAGCTTGTTTGGTAATATACGATTCGCGCCGACATCCAATAATGTCCTCACCAAACTCCTGTTGCCCACCCTCGCAGCGATATTCAGCGCGGTATCGCCGTGTTCGTCCTGCAGGTCCACAATGGACCTAAAGTCGCCCCCTTGGTGCTGGGCAATCCAGTAGAATATTTGATCAAGATAATATCGTGCAGCAAGTGCGCGCCCTTTCACGCCAGCCGATGCAACGATATGGTGCAGTACAGACTTGCGTGACGAGTCGAGCGTGCGAATGGACGCGTGCAGCGCAGCAACGAGCACTTGGAACGTCTGCTGGTCCGCGTTGTGTGTAGCGAGGCACGCGCGCACGAGCGCCGTCTCACCGTTGTAGTTCCCGCGATGCATGTCCGCGCCGTTCATGAGGAGCGCATTCACGATGGCGTGGCGCGCCATGCTCGCTGCGATATGCAGCGCGGTGTGGCCTTGGTCATCAAGCACGAGGTCGATATCGAAGTTCAGCGCGGGGTTGTCTGGCGCGATGTCGCGGATCTGCTCGATGATTGGGAGTGGGTCGTCCGACTTGCAGATCGCGTTTACGATAGCCGCACGCCGCGTGTCTCTGAGCGGCGCAGAGGCATCGGAGGTACGAGGGATGTAGGGCTTGGTGGCAAAGCGGATGGTGAGGACATCCTCCTCGACCTGAGGTTCAACTGGTCTACCGTTCATCTTCACAGATTGTGAGCTGGATGGACGCGAGAAGCCGTTCATGCCTGTAGGTGGCGACGGTCTCGAGCTGGGCTCTGCACCGGAAGGACCTGCTTGTGGTCCATGTTGCATCATATCAGACTGTATCGGCGACGGCTCTATCCGTGCGCGCTTGGTAGGAGAGGGGTTTCCGTCCAGCTGCGACGTTGTTGATGATGGGCGCGAGCGGTCCGCCATCTGGATCTCAGGTGATGCGGCGAGCGCGGGAGGTGCTGATTGTGCGGACGGGCCAGGAGAAGGGGCAGACGCGTCTGGTTCGACGTCGGAACGCGTGCGCTTGAGTGAAGGGGGAGGTGGTGTTGGGGAGACTGCGGGCGCACCAGGATATTGTACATATGCGCCTATGGAGGGAAGTAAGTGACGGAATATAACTGACAGAGGGGCAGCTACCAGAAGTTGAAGGCGTAAAGAGGCCCTGGGCACGACCCTGGTTGAGGAGGCGCAGGGCAGAGCCAGGCATAATGGGGGGCGGCGCGAGACCTTGGGAAGGAAGTATGTTGAGGACCAGAGCCAATGTGAGGATGAACACAAATAGTAAAATGCAAACCTGATCCAGCTATGTTCCCTAAGCCAGCAGCGAGGCTCCCGAGGGGGTTGGCGTTCGGGACAAAATCGAACAATGGCGCCAGAAGCGGCGCGACGCCATACTGGACGGCGATGTCACGGCCTCGCTCGAGCGGAATCCTGCAGAGTGTGAGAAACCAGCATGGTAGCCGTAAGTGACACGCACCATGTGCCTTGGTACTTGCCGTAGCCTCCTTGCACGATCTCGTGCTTGCCAGGAAGGATCTCCTTCTCGAGGATCTTGGTGCGGCGGCCCTTGTCGACACCAGCGACCTTGAGTATTTGGGTGGCGTTGACGTAGGAGTCGGTACGTCTGCGCATGACGGCGATACCACGGACCATACATTCATAAACCTGACACGGTATGCGCGTTAGTGGCTGCACGACGAGGACACGAGCGGACGGACCTGAACAGAGGAGTAGACGGCGTTGTATATCTTGACGGGGGCCTGCTGGCCAGGTGGGCGCGCGACGGCCTGCATGGGAGGAAGGGATGTGGGCGTTGTCGTGGATAGTGAGGAGGGGATTTGCAAGGAGCGCTCTCACGACGCGCGCGGACGCGCTGCAAAGCGGGATCAAACTCGAGCTCGCGTGACCATTACGTAATCGACGCGCTTTTGCTCTTCCTACGTGACATTTCATGCAAAGACGTCGCTTGCCATCACCCGCTCGCCGTGGAACACGTCGTGGACATTAATGTCGCTGCCCTGAGTGTATAAAAATTTGCTCTTGATTCTGTGCAACGAGAACGACCATCGTAAGCCTCGTCACGCGTGTCGTCACGCACCATCACAGCAGCCACCGTGTCGACCGCCTAATCCACTCAGTACAACACCCCCTCCCCCCGGTCCTCGCCATGTTCAACGCTCCCCGCCCGTCTCAGCCGTACGCGGCGCCGTCATCCAACGGCTTTGGCGCAAGCTTTGTCAACGAGAATCCTCTTGCCAATTCCATGTATGATGACGGACTCGATCCCTGGAGCAGCACGCCCAGTCCCGCGCCGCCAGCCTTTCCTAAGTTCCCATCGCCTTCTACCGGATTTAGCTCCGTAATAGGTGAATAGACGTCCATGCTGTGTCAATTTCGCTCGCTTTGACCTGATATGCTGCCGCCAGGCGACGCGACCGTGCCAGCAATTTACCACCAAGCGTTCGCTGCCGTCGATAGCGACAACTCGGGTGAGACATCTGTCAGTGCGCTCTCGCGCGTTCTCGCTACCTCGTCCCTTCCTGCATCCACCATCGAAAAGGTAACTCAAGCTTTGCTTCATTGCGACGTCTGACAGATCGGGGTTGATAGATAGTGAGCTTGGTTAGCTCCCGTCCCCGAGTGTCGAGATTAGAATTCTTCGTTGCGCTCGCGCTTGCTGCACTGGCACAGAGTAGCAAAGGTGTGTCCTCCGACTTGGTGCTGTAGACCATACTCAGCTCATCATATGCAGACGTGAGCATCGAGCGCGTCGCTGCTCTCGCCCGAGAAAATGCACTGTCCGTACCCAATCTCGATCTGTCCGCTTTGGCATCCTCCACATCGACATTCAACCAATATCCTAGTTCAGAGCCGCATCATGATGTTCCCCAACGCGGATATTCAACAGATGATCCATGGAGCGCGCCCAAGTTCCCCTCTGCCACATCACCGTCGGCGACGAACGGTGACGGGGTTGTCACGAACGGTGTCCCTTCTAGCATCTCCGGAACAGGGCTGCCAAAAGAATGGTGGAAAAATCAGCAGTCCGTGCACCTGAACGTCTTGGGGCAGCAGGGGTTCCTTCTCAATAGGTACCTCGTATATGAAGTGTTTACTGATGTCAGTGGGTATCGTGTCGTGTATCGGAGATGCCGCTAATCATGTCCAGCAGCGAGGACAACCGGTTCCAAGGCGATACTCTGAATTCGTGTTCCTTTGGGAGTGTCTGGTGAAGCGATATCCCTTCCGTCTGCTCCCTGCTCTGCCGCCGAAGCGAGTCGGACGTACGTTCTACATCATTACATCCGGTCCCCTGCCATCCTGATGTGCTCTACACTAGCGGACGAAAACTTCTTGGAGCAACGAAGGTGGGTGTGTGAGCTAATGTGCAATGGTGCATCTGACCGACTTTCTCTTTCAGGAAAGGGCTGGCGCGCTTCCTGAACTTTGTCATGTGCGTCGAACTATTTGTGACGTGACATAAAGGCATGGCATTATAACTGGCGACAGAAATCATCCGGTGATCAAGGAGGATGGACTTCTCGCAGTATTTCTCACTGAACCCAACTTTGAATCATGGAGAAAGCACTCCTCCATATCCTATGATGAAGAGTCCACCAGCAAACGTGTCGATCATGTCGAGGAAATGAGCATCCCAAGCGATCTCGAGGACAAACTCGCGTACGTTTCCCCTCATTGCTCTATCGTTCTCCCAAATCTCAATTCCTGATTACCTCAAACTACAGCGTCGTCCGCGGGAAGGTAGGCTTTCTAATTGAGCATTGGCAGAAGATCTGCATGCTCGCGGAGCGCGTCATCCGGCGACGCGAGGCCGAAGCGGTACGCCTCCTCCCTCTCCGTCGGCGCGCGTACCTCCCGACTCACTTCCGTCTCATATCCGGTTTCTCTCCCTCGTCGTCATCCGCCTCCTCCACCTCCTCTTCCGACTCGCTGTCATCGTCGATACTATCTGGCTTGGGTATGGGTGCGGGTGCGCACGACGGGACGATCGGTGGGCAGGCGGATCTGGCGCGGCTGACGAACACGATGAACAGTCTTGTGGAGATAAATGAACACTGTTGGCGCGGGGACGAGTGTGAGCTGTGTGGAGGTGTGAGGCAGGGACTAGTGCATGCTGCCACGCATGTGCAGAAGCATTCGGATCTGTTGGAGCATCGGGTCAGCGCATCGCTTTCTCCAGCGTAATTGTATATCTCACCGAGCACTTAGTCACGGACGATGCTCTACAACACTCTTGAAGCATTGAAGGTACGTCTAGGCCTACGCAGGCGTTTACTGTACCTGACAATCATCTCTTCCAATTCACCTACATAGAGCCAACGCGATATCTACATCGCAGTGCGAGATCTGTTCATCCGACATGACAGGCTATCCAGCGACCAGGTCGACCGCCTAAAGAAGCGCATCGAGTCCAACTCGCTGAAGCTCGAGGGAGTCAAGCAAGCGCAGAAAGAGGGCTGGGAGACGGAGGCGGACAAGATCACCGTGCTGATCGAGAAAGATCAAACGCAGATCGCGACATTGCTCAATCGGAGGGTGTTCATACGAGCGTGGTGCGCATTCTTTACTTGCATATACAGTTGATATTCGATTGGCTGATGGAGTACGACTTCGCAGCATGTGGCACGAACTCCGCGTTGTACTTCACAACCGCGAGAACGCACTGCTCACGCAGATGTTGCAGACACTCGCGCGCGAAGAGCTCGACTTCAGTGAGAGCGTGGTGACAAACTGGACGTCGTTGGTGGAGGCGGTGGAAGACATGCCCTTCGAATGAGCGTACCATTTCGACAGGGGACGGACTGCAGGAGGATTTATGAGTAAGAATATTGGTTGCGGAAACTCGTATGCTTTGATGTATACGATACGGCCGGATATGTGCTCTCAATGATTTATATATTGAATATCATCGATCTTGGCATTTCGCCCAGCGATGAATCGACTTTGTCCATGATACCAGTAAGTCGCCGTGCGGTCAAACACATTCATTCAGTTGATAGGTACGCGAACAGACAAGCAAAAGACTTTGTAGCTACACAAAAAAGGTGGCACTTCTCATACCATACAATCACCCGCTGAGCACTAGACATGAATACTGAATAAGATAGGGAATGTCAGTATTGAACGTTGCGGAATTGACGTTAGGTTCAGCACGAGCATCGCACACGTCTTCAACTCCATCTTTGTTGCTCACCCCATCCCCTACCTCGGGTAGGACTACTACTACCCGCCCCTCCTCTCCCACGTCCGCGCTTCCCCCAGCCCGAATCGCGCGTACGCTCGCGGTCGCGGTCCCGGTCTCGTCCGCGGCCGCCTCGATTCCGGCCACTCGACCTGCCGCGATACCCTCGGTCCCCTCTTTCGCCGCTACCATGCCCTGGAGGATAGGGGCGCTCCTGGTCGTACCCGCCGTAGGATACATCGGAATAGGAGCGAGATGGCCGCGGCGGCGACGAGCTGGGGAATGGAGGAGCACCTTGGTACGGCGGGGAGAAGCTGCTTGATGGGTTCAGCCAGGGCTGCAGGGGGATAGCTTGTTCTGCAGATGGTTGCTGAAATATTGCTGGCATCGGCGATGGTGCCGATGCTGGTGGTGCAGCGGCGGGCTGCTGAGGAATCAGCGCGGAAGAGGCCAGTGTTCGTAGCATTGCTTGGATCTGCTCTGGGGTGAGTTGTGCTACTTCAGCTGCCAGTGCCGCGGCGGGTGATGTCTGTTGCGCCGGTAATTGAGGTTGCTGTTGCGGCTGCGGCGGTTGTGAGGCCGGTGATAGTGACGGTTGGTTGAAGACTCCCGGTTGTTGGATTCCGGTCACTGAAAGGATTTGTGGCAATTGGTATGTAGGCGGAGCAGGATGAGATGATGCCGCCGCTGGCGGCGCAGGTGGTCTTGGCGGAGGAGCGAGTCTGCCTTTGTTCAACACCCACACGCCGATTAAATAGCTGGAGTTTCTGAGCTTGGGCAGACGGAGGTCATCGAGCAGTTCCATATATTCCGGGACAGGATCAGTGGAGAGCAGTGGAATAATGTACAATTCTCGTCCAGGAGCCCACTCTTTAGGCCGGTTGCCCCAAGGAAAGACAAGACCGTGTCGTCTGTACAAATGCAACCGTCAATCATCAGTGTTAAAGGTACAAATCCGGGACACATACCCTTTCGCTATAAGGTGATCAATGAGTGCGTTGAATCCAGGACTCTCTAGACTAGGTCCGGGCTCTGGAGAGAAAGCTACAGCTATAAGCTCCTTTGAAGGATTCAATCGCATCTGCGTCAAGTACTGCGCAGACTTGTCCACCGGTACCCGACCATCGATGCGAAGTTCACTGGATGGGAAGAGCGTGTGCCATAGAGGCGAATCACCTTCTAGTGTCCGTCCACCAGTCTGACGTGCATTGAGAGAAACATTTTGGGGAATAGCCGAATCCAGTGGCATGCTCAACTGCAAAAGATGTCAGGACACTCTGCCATGAACAAGAGATCGCCTTAACACACCGTGCCAATCCATACCCGAGGCAGCGCTTCGAAGGCAGCCCGCTGCCCCTCAGGGCTGTTGTCAACTGCAGGTGCCTTTTCATCGTCGTCTTTCCCCAAGAACATGTCAAAGTCATAGTCATCTGCCGCTTGACCTAGGATCTCCACGTCGAGGGCTTGTTCTTTCGGCTCCCCTTCAGCAACCGGTTCTTCCTCTGCAGCGTTCTTCAGCTGTTCAGAAGCAACCTCGGCTTCCTTGTTGCCGATCCATATAGAATTTAGGTCGAATGAAGGGCGAGAAGCCAGTTCTGGCTGGGAGCTCCTCGAAGCGAAAGGAGAAATCGCCGTCGAGGATACTGATGTAGGGGTCTCTGACACAGGACTCTTCTGTAGATCGGCTTTGGAGTCCGACTCAGTGAGCTCTGCAGACTCGGTAGAGATAGGAAGCGCAGCAGAGGTGTCTACAGGGAGGTCCTCATCAATGTTGATGAGATCCGCGAGATTCAGCTCGTTTTCCACAGGCCCACCGTAGTCGGACACAGATGGCACAAAGAGCGCGTTGGACGGTGGCCTGCCCACATGACTATCAGGATGTATGGCATACGTAGGGAGAGCTGGAGGCCCGCCCCATCCAGGGGGTTGCGGTACGACCGGAGACTCCGGCGGCACTGAGCCCTGTCCAAGTATGCTAGCAGAACGCGCACGTTCTGCTTGTAGTTGCAGTCGAGCCAGCCGCTCTCGCTCAATCCTCTCCTCCTCCTCTTCCTCACGAGCGCGCTCTATATCACGCTGAACAGCCCCATTCACGTCCTCAATGTTTTCGATACCCTTGTGGGTGATCTTCGCACGAGGAAGGGTCTGCTTCTTTAGAATTGAATGATCCAAAGCCTCCTGTTCAGCCTGTTTGATTGACTGCTTTGTCTCTTCATCAGCAAGGTCAGTGGAAGACATCGTAGATAACTCTTTAGGAGTGATATGGGACGACGCAATTCGTTTGTGGAGGAGCACGCGGTCAGGTTTGCTCAAATTAAAAGTAAGCATCCGGAAACGCTCCCTATTAAGCAACCTGTCAGGTTCTGTATGACCATGATATGTGATTGAATAACATACTTGTATTTCCCGGCGGCCGAGCGTTTTCCAGCCTTATCAGGTTCCGCATACAAATCGTATACGCACTGCTCAAGATCGGAAGCGAAATGTTTCGCTGTCGTCTCAATCTTCTCCTTTTGATCGTCAGTGAGCTCCTCCTGCCTCCTGTCCGCTTCCAATGCTTCATTAGAAGTTGCTAGCTGACTCGCACCATCCCGCAGGAAAGGATATCGTAGGAAGATCTGACAGAAAGTCTCCTGCAACTTCGTCAGACAGTATTTCCGCGTAGGATCCTCGCCTGACTCGGAGCGCACGCGCTTCGCTGGTGGCTGAGAAAAAGCAGTAGACTGTCTGCGCTTTGGGGGATTGCTTGGACCTGGAGAAGTAGAACTTCGGCCCGTGGCGTCGTGAGCAGTCGTACTGAGGCGGCGTGCCTTTTTCGATGCGCGCCCTCCTTTAGTTGATTTCTCTGATTCGGAACCAGAGGAAGACACTGACACACGTCGCACTCGCCGCTATAACATGCCGTCTAAGTCAGGAGCTAATATAAGTGATGATAACGGCGTAGAGGCGCACCTTGCCTCGAGATCTTGCCCTCGTCTCCTCTGCTATGTACTCATCCTCGCTTCCATCGCTTTCGGAACCCGACGAGGGCGGACGCAGCTCCGTCCCACTCTCCGAGCCTTCCGCCTCTTCGGCTTGCTCGCTCGGCGCTTGAACGCGCAGCGGTTTCCCGGCGGCCTTTACTTCCTCTAGGCCGTCGACGCCCTCCCATTCCTCTATATTAACACGAAACGACAATCAGCAACCTGTCTATGCACAGATGTGGAAAGGATAGACACGAGACTGCCTGCAATGCGCTTTCAATGCATGAGAATCTTGACGATGTCTCACAACACTGGGCGCATCTCAGGCTAAGGGGTGAGCTGCTCAAAGCGTACTCATACGGCTGAATCTGGGAGCGACGACTTGTGGCCTGTCGATGCTTGCCCGACCGCGAACTCGCCAATGATCCGACATGCGTACTACATACGAGATGGCCACTCATTATAAAGGCAGCAGAGACAGCGACAATGTTACATATCGTACATTCGACTACAATACGTAACGGCGATCGGGCTTTGTGCGGAAAGGGACGATTGTGACGCTGAGAATGAGATCGAAAATACTCACTGATTGAGCGCAAACCGGTTCGTTCAGCGCATGGCGGACAGATATAAAGCTCTATGTAAGACGGTGGCGTCGTCAGCATGAGCAACATATAAACGGAATGTCAACTTACGGATGTCCTCCGCGTCACTCTCCTTCAATCCTACGCAACGGAAATGATACCTGAATGATGGGCTTAACCGACCGCTCGATGACCCATTCGAAACAAAAAGCACGAACCATCCCTTGCACTCATCGCATCTGATCATGGGCGATCCGTCGTCTGGCTTCCGGCACAAGCAATGCACTTTCGACGCCTTGCTCGCAGTCCGCGGTCTTGGCTTTGTTTTCAGTTTTGTGTCATTAATTCTCTTGTTCTCCTTGTCTTGTGGTTCGTCGGCTTGATTCACTTGCCCTTGTCGTGCGTACACTGTTGTGCGACTCGTCATGGTGGAGGGACGTCAAGGAGCTTGTCGCGCAGCAAGATTGCAGTCGCCGTGAGAGGAACTTTTCAAAGTCCGCCACCATCATTGCGGTGGCGGTGGTTTGCGCGCCAACTTGCTTCGGTGGCGCGTACGCAAACTGCTGCATGTAAATGTCGCCACCAGAAGAGTTCATACGATTAGAACAAGAGCTTCGGACGCGGACTTATATTGCCCAGCAAGAACCGTGCCCCGTCGCAGCGGTCCCGTAAGAAACGAGGTCCGATATCAGCGACTCAAGTCGACCGCTGACGCCTACTACCACCTCGCCACTCTGCTCATACGTCGCAAGAGAGCCAATGCCAATGAAGCAAAGGTGATAGCTGTCAGGAGGGGTCGGTTGGTCTGTCGCGGTAGCGGCTACGGAGGTACCAGTCTCAGAGCACTCGCATGGACGCTCGGATCTTTCGCCCGGTACGCCAGGCAGTCGCGATTTCCTCCACCCGCAAAGCCAACAGGCCTGACAGCGGACAAGACACCATTGATAAGGTCCGGGTCAGAAGTTGGGCCTCAACGGTCCAGCGTGAGTGACCCGATGGAGAGAAGTTATGCATATCGTTTTGGTAGTAGACCCTCGCTGCCAACGTGTAAGTACAGTTTTCATGAAGACTCTCTGAAGAAGCATGCCTGTCGACATGCTACAAGGGCTACAGGCTCATTCAGACTCGTTGAATAGAACAGAAGAATATTTGGACTTTTTTGTCGTCCGTCGCTCAGTTCGAAAAATCTTTGAATGCCTTGGTTTCGCCACAAAACGTTACCTGGTTGCATCGTCGATGCAGGTGCTCATCCTCCAGCTCTATTGCGGACCATATTCCTCCTCAATTGCGGTTGGATCGCGAAACGACTCGTAGATCCAACAGTCTCATCTACGGCTACCTCTTTTCCCTCGCCTTGCTTGGCCCAAGCATGCTCCGATTCCTTCTGGCGTTTTACATCAGCGTCCTCTCCTTCGCTTTTCTCACCCTTTGCTTGTCCACTGTTCTCATGACCCTCCCTTTGCCCGGTACCGATACGATCACATTGACGTCGTGCACACCTTTACGAACGAGCAAAGAAATGTTTTCCTGGAGCTGACATGCACTGTCAAGAGCGGAAGGGATGACAGCTCTTTGGCGGGGTAGAGCAAGGATATAGATCGATATATGCATGTTCTGGTGAAGAACAGGAGACATCATCCTATACGACGGGCAGCTGGCAGTGTACAGGCATTCGCTGGACCTGACCTTTTATCTTCGTGGCGACTCTGCCGAAAATGAACTCATGCTGTACTCTGCGTTGGTCGCGTTCTCCGATGCAGCTCACATGCTCTTGTGGAACCAATCCGAGCCAGCCATCTTGGAGAATTCTGACCTCATGCGAATATGCTTGGACCAAACGATCGATGATGGGTACGAGGTGTCACTTGATGTTAATGAACGTGTGATGATGATGATCTTACGTGTCTCCTCCTCACTGTCTCCAGAATCATCCTCGAAACCGACCCAGCAGCGATTGCATCGCGGGCCAGTCGACCAAAGGCGGACACGAGAGAAATCTTCATCAACGAGCAGACAATCATGCCGGCATACCTGACCGCGGAAGAGAAGATGCAGCAGCGAACAGGGCAGTTGTGAAGTTACGACTCGGACCGGCGGACCCGTATATTATCCCGCATTTTGCCCTGTCCCCTTTATGGGGGTACTATCTGATACCGCATATATGAAGGGACCGGTTTCGCACCGCAATTCCATGGCCTTTGGAGATATATGCGCCCCATGTATCTCTCCCGTGAACTATCGATTGACATCTCTCAGCTTTCCTCTCCGATCCGAAAGATGGTTGCCTTCACGGAGCGGTTATCAGCTCCTTCGACAGGCCCAATGTCTCGTTCGGCGATTCCTTAGTCAAGATGGGTCTCTTTCGGCATATATTTCTAATTGCTATCGTCCTCGGCTTGGAGTGTACTTGAGACTGCTGGGCCTCATCAATCGTTAATCATCATGTCTCGGTTTGCAGATCTGATAGCTCTGTCAAATCGGAAGGGCCGCATCCGCGAAGAAAGGATCGATAAGCATGACTACACAACCTGCGTTCAGTTTCAGAAGGCCGACTGTATGTAGTCATATTGAGCGGCATACAGCTCCCGGTATAGCAGATGAGTCATGCACTCCTATTGAGTGACGTAGCGTCGCTCGCCAACGCAAGCACCGGGCAGAAGCAAGCCCAGTGTATTGGTAATGTCAGAAACTTGATGTATTGATGGTACAGCGGCCGGGTCTTCAGTGGGGTGCTCACTAAGTTGGTACCTCAGCTACTATATATAAGAACGCTCATGCCAAAACGTCCATCCGTTACCGGAGTGCAGCGCTCGTCCCCTATTCATTCTTCACTCTCACAACATGATGAACACGATCGCTGGATCTCCCGGACCATGCTGCATCAAGACTGTGGAACACACTGGAACGGCCCGCGGGACAACCGAGAGTATTGCTGGTATCGAGACATACGTTGCACGTCCTGCGAACCTTGGAGAGAAGAGGAAGATCATTCTCTTCTTCTCTGATGTCTTCGGTCCATTCTTTCTGAATACACAGCTGCTCATGGATTATTGGGCCTCACATGGTGGGTTATCGCGGCCGTGTTGTGAATATCAACAAAACATTGATGAACATGCGGTTCTTGTACACATCATCGTAGGGTACTTGGTATTGGCGATAGACTACCTGGAAGGCGACTATGTCCAGAAATACCTCCACTTATTGGGAACAGGTTGGACCATCGAGGGCGACTACGTCTCATCAAAGTTGGACCGTGCACGGCAGCTTACTCCGCCTTGGATCGAGGCTGTCAAGGAGCAGTTTGGCAAGTCATCATTTCTTGTTGTCAGAGCTCGTCCTGATGTAGTCATTTCAATCTACAGGAACGCCCCAGACACAGTGGAGTGCTGCGGGTAAGCTGCAATGCATGGAAGTAAGATAGGGTCGTACCTATTGCCTCGACAGGAAACTGCTTCGGTGCTCCTTTTGTGATGGATTGCCTCGCAAACGACTGGATTGCAGCAGGTAATGTGGACGAGACTCTTCCATGCACAGTCTTTTGACTCATCTTCACATTCTAGGCGCCTTCGCTCACCCCGCATCGCTCGAAGAAAGTCACTTCTATAACCTGAAAAGTATGCTATCCATAAGCTCGTAATGCTCCGGTTTGACGCAGGATGATTGTGGCAGAACCTCTCTTGCTCTCATGCGCAGGTAGGAATGGCCCAGTTTCCTAACTATGACCATGCTGACATCCAAGCGAACCTTTACGAAGAGGAGGACTTCACTTTTCCTCTCGAGAAACGCCGAAGAGCTGAAGACATTTTACTTGAGGTCAAGGCTACCTACCATATCCAGGTGTTCTCCGGCGTGAAGCACGGGTTTGCGACGCAAGGCAACGTGAACGATCCCGTAGCCAGTCAGTTTTTCCATCACTACTTCTGTGATGCAATCCGCCCGAGCTGATGCTGTCATGCAGAGTGGGCAAAGGAGCGCAGCGCTGAGACGATCATGAGTTGGTTTGATGTCTTTTGCACAGTGGCGGAACAAGAACGCCGCGCCTAAGAAGTGTTGTTCAGATTACGTCACCGGAGGAAGGCAACTGCAATAATCGAAATTCAAACGAGTATTGTGAATTTGGTTCATGTCCATGATGTATATTAGGTCGAAGGTACTCAAAATACGACGAACTTGCCCCTCCCTCCCAGAACAAGATCGCTGGCCTAGTGCGTACCTGCGATTCCGCCTAGTGTTTTCGCTTTTTCTTGAACTTGACATCGCGAATCGTGATACAGGACTTTACAAACATGTAGACAGCGTGCCTGACACAGAGTTCCTCCAATGGAGTCCCAAGACTATTAGAACCTCCTACAGTCGGGCCATGAGAGCTGTGCACATCGTCTAGTAGGACAATTCTTATCTTAACTAAGCTCAAAATGTTTCAAATGAGTACATGTATTCGTCTCTACTCTATCGAGGTCACCTTGAAGCCTTTCCGGACCGTTTATCCAGTTTCGTCTTCTCTGGCACGCATGGACTCATACTAATACCGTGGTGCTCCCCACATCTCGGCGTCGATATAATGCGATCTTTGTGAGAATTGCTCATCCCTTTCATGGAGTAGACTTTGCTTTCAAAGGAGAAGGTCTTCACCATCATTTTATAAGATGTCAGCTCTCCATCGCTACTTAACGACCAATTTGAAGAGCGGTTACGGAAGTCCAGATCTGAGGACGCCAACAGTGCCGCAGATTGTAAATAGTGAGTACAGGACACAGTACTAGTACAGTAGTTGGCAACCTGGAACACACGAAGAATTGGAGGCATGCGTGAGCTGGCTGTATCAATGCGGCAGCACATTAATGTGAAATAGGAATAAAATGGGAATGAAAGAAGCGAGTGTTCGGTATCAAAAGTCCCTGACGATAATAAATGTATAATGCGTGGTGACGAGAGAGCACAAGTGTTTGCACGTGTGATGGCCAGAGGCCCATGAAGTGCAGCAGTGAGGTAGGTATACAATGTCAGATATCATACTACTGCACAGAGCAGCCACCGTTACTCGATTTCGAGTCTCGGTACTTGTCTCGTCCGTTGCTTTTGGGCAGATCTCCTGGAATGCCCGGGCTTCGGGTTGCTATGCGTCCCGTGCCTGCGGAAGACACGATAGAATATGAAGTCAAATGGGATATTTTGGAATCGCTCTTGTCGTTATCTGCATCCGCATCGGCAGCAGGTGATTGAACAGAACGACGAGTGGCACTGGACATGCTCTCCGTCGCAGTGACAGCACTCCGCATGCTCGATGATTTCAATCCTGTGCTGTTGCTGGAAATAGAACGAGGTCGTTCCTTGATATCGGACTTTCGCTTCAGAATAGACCGTTTCTGACCTGGTTGAGGGTTATTGTCCTTGTTCGAGACGGCTTGGGGCACTGGAGATGGCGTTGATGACGAAGGTACGGGGGAAGAGCGATCGTGATGGTCCGTCAAGAATGATTTCGAGCGCTTGAATGCCTGAAGGACTTTGTAGGCACTTGGAGGATGAGGATGTCCACTGAAAGATGGAGGCTGCTGTGACGCCGAATCCAGGCTTGTCCTAGGAGTAAAATCGTGATCAGAGATGAGGCTGACCGGTGCACTGGCTTGCAATGCTTCCAACAGTTCCATCGGGTTGCTATATTGACCGGTCGGACTGCCACTCTCAGCATATTGAGCATACAGCAACAGCTGAGCGCGCAAGTCACATGTGGGTGGCGCGTTGGGCGAACACTTGACATGACATATAAGACTGCACTGTTCGCATAGCACGGCGCTCTTCTTGACACTCTGATTGCATACTCGACAGATTACAGCTGCATGAAGTGGATGAGCTGAGGATGAGGACAAATCCAGAAAATCACGCACGTTTCCCGAATGTCGTCCTCACGAAGGAATGTTCACGGGGCGATATGCCTTCGAGGTCATTGGACAAACGCCTCCCAGAGGGTGAGTGGTCCAAGTGAGGACGCTGTTCAGGCGTGGCCCTGTCGGCCTCGGGCATCTCCCCGTTAGCGAGATAGCGCAGTATGTCTGGCCTTTGCTGGTAATCAGCGCTGACACGACGCAGAAAAGGAATGCTGTCTTGAGGTCGCAAGTCCTGTAAATGATATCCGCTCGATCAGCATCTCCCGAAGACCAGATGGCCGAGACATACCTTGGTATGAAGCGCCCAATTTTGCTTCAGCCACTCATGCTCACACAGATCCTCTGCACTTGGTCGCTTGGCAGGGTCTTTGTTGAAGCATTGCTTCAAAAAGTCCTTAAGGCTCTCGGAACAGCCATCAGGAACGGGCGGCATGTCGTCCTCCACGATGCGAAACATGACTTGAGCAATTCCGGATTAGTGATAACTCCAGGCACAGACGGTGAGCCATTACACACCAGACATGCTATTGTCGATTTCCGCATACGGAGGTCGACCCGTCAGCAGCTCTATAATAGTGCAAGCTAATGACCAAATATCGGATTTCGTCGAAGCGCCCTTGAGTTCTATCACCTCAGGTGCCATCCAATTCGGAGTGCCAGCCACGTCCTTCATCTCACGTTCCATAGCGCGTAGGTTGAGTGAAACACCAAAGTCGGAAAGTTTCACGTTTCCATTCTTCGTCGTCAGAATATTGGCTGCCTTCAGATCGCAATGCACGACGTCGCTCTGATGGAGATAATGCAATCCTTCAAGGATCTTAATTACGTAGCCAGCAACCAGCCGTTCATTGAGTTTGCCAAAGGCTTTCAAGGTTTGGCCAAGAGAGCCATTCTCCGCATATCTACAGGACGTATAAGAATCACGAAAGCGTCAACGACATGAGACTTACTCGAGGACGATACTCAGAGTGTCGCTGTCTCTGGCCATGCCTTCATACTTGACGATGCTTGGGTGAGATAAACTCTTCACGAGGTCAACCTCCTTCATCAGCTGGGCAATCTCTTCCTCTTTCAACCCTTCGAGACGTATCCTCTTCACAGCTACCATTTGCCCGGTGTTCAGATTCAATGCCCGGTACACGGCGCCGAACTGGCCACGCCCGATGCAATTACCGAGTTGCTAAACAAGTAAACGTTAATCCGCAGGAACTATTGTGCCGGATGAAGGTGCTCACGAATTGGGTGGACGGCTTGCCATCCTCTTTCACTATCAGCGTTTGTCGGACGGCACTTCCATCTTGGAGGGTCGGGTTGGATAGGAGATCACTGGCGCTCGCATTGCTCGTCACAACGCCCAGGTTGACCATGCTCTCATACCTTGACCTCCTTGGCTTTGCACCCATCTCATCATAAGAGTTCGGACGAGGCTTTCTGCGCGAGCTCGAGCCATCAATCTCACTCTGGAAGCGGCCGCGAGGTTGACGAGGTCTGTCATTAGAGCTATTTACTTTACTCTTTGGAGCATCGTCCGCCGCTTCTGGACTCTGGACACCAGCACGGTCCAAAGGAGATGGAGGTGCAGTATGCTCTGCTGAGACTGTTCTTGGGAACGGTACACGAGCGTCACTGTCGCGCGAACATGAATCACCTCGGGGTATATATATTCCGTTCCGGTGTGGCCCATTCCTCGAGCTGTTGCGTCTCAAAATGATCCTAGGAGATGGTGACTGTCCCGATATGTTATCAGGGCTAGAATCGCGGCGTAGCAATGGATCTTTCGGTAGGAGCCCAGCCGTGTCAACGCTGTGTCGCGCACGATGAGTCGGACGCCTAGGGAACTGAGACAAGGATTCAACGCTAGCGTCTGAGCGGGTCGCTCCAATCACGGCCAACTTGCGAGGCGCAGATGACGACAACGGTTGATAGAAACTCGGCGTACTGGGCTCGTCCGGGCTGGGAGAGGGCAGTCGAGTATCACTAAAGGCGTCCAGGAAATCATCGGGCCACTTCCCCTTCCCTAGCTTGATCGGAATCGCCTTCTGCTGCCCCTCTCGCTCTTGCTCTAAATGCTCGTCAATCGTTACTCCGCTTGTCCTTCCGCCCTTCGAACTTGCAGAGCTTTCCTCAGCTTCCTCCACTACGCGGTTCAAATCCACCGGCATGGTTTCACTAGGTCGCCTCTCGCGAGAAGGTCGAGTCGGGTAGTCGCTACTGCGCTTCCGCCCATACTCCTCAAGAAGAGAGGCAGCCATAAAGCTGCCCTCGGTGAACGTGAATGAGGGCATTTCGCCGGGCTCGATGGACGTCGCCTCCGTGGTCATCGTGCGGATCGTACCAAACTTGTTGTGATTACCGCTCGCACTTCGCTGCATCTCCAACAGACTAGAAAACGCCGTCGACTCCGTCAGGTAACTGGATGCCTGAGACTGTCGGACTGGAGAGCCCACGACCGAGTCAGCCATCGAGCCGCGCACTGAATCGCCCACGGAGGCGTGAGTTGAATCTGTGACAGATGTTCTCTCTACGCTCGCCCTCTGACGCAGAGGAGATCTTGGCGGCGGCGACAGAATCGGAGGAACGTCATCGACGTCCCCCTCGCTCTCACCAGCATTCTCTTCGCCATTCGTTCCACGAGCATAGCTAGCCGTCTTGTCATCGCCCGAGCTGCTTGACCCATGATCTATAGCGCTGCCAGAGCGCACCGCGGGCAGAGGCTGCGTGGGACTTCGTCGCTTCCGGCCTGTGGGAAGTTGAGGCGCTGTAGGCGATGTGGGCCGCTGCGCCGTCGACAGATTGGGCGATGACGCGGCGCCACGGGAACTGGTGCCCGAGCTGTACGGACCAGGCGACTGGGAGCCTCGATTGTTACCGGCGCCGTGGAGGTACCTTGATCGCTCAGGAGCCGGAGACTCTACCAGCTTCTGCAAAGCGAGAACAGTCCGAGCGACGCGCACAAGTGACTCGACGTTCGACTCAATAAGGTCATCGCGTAGGAAGAGGTCGTCCGAATGGACACCCACGGACGAGCAAGCGGCGAGGAACTTCGTAACGTTTGATGTGCGCATGAAGCCATCCTCTCGAGGGTCAATGCGTGAGACCATACCCGGATAAAGCTTGTTCATAAGCCTGTGTTGAGATAGAAAGATATAGGGGCATCAGTCAGATAAACGTGCACAAGGTATCAGGAATCATTGTCACGCACTGGCAAAGAACATAGCCGTCCCTCAACGCCTCACCGAAGAGCCTCCTCTCCCTCTCCTCCCCTCCAGCACTAACTCCGTTTGAGCTTGCCGCGCCAATAGTACCCAGCTGGCTGGAGCTGCCCATACCGACGACTCCACTCTTTCCCCACACCCGTTCTAGCCTCGCCAACCCGCGCAACCTGACCTCGACCTCCTCCCATTCTCTCGGCTGAAGCGCGGACTTGTTAACCTGTGATGGGGGCTTCAGCATCTCTTTGCATAAGAATGATGCCGCGGAGCGTATGAGCTCTCGATGTTCAAGGTTGGGAGGTGAGGACAGAGATGTGGTGGACGCATTGAAGAAGCGAGTTTGAGAGTAACTAGGAGAATAGTTGTGCTGTGGGGATACTGCACGCGGCCGAGTGGGAGAGATGGGGGAGATCGCTCTTGGCGGCGAGGATGATAGAGCAGCGGGTCGCTGGTGGTCTAAAGAAGGCCTCCGCACGTCGATGGAAGGCCTTCGTGTGTCAATCGAGGGTCTTCGCGCATCGAGTGAAGGCCGATGGATGTCTACAGAGGGTCTCCTACCATCGACCGACGGCCTAAATCCATCGGCAGATGGCCGGGGTGGGTCTGTCGGTAGCCCTGCATCTATTGAAGGACGACGAGCGAGTATCGTTGGAGTGGATGGCGTTAGTGGAAGATGGGAAGAGGATGCAGACGGTCCTATACGGTGCGTGGTGCGAGATGATGAGCGTACGTCATTCGGACTAGTAGCGCGACGTGCGGGTGCCGATGGAGGACTGTGCGATCGGTTGAAAGGTAAGTGACTGGCACTAGCAGCTGCGCCCCTCGATGAACCAATAGCTACATCTCGAGGACTTGGAGACCTTTGAGAACTGGGAGACCGTGCTCCATCACGAATTCGCCTCGATGGCGACAACGGAACGGGAGAGCCAGTATGACGCTCTGGACTACGAGACAGCACCAACGGAGGCGGCCTTGTCTTCTCCCTAGACGAGGCGGTCGGGGCTGCTACGCTACTGTGACGGGAATCGCGTCTTGGTACGAGAGGAGTGGGGCCACTGATGTCTTTGATACTCACACCGGACTGCGATTCCGCTTTGCCTGAGCGGCCCCTTGATGGCGACGCGAGCGAAGCCACATTCGACGTCGAGCTGGAGGGCAGTGCAAAGGGCTGGGTAAACACTGAGGGAATGGGCAAAGCTGGTGAAGACATAGACGCTTGTCGAAGAGACGGGGTCAAGAAGCTAGTGTTCCCTGCCACACGGCCGTTCTCCTTGTTTGCTCTTCCTGCGCGTATGGGTTCGCCGTCTCGACGTTCACAGGCCGTAGCAGGTGGAACAGCGGCCGAAGAGCTGGAGTCCTTCGCGGTGGGCAGCCGGCGAAATGAAACCTTAGATAGCATCCTCGATTTAGACTTGTCCTGAGTGGCATGCTCCTCCGACGCCCTCTGTTTGCCCTTGCCATTACTATGCGAAATCATCCCCGACTCGTCCACCGGGATGCTCAATTTCGACTTGGATCTTGTTGCCGTTCGCAAGCTCTGTTCCAACGAGGACCGCAGGCGCTTGAAGGTCTTCGGCGGAGCATCCGCCTGCTGAGCCGGCGGATGAAGCCGAGACGATGAAGCCGCCATAGACGGCAATGGGCCAGCATCAGGGCGCTTGTGAGATATCATCTGGAACGGGTTCGAGATAGAGAGTTTGGAAGAAGTGAGAATTACCGCTGCCATGCGTTGGGTATGAACACGAAGTGTGCAGGAATAAGCCTGCTGGCTGTGGCCTTAGGATATGAACTGCGAGAGGCCACAGTCGAGTGACGACAAACTCACTATGTGAACGGAGGCGGGATCGAACACGAGAAGCCTGTGAATATCACGGTCCGATGAGCATATGAGAAGCGCAGATTGAGCGCAGGGAAGGTCGGGTAACAGATTGGCGGTTACAATGGACGTGGAACTTCGAAGCGAGCCACAGGATCTCTAGTTACTAGAGTAGAGAGCTCTGCAGCAGGAAGTGGAACTTGGACCGGATAGGTGTACACACCACGGTCAGGACTGTGGTCAGCGGACAAGCAGATGCGACAGCAGCTCCCAAGCTCCTATCTTGTAGTTCTCAGAAGACAAGGAAGATGATAGGAATTTGACGTCCGAGCCGATGTTAGGAAGCTGAGACCCTAGCAGTGACGGAGTATGCAAGCGAGCTGCGAACGAAGGCCACAACGTCGGCAGAGAACTGCCCTTTATGAACAGTGGCGGTCGGACAGCCGGTCGACGACAGCAAAGACGAAAGGACGGCAGAGGTAAAGAGCGGGGTGACTGGTGGTCGCTGGTGAAGACGTCGCTGCTAGTACACAGGCAGTAGTGCGGCACTGAGGCCCTGGGCGCCCGTTTAGCCGAAGCGCAGAACAGAGTTCAACCTAGTTCAGTTGAACTCGCTCACTGCTGCAGAAAACACATTTGCGCCTGAGTCCGTTTATCGCGACGCTCTAAACACGCTCTGCCGGATTCTAGGGAAACGTTTGAACGTCTAGACCATTCACACGCTCGATCCAGCATCAAATCCACTACATGACAGCCTAAATACACAGACATGTCCGCCATGGTCTTGGAGATTCAGAGTGCGCCCAATGGCGCCTGAACAACCCCTAACGGCACTGTAAACACCGGTCCGACAAAGCATACGAATATGCCGTTCGCGTCCATGTGCTCCTGGGTGAGACAGGGGCCGAGTACTTGAACGGTTGATGAGGTTGTCCATGACGAATGTGAAACGCATTGTTCTTCATCAAGCCTTCCCCGACTGGAATGCTGCTATCGCCCTAGGATGATACGGAGGAGCGCACTTTCTCGCGGTCGCACACGACTTGCTCACGTCGGTGTCCATCGGCTATGCACTGCGGGTCTTCAGGCGGACTTCCTGGGTCATCGTATCTGTTCTACTTGAGCCTGGGTCCCGGAGAAATGCATCTGGACGTGGCTCAGTAAACAACAGTTCCCATCACGATCCGAGCAGTCTCCCGCATGGCACGGTCACGTGCTCCGCGTAAGTAGCGGCGGAGCGTCTGTCCTCCTTCGTGGCCCAGGAATATGACGGTGGAGAGCACCGCCGGCAAGAGATGGGCACTCGACTTCGGGGATGACGGCACGCACCTTTTGTAGACCAATCGTGAGAGCAAAGCTTGTTCAGGCGCGGAGATGGATGCAGCTGACTGGCACTTTTCATCCCAGGATGCTCGGCTGACGCGAGGCGCAGAGCCTCTTCTTCCAGTTCCGAGGCTTCGATGGAACCAACTTTCCTCGGCGTATCTGCGTCTTCCCTACAAGGTTCCTGACCATCGGATCAATGGCGTGGCCCCCGGCGAGCGGCATGCAAGCAAGCTAAATGGAGGAATCGCCGCATTGTTCCGTCAGTGTCAACGTGTCTTTCGCGGGAACATGCGAATCCGAGCGTAAAATAAAGACGTTCATGCTGACGGCCCACCGCTGCTTACAGCTTAGCCCGCGCCCTATAGCTGCATCATTTCATTGTGTTATCGATATGGTGGGTACGCGTCAGGAGAAAATGCGAGAGGTATATTGCTCGACGTACCGTATCGAAAATGACGTGGGTGGCCAACACGTCTCCGGAGCGATGGCTATGGCCACCGGAATCCTGGGAGCCCTTCTATTGGAACCATAATTTCTGCTCCCTTGATCCTGGCCGTAGAAGATCATGAGAAACAGCGCGACAACGTTTGAGATTCAATATCAAGCCGCCAATCTCGTCTGTTGCTTCCCGGGAGGTCGGAAGCATTATCATACCGCACTGAACTTGTTTGACGCGCGACGAATATATTTTGCTGCCCCCAGAGGTTCATACGAGATGGAGTAGGCTTGCAACATTATTGCGATACTACGAGTCAGAATAAGAGGAGCAACGAGCTGATTGATGGTCGTGGTCGATAGGCACTGGAGCTTGTCTCCTTTCTGTCTGCTTAGTAAGCAGGCATTCGCTGCCACCAATCGCGTTCGTCGCTGGAGAGATTGACGCGCCTTCACCATGGCAAGCAAGGGAAAGACCGATAAAGGCGACATCAGAATTCAAGCCAGAGGCTCGTATTTGGGGTTATGTGCAATGTGCATTGACGGACGGCGATAGGACGCTAGGAGCATCATGCATCGGTACGACATACCATACTCAGACGCTAAGCTATAATTTTCTTCCAACCGCAGCTTACTTTTTCGCCAACTGGCGTGTAGGAATCGCACTAGACAAGGAGATGACGGTGAAGGAGTGCATGCTGGTGGCACTATCGTCCTTCGAGTGCTGCAACTGCTCCAGGGAAAGGATGAGGGTGTCCCACGAAGATCGTAGTATATCGACATCGACACCGAAATGTGGCGGAGACTAGGGCATCAAGAGTCCATGCGTGTCAGCAAGGATGAAACGGTCTAGATTGTCAGATTGGACAGGTTCTTGATGTTCTTTATGAGCCAGTGACAACGTCAACAGCACGGGTTTGCAATTTCTACCGCTTTAGATGGCTCCTGCGTCTCTCTGCGCCGGTGAAGCCCATTTCCGAAAGAAATCATGCCGGTGCTTTATATCGGCTTCACCTCGGACAAGTAAAAGGAGTTATTGTGAGAGAGGGCAGAGAAGAGACCAATGAGAATGTTTCCACAGTGAACCGCTCCTCGAGATGTCTCGTTACACAATGAGTCAGCGAGTTGCTCAAGCAGTTCTTCTATCCTTTCTTGCAGCGCGACAAATGGCGAGGAGCGTGTCCATATGCCCACAGAATTGTGGGACACGTTGAACACTTCGCAGAGCGCTGGGTTTGATGAGATGGAAACAGATAGGCGCGTTTGCCTGGACAAATTCCAACCTTTTAAGGACGTAGATTGCCCCGTACTAGGCGACAATGTTCTAGAATTGCCGAAACACAAAGTCTGCGCTGGATTGCCTAAGCGGGGGCCGCTCTCTGCGAAGGCTCTGATTACGAACGGCGTAAGCATTAATAGCCATCCATCTTGCAAAGATCTGGGACCTACCATTGTCTATGCTATCGGCGCCCCCCGCACGCTTGAAGCCGAGTTAGCACGGACGCTGAAATTCACTTCGAGCTTCTCGCTGAACGAGGACGCCGTCAGGAGCTATTAATCGCGGGATCATTGCATATGAGACCATATAACACGAATAGTGCATCATAGAAACCCTGTGATGCATCCACCCTCTCTTTCGGTTATGTCTTTGGATGGTTGCTTGAAGGCATCGCCAACAGCCCGCAGGTCCGATAAATAGCTTCCAACCACTGAACAGCCTTAGTTCGAGTTACTAGATATCATTGACATGTAGGGTCAGTGTTGTCTTTTTCGGAAATCGCTTCGACACCCGCTTTTTCGAGGGCCCATTGAATGTCATGCTGGACGTCGTTCAACTGCAATTCGGAAGGGATACCCTCGATGAGAGGACTGGCGGATAGTGGCGTCTGCATCAACGTCGAAACCAGAAAACTGATTGAGGTGTTTGAGGGTTTATTTGGAAGCGAAGGACGGATGATGAAGAGCTCGAGCATGCTTCTTTCCTGCTCATTCTCCGATGTCGCATGCATCTGTAGCCCTTGTAGGATGTCGGCAGCATGCTTCCGAAGAGTGATTTCATTAAAGCTGTACTTGAACTGTCAACGAAGATTATTTGATATCGTGATGACATGCATACCTTTTCCCCGTCCTTCGTCATACTGCCACGTTGAGGCTCGAGGCTCAATGTTTACAATCCTGCTTTTCTCAGCTGTGAGTCACCCATCATCCTGCCGATATTACGAATGAAGATGCTTGGAAACTCAAGCGGCTGTACAACAGACAGCTTCCCGACGTACTCGACCGCGACGGTTGCTCTGGTGCCTGTGGTCACCCGTCATAGTAATAGACCCTGGTGGAACTCCGTAACGGCCGAAGCCCCTGTTAATCTGAACATCGTCCTCTGTATTGCGGGTGAGCACAATCACGACGTAATAGTAGACGTCAGCAATCGCCTTGAGATGCCGGTCTCGAACATATTATTCTTGCTTTGGATTGCCGTAGACAGGCCGGTTCTTGTTGGCGATGCTCGCCCAATGTTCGGAATTTCTGGTGCCGACTGAATGAACTCAGTCCGCATAGCATACGGCCGCAATAAGCCCGACGAGTCGAAATCTATACTTGAGTCACTGCGCCAAGGGACACAAAAGTAAGCTTAAAGTAAGCTTGGAGCATGATGCGCCGGTAGTGTCAGTGCTGAGTACGCAAGCGCTCGGCTATCACCGCGGCCACAATCGCAGTCACCAACAGTTCGATCTTTCGCACAACTATTTGCACGACCGGGATCATTGTTTGCTACTTCGCAGTACCTCGTCTAGCTGTGCTCGTCTCAGTATGTCGCCTTGTTATAGCTCAATGGCTCGCTCTCCAATGCAATCATGGTGTAGAACGCCTTTTTCGGGCAGAAAAAACTCTCCGGTGAACTCGCATGTTAAGTGCCATCGCAGCTCGCAAGGCGCGTTTGGCGAGCCAGACGAAGACAAATCCAGCAAGCACTGAAGCCCTCGAAACTGCAACTATATCAATACCCCTCAAAGCTCCTGCTACCCCGAAGCAGTCTCCTAAACGAGACGCAATCGAGAAAGTCGCTGAACCACCCAAGAAGAAGACGAAACTTCAGCCGAGGAATGCGAGAAATGCCCAGCAGAGTCGCGCACGGTATTTTCAGGAGGATGCATTCCAGACACAGGAGGACGTTATAGATCTGTCCGACGGAGATAGCTCCAACGATTCCGACATTTCGTCGGAGACTGTCGACATCTCTACACAAGGTACGTGCATAAAGCTACTTCAGCAGATTGTGATTGACCAGAGGCGCAAAAGACAATACTGTGCCTTCCCAGAGCCGAAAAAGGGCGTGGTCTTCCAGTGCTCCCTTACGCGACTCGTCGGACGAGGACGATGAAGTAGCAGAGACCGGCGAAGAGGCCACGTCGCTTTCTGCAAATGTTTATCCTCCATCACCGTCAGTGCCCTCGCCATTTATGTCTACATTCGCTCCCGTAATCGATCAGAACGTCTTCTATCTCACTGCGGAAGAGGTGCAGGCGCTATTGAGACTTTCTCAAGGCTCTGAGCGATCAGGGACAATGATCGTCCTCCTCGCTGGGGAGACACTTGCATTGTTAGGCACGTACGCTTTTACGGTGCTCCAGGCCCGTATTGCTCTGGCCGGCGTAGTCCTAGACGCTTCCGATGCCTCATACCATGTCTTTGCTCCTCGATCATCGCCCATTCCCATTATAGAAGGGCTACCGTCCATAAAAGATACACAAGACTGCGTCGCTATTATTCCGCAGAGGATTAAAGACTCAATACCCGCTGGTGCCACTGTTATCTTGCTACAGGAACTCCGGACAGGTGTGGAGGGATTGGGATTTACATGTCGCACGTTCAAGGACGTCTTTTCTCCCTCGCCTTCTCAACGACTCTCACCACTATGCGATCTTCAACTGCACGGAGTGCATCTGGTGAGTTCGTTACACGATGCGATGCACTGGAATTGTTAATCTGATCCATGGGCCAGCTTAGCACTCAGACTCATGGCATCTCGTCTTTCGTCATGCCTCGAACCTGGGAGTCGGCTATGGCTTCTGTACTAGCGCACAGCTGTGGACAAGGGCCTACCCCTGCTAGAAATGTGTTTCTTGTGAAGGGCCCGAGAAACGCTGGCAAAAGTACGTTTGCAAAGATACTGATGAACCGGCTCCTCACGAAGTGAGTTCAAGCCTCAGTTACTATCGCGTCAGGCTGGAACTGACGTAGCAACTCGGCCAAGGTTTCGCCGTATCGCATTCCTTGAGTGCGATATCGGACAATCTGAATTTACGCCCGGTGGTATGGTCGCCCTAAGTATACTCGATCGACCAGTCTTCGGTGAGTACCAGTCTAGAAGCCTGCCACTGTAGTACTAAATCATTCCCAGGCCCACCGTTCTCTCACCCCAGTATCCCACATGCAGCTCATTATGTGGGCGCGAACTCCCCACGCTCCTCACCGAGTCATTACGTAGAGTCCGTTCAAGCTCTGATTCAGACGTACAATTTCGACATCCAGCAGGCCGCATTAGAGGACTCGACCGATGCGCGATCCTCGGATGGCAGGATCGCAGACGTCATACCACTGGTGGTGAACACGATGGGTTGGGCAAAGGGCCTAGGGGCCTCTCTTACAAAGAAGATCGAAGAGATGGTTGAACCGTCCGGTATATTCGAATTTACTGCTCGAGAGGAACATTGGAACACTGCACCTCCCAGGATCCATGACGTATCACCGTATGGCTGCAACTTGCATCGCCTAGAGCCCATTCCGTCATCGGCCATCTCGAACCACTTCACCGCCGCTGACCATCGCATCCTCACAATCATGTCGTACTTCCACGCCATCTTTCCCATGGACACCACGGAGTCGCCGTTCCGTAACATTACGGCGACTTCGTGGAACACCTCAGACCCTCTCTGTGCGCAACTGCCGTACGAGGTTGAGGTTGATGTCGCGTTCGACAGCATCGTACTCGCGGGCGCCGGGATGGAAGATGTGATCCCATCGGAGGTGCATCACGTATTGAACGGGGCCATCGTCGGACTCATCGGTTATGAGCCCGGGACGCTGGACACCGACCCGGACGACGCGTTGTCCGGCTCGCTTCCCTACAAACAGGGCGCTCCACCGCCTTCCCCGTGTACATCTCGCTGCTGCGGACTAGCCATCATACGCTCGCTGTCGCCCTCATCGCAAGTACTGCATCTGCTCACGCCGCTTCCTCCGTACGTGTTTGCATCTGCGCGCGTGCTTCTCAAGGGTGAGTTCGAGCTTCCTGTGTGGGCCATGCTGGACTTCCGCAGCGGGGACAAGGGGGACGTTGCTGGCGTGGAGAGCAGCAAGGTCCCGTTCCTCAGGTGGGGCCGGAGCGAGGGCGCAGGGGGAGAGCGGCGGCGGGTGAGGAGGAACTTGATGCGGAGAGGCCAGATGTAAGGCGGTGCTGCGTTGACTGTGGCAAAGTGCGCGTTGCCACTGGGGTTGCAGAATTTTGAATATAACGATATATCATCGCACTAGCTGATGGGTAAAAGCGAGACGATGATCATGATGAAAGAGTGGAAGGCGATGTGATCGTTCGATCATGCCAAAGACTCACAGTCATACAGGTGGGGAGGAACACGGAGTGATGCGATGCACGAATTGCAAATGCTAACGCTCCTCCTACGCTTTGGAGGTCAGCCTAACCTTTGCCAGCGCCCAATGAATAAGATGTCCTCCTCGGTGTGTTCTTCGCTCGGGGAGCTGCCACTTTTGCAGGAATATGAGGGTGAAGAATGGCATAGGATCCTTGTTTTTCCGTAGCAACAACTTTCGCAAGAGAGCGTCTCGTAAAGACAGCAACACCTCGACATTGACGCGAGAACGTGGCTGTGATACTAGACACTCCGAGCCTATGCGTGCAACAACGGTATCTTGGTATCCGGATGCACCTGAGATCTTGATGTTGTCTACCACTCCAGATAGCCCCTATACATTTCCATGTCAGCCGAGCCCATCCCGCATATATCAAGACTGTACATGGAAGCACCTTCTGCGGGTTTTCAATTTTTGCCTTAACCTTGCGCAAGAAAGTCGGAAATGGGGACCCACGAAAATAGTTTCGGAACGAGCCATTCCCCGAAAATTCTTGCTAAACATAGTCTCCCGTGGGCAGACGAGACAATTCCTTCAAACCTCCGCGGGAACGCTCCGGATATCCTTGTCTGACCTGGCGCGTTTTATCCTGTGTCTTCCTCTCGATGGTGTAACAGCACTTCGATATACCCTTGGCGTTGTGGCAATCGCGAGAAACATGTAAGACACTGCTCGATGCAAAGGGGTCCCGAGCCTGATAGGCGGATTCTTTCGGAGTTTCCGATAATGTAGATAACGTTCCACGAACCGTAAAGGCTGAAATGCAATGTCTGCACCAGAGTATTGAAGTGAAATATATTCGCTCTGCATAGGCCCTACAGTCGCAATTGCGCAGACGTCAATAACCACGGACGTAAATGAAGGACACGTAGCACATACCATCGTCTATCTCATCTAGCTCCGTTCTGCCCTATCAGCATCATCTTTGCTAGTGTGCTACGTGGCTACGTGAGAGTCGATCTCAACAACTGCCGAGCGCTGATCTCTTGCACAAGGTTGTCGCAGTTGGGCTTGTAACGATCGATTCCAGTGCCCTCATCCTTGTTTCAGCTGGGATGCACTGCTGAAATAGCATCATGATGGCGTATGTTCGTGATTATGTGTAAGTTCAAACAGAAAAGAACACGAACTTGCCGGCCTTGTGTCGAGTGGGCCACCGATGCAGATCATTCCATCTTTAATGTACCAAACCGAGCGGCGCAAACTGCTCTAAGGTAGGACGGGATGAACAGCAGCGGTCGAGCCGTCAATATCTGGGGATCATGGCAGTTGAGGTTGAGGCACAAGGAGGTGACAGGGGTCGGTAGGTCGCTGTTGCCAACAGACCTCATGTCTCGACGCTGTCCGCAGCCCCACAATACAATGCTCGTCGCTCTCCATCACTCCCGCTTTGAATACGCCACGCGCCATCTCGCGGTGGGTATTACTCTGAAGTTGCCATCGCGACGCCCGACTCATAGTCCAGACTGAGCGGACGGGCAGCGTGGGCCACACATGCCGCGGAAATTCAGGTGAGCGTTGCCCAGCAAGGCACCCGTATCCGGCTCATCTCGGGGTGAAATTTGCGATATGACAGGGTGCGTTTCACTTTCGGAACTCCCACTGGCATATGCCGCAGTTTGCCTCCGTGCTTCCATCTCTCAAGCATGCAGATGCCCGCGTTTGCTCTTCACGCCAACTCGCTCTGCCTGATATCAAGAATGCACCCCTGTGCTGCAACGTGTGATGGCGACATCGTGCTTGCCGGTGGTGGAACGGAGACTGCGCTGCGCCCGGGTATGAGCCCTCGGCCAACAGCCCCCGGATCAGTGATCTGGATGCGATCACCGAACAAGAAATGAAGCGCGCCCCCGAGCTGGAAAAGTGTTTGTTCCTACTCTTTTCTTCTGCCTCGTGGCTGTTTTGTCTTGCATTGTTATGGCCCATCAAAAAATAACGCCCTTCGCATAAAAACTCCCTCCCCGCCGGCTTCGCTCCCCCAGACCTGCTCACATCGCAGTCCAGCCGCTCTTTGCGCCGTTCCGTGCATCGTCCTTCCCTTTCTTTTCCCTGAGGAGCACTTTCATTCTTTTGAGTCTCGATTCCAACATGTTGTTTTCGACACTGCACTTTTTCTCCATCCTCGCCGCTCTGGTGTACATCCGCGGCGTCTTTGCCGCCCCCGTTCCCATATGCTCCATCGGCGTCCGCACCGGGTCAGGCAGCTCGAGTTCTAACTCCACCTCTGGCTCGACAGGGTCTTCGAACTCTACGTCATCCTCGACTGGATCTTCCTTTGGCTCTGCCACCTCGACCTCGACCTCCGCCTCTTCCACCTCGACCTCGACCTCCGGTTCCGGCTCTTCGAACTCAACATCAAGCTCAAATTCAACTTCTACCTCTGCTCCTCATTGGGTTATTTACAGTGATGCATGGTTCTCTGGCGAGAACGGTCCTCCTGACGTGTCTGATATCGAGGTGTGTACAGTGATTTCCGAACCAGATAGATGATGCTCATCGTTCACACAGGGCTATAACGTCTTGTCAGTGTTCACCAACATGTTTCGTTATTCTGTACTAAATCATACTGCAGCATCCTTTCCTTCCTCTTGACGTCAGGTGCCGCTGACCAGGCACAGGAGTGGGCTGAGCTCGACTCCGACACCCGTTCCAGCATCAAAGCATCTTATGAGGCCGCCGGCATCAGCCTTCTCGTTTCCGCATTCGGCTCCACCGACACCCCCACCTCCTCCGACGCCGACCCCGTGACCACCGCTCAGACCATGGCTGCTTGGGTCAAGGAGTACGACCTCGACGGTATTGATGTCGACTACGAAGACTTCACCGCCATCAACGATGGCAATGGTGCGGTCGCGTGGTTGGCTGATTTCACCACCGAGCTTCGTAACCAACTCCCGTCGCCGGACTACATCATCACGCATGCCCGTAAGCCTAGTTGCAACCTCTTGATAATTTGGCTTCTCATCTCGTGTGCACCCAGCTGTCGCTCCTTGGTTCTCCAACAACTCCCAGTTTGAGGGCGGTGCGTACCTCGATGTCGACGAAAAGGTCGGCGACCTCATCGACTGGGTAAGCATTTTGTGCATGTGACAGGCATTGCTCGCGCTAATTGCAGTCACGAACATAGTACAACGTGCAGTTCTACAACCGTACGTCACGTTTGATATCTGTGTTCATATCGTGTCGCTGACAGTTGTTGCAGAGGGCGCTGACGAGTACACGACCTGCGATGGGCTGTTGACGGAGTCGTCCAGCGCTTGGCCAAACACCGCTCTCTTCCAGATCAACTCTGTCGGCGGCGTGCCGCTCGACAAGTTGGTCATTGGTAAGCCCTCCGCGGCATCGGATGCCTCGAACGGCTACATGGATCCCTCCACCCTGGCCACCTGCGTGGAACAGGCCAAGGGGCAGGGCTGGAGTGAGTAATATCAAAGCTACCATATGGTGACCATCTGCTGACTTGTTTCGTAGACGCCGGTGTTATGGTCTGGGAGGTAAGCTGACGCCGTTCTGTTGTTGTTCACCATCGATTGACGAGAGCGCCCGACAGTACCCCACCGCGGATACCACATGGATCTCGACCGTCCGCGCCAGCGCATACCCCGTGTCCTAAGTGCTTATCATGATGCTTCTTTCATAACCGACAGAGCTTGCTCTGTCGCGTTTTCCCTTTCGGCCGGTTCCAGCTATCGTTATTGATTTCCTTTACTGGGTCTTGAGCGTTGTTGTCACGGTCCCACGCTCTCCTTTCTCATCACGCTCGCTATATCTCACACTCGCTCTCACGCATCTGTCACGATCCCCAGCATTGTGGCACGTACCCTAGCGGTACACTCATCTTGACGGTGAGCGGCCCATGTTGTATTTGATATACGACCTGTATTGCATGTATTAGAAATACTGCAAAATGTTGACTAGCTCAACAATGTATCCTTATCCAACAACTCCGTGTGATTACTGTGTCCGCTACTTCCCTCGAGCCGCCCAGCCGTGCACGCCAAAGCAATTTTCGCGTTTCATAGAAGCCAACAAGGTTCTGGTCAGGAAGGCGGAGTTCTGGTTTGTTCCGGTCGAGTCTCGCATGCTGGCCAAAGTCAACGAGGTGCGCACATGTTACGACCTCACGATGATGACTGCGGATCGCGGGAACGACATTGAATGTCAGGCTCAAGGTAACGTTGTTTCTAGGTACTGTCCGTACCAGAATTGGCCTGCTCAACATATGCAGATCCGTCGCCTCTCCGTCGCCTGGGACCCTATCATACTCACCAGGACATGACTAATCCGATCCAGTATAGCTCTGGATTCCAGCGTTGGGCGGCATGATAGAGCTCCACGAGGACGCATCGGACCCCCGTACGATCATCGACGTTAGCGGCTAGGCTCGACGATGCCCACATGCATCGTCTATTATATCAAGAACAAAAGCGGACGCTTGAGGGCGCTGAACTTACTGCACGAGCGTTTGACTGTCTAGGATTTGGCCCCGTGGCGCTGGACGTCGCATGCTACAGCACTATCAGAGGAAAGGTTTTCGCCGCTCAAGCGCGCCGTGCCTTTCGTGACCTCAAGTCTCAACCTTCCATCGCCCGTGGGGGAACTGCAGAGCACTACGCGTTCTATGGTGAGAACGCAATGCAATTGCAGACGTACATTCTTCGCAAGGACACCACAACCGCAGCATATCCTGTGGAATGGCGCGTGAATGAGAGCCATGTGAAGTGCAATCCTCCGAAGTGCGTCTTCGTTCCAATCTCCATTTTATCCAGTATCGATGTGGCATGCTGCCTGCTGGTCGCGTAGCAAATAGTGCCGCTCGATATCGCTCCGTTGGTTATCTACGTACTCACTCGTCTTCTGATCCATAGGGAAGCCTTCGCGACACAGTCGCGGGGCGGAATGCTTTGGGTCTCGGACGCCTTGTATGGATGTCTCATTGATGCGCGATCCTCTATCTGACAGCACTCTCTTCGCAGAAACTGATATGTGCAAGACTTTCACGCGACATACCATATCAGAAGCACAGGCACTCCCGCTCCATAGCAGAATCTGTCCTTCTGTGGGGACGCCCTGTCCATGCGGGCTTCGCGAGAGCCATTCTCCGCAGGCGGTTGTCGCCCCTCTTTGTGCACACGAGCCTCGGATTGGCTCCGAGATATGCAGGCAGAGACAGACACGCAGTGTCCCTGAGGAGACATATGGCTATCTCGTGAGTTTCTCGAGGTGGCACGCTGGCTAATTTGTGCTCTTCTCCGTTTCCAATGGAATGCAGCAAGACGCCGTTATGGTATTAAATATGCATCGCACTCTCCTGCTGCACTCGAGAGCAGCTCCTCGAGCACACAGCACCTCAACCTTGCGCTTAAAAATGCTCACCTCGTTCTCTCGCCTTGCACTGACGGTCGTCCTTGGCCTTGGTGTCTACTTCTCCGTCGTGTGCGGCGCACCCACTCAGTTCGACTTGGTTGTGGCACCTCCTCGCCGTCGTTCGACTCCGTCCGCACCGTACTTCGTGGAGTACTTCGATGCATATGCCTCTGGTGTCACAGGCGCACCGCCGGTCGCGGACATTGACGTAGGTTGGGATCTCTGTTTAGTATGAAACCCTTCTGATTGTAGTATTCTCAGGGATATAACGTCTTGTGAGTCATTTTCAACCTTGCGCGTCTCGCAAAGGCAAAAAATATCACGAGTCTGTTGATTCTAATAATAATTCTTGACCAGCATCCTCGCATTTCTCCTAATCGAGGGCGCGTGGGACAACGCTGAAGGTTGGACAGAGCTGACTGCGGATGAACGTTCCACTTTACTGTCCGACTACGCGGACGCTGGGATCGCACTGATGGTGTCCTGCTTCGGCTCCAGCGACACGCCCACGTCAAGTGGCTATGACCCTACGACAATCGCGGACACCTTTGCCGCATGGGTGATTGAATATGGCTTGGATGGCATCGATGTGGACTATGAGGTAGGCATGCTGGGACTTTTCGCAAACAAAAATAAACCTATCATCTCTCGTGTAGGATTTCGACGCGATGGACGCGGGAACTGCAGAGGCCTGGCTGGTGACTTTCACGACTGAACTGCGCAATCAGCTTCCTGCTGGCGATTACATCATAACTCATGCTCGTACGTGGTCCACCGTCCTCATCGACATGCAACGATGACTCACTCAGATTACAACAGCCGTCGCACCATGGTCAGTCGAATGACATGCAATCCTTCGCCAATGCTAAGTCATTGCGCCGCTATAGGTTCTCGCCAAGCATCTGGACGAACGGAGGTTATCTGGAGATTAATTCTGAAGTCGGTGATCTTATTGATTGGGTATGTAGATCTTCCCTTCCCTCCGCAATGTAGTGTCTGACGAAAAGGGATAGTACAACGTTCAGGTAGGGTAAAGCCGCGAATGATCGAGATAGCAGCTCATTGTGCATTCTTATCCTTGCCTTCTGCAGTTCTACAACCGTACGTTCTCCTACATGTATGATCGCATAGTCGCTGATCATTTCGCTCACCTGCAGAGGGAACCTCAGAGTATACGACTTGCTCAGGCCTCCTCAATGAATCCAGCTCGACATGGCCTGAGTCGGCGTTGTTCCAGATCGCGGATAATGGCGTATCCTTGGACAAGCTTGTCATCGGCAAACCGGCGACCACAGGAGACGCGAGCACCGGCTACATGGCCCCTGCTACTCTGGCTGTATGCGTTGAGGAGGCGCAGAGTGAGGGATGGGGTAGGTCTCGCCCTCCAAGGTTCTCCGTTGAGAATTTCACTGATCCTTGCATTCGCTGTAACAGATGCCGGAGTAATGGTATGGCAGGTGAGCGTGTCCGAAACCACCGGCTTCCATTATGTCTTCACATATCTCATGCAAATATCTAGTACCCCGATGCCGGCACTTCCTGGATCGAGACTGTTCGTGAGGATTCGTGGCCAATGTAAAGCCTAACGCCTGTCAAAGACCTCTCACGGGTTTAAAGTGAAGGTCCGTCCGTGATGATGCACTGTGAGAGGAATTTTTCCCTGACCAAGTACTGCAGATTATTTCGGATACTCATGAAACTAACGACTGCTCGATTGGCTGTGGGAACCAACATCTGAATTGGTTGTTTCTTGTGGGATCGTGGTACGTCAATAGTGAATTGTAAGCTATATCATTACCTGGGTTGTACTAGCGCGAGCACGCATTCGAAATCGATTATTGGGTATTTTTAACTGAATTGTATGAGCTCACTATTTGTAATCCATCGCCTGCTTCACAAAAGCTGGTCATTGAAATGTAAGCACAGGCGACTACTTACCCGCTGTCACTGAAGGACCCTTGATTCACGAGCTGCAGCCATCGTCTCGCGCTTGAGAGCATCTCGTCGCAATGCATGCGTGTGTATGCGATGCATAGCTGGCATCGCACCTTCCTGCCGCAACTTTGGCCGGAAGAATCCCGAGATGACCGATGCATACAGTGCGTCCACGGCCCATTGAAGTGATATCCGCAGCCAGTCTGGCGTTTACCAACAGCATCGCGCCCATGGCCCCGGACCTATCAACTGATTACAGTTACTGCATGGTTCCTGTTCGAAGGAGAGAATCCTCACTCTGTCAATTCCAAATAGTTGGTTCATTCTACCGAAACCTCTGTATTAGGTTCCGCAGCGCCCAAGTTGCAACTAAATAACCTATAACGGAATCCAGATCTTCTCTCCATCCGGGAAGGTCCACGTAAATTACCTTTTGCAAATTGTTACAGACTCCCAGTCGACTCTTGGAGGCCACGCTGCTCCTTAAGGCGACGGAGTGATTGCACAACGCGAGGTTCTCGATGAGATCGCCTCAAGACTTCAAAGCAGCACAGGACTCCATGCCACTCTGTATCTCCACCTCGCGCATTTGGTATAGCGTTTTTTTCGCATGTGAGTTCTTGCTGGCATAATGCCATTGGGCTGAGAACGGAAGATTCTGGCGCTGTGGGTCAGGCTGATCGTCTAGCGATGCATCGCGCAAAACCCTCCTGGGGAAACTACTCCGTCATGCCATCCGGACGATGTGCACCACTTTGAAGCTCTTCATAATGAATATTGAATGCAGAGTGACGGACGGAAGCGACGTTCGGGGAGTGGTCATCCTGGGTACCGCATCACATGACCGCGTGTGCCAAACGCCACCGACGCGTCCTTCGCGCGTTTGGCGGTCGGATTAGTCTACGGTTCTTTGTAAATCGTGACGTGTGATAGCTTTCATACGAGGTAGGTGGAATCTGCTCGCTTATGATGCAGACATAGACATTTTGCGGTCTCCTCGGATCTGTGCTCACGATATGCATGCCTGTGTATGTTCTGTACCATTCAACAGTGTAACAAACTGTTCGTGCCGAGAGTATCGGAAGAATTTGAATGAGACTACTGAACGTCGGTTGTACATGGGCCGCAAGGTCACAAAATTGTATTGTTTTACAGCTGACACGTCCCACACAGTCTGGTAGTGTCGCTCTATATGAATATAAGCAGCGTGGGGCATCCTTCCGTGAGTTACAGTAGCATCATCAACGCGAAGGGTAAAGAATCATTGTATGATGGTAGATCGGGGATAGGTTGTCACATAATCCGTGTGGTGAAGTAACTGCTGTCTGCAAGTATTGCAGTCAATCGTCCCTGGGTGCCCATAATGTACAAGCACATTTCCTCCACTTCGCTTTGCACAAGTAGCAAAACTCGGTCTTGCATCTGCACGTCATGTGGTAGCACCCGGTGTTCAATTCGACCAAGTGCTTGCACCCAGGGCATCGCGCCCACTCCTTCTCTCTCGCGAGGTCGAGCACCCCGTGTTCCTGGACGTCGGGCTCGCACCTGTGCCCTTTGCCCGCCTGGCTCTTGCACCTTGTGCAAGTTTTAGTGCCGCACCCAGGAGCGCGGCACGTGTATTGTGGAGCGAAGAAATGGAGGAATCGGCTTTGGATCTGCTTGCCGAGGAAGCGGCTACACGATGGCCTGGCACAGTATACACGCTTCAAGACCCGGACCTCCCTGGCCTTCAGTTTGAGTAGAAGGGAGAGCTCGGCATCGATGTGTGGTTTTGCAGATTTGAGCGGAATCTTTACCCCACAGCAACGTGGAGGGAAGAGCGACTCGTCTCGTACGGCGGCCTTGATAAGCTCCAGCATGCATTCGGGATCATAGTAATGACCACAACGAACACGGATCCCGGTATCGCCGACAGGGTCTGTACAGACAACGCAGGCGTGCTCCTCGGTGCTGTCGCAATTTCCGTCAAGTGGCGTATAATGCGTTCTGAGAGTGCGACTTACACATGGCTTTCTATAGGCTCAAATATCCCTCGCGATGCAGCAGCGTTTACCACGATGCTGGCTGTGTCGCCCTCATGGCGATCGTTCCTGTGAGGAACAGAACCGTCACTAAGTGATCGGCCATGCAAATGTCGTGTCTGACCTCAAAGTACGGATGTACTGGAGCGAAGCGAAGCCTGGAGGGCTAGGCGTTCTCGACCTGGGGGAAGCCTCTTCCGTCAGGCGGGCTAATGTCTGACGCTGTTCTTGACGTACCTGTTTCAGTGTAGATCGAATCAGCTCCTGTCGCAACAGCAGGAAGCGACAGTCATCACCTCTCGCCGATGACAGTGCCGAGTCTGGCAGCCAGAGCGTGGTCCCGCCACACAGTGGCGGAATTTAGAATCACCCCTTCCGCCGTGAGCTCTCCACTGAGTCGTGAACTCGAGCGAACGTCGTCATCTATTTGACTCGAGTCTGCTGTGCACCAGGAGCCGGTATCATCCGGGTAACGCGGCCTGGCGGATTCATCATTAACGTCCTCAAAGGAACTCCGTTTGGTGGCCATTATCGATATGGGGGTCTGCACGCTGGGCACGTAACGCAGGTATTCGGCAGAGGACATGGCAGACGGAAATGTCGAGAGACATGCGGAGATGCCTGGGCTCTCATATACGTATGGGAATGCATCACAGGACTTGTAAGGTCATAAGATAGGGTTCAGGAAGCAGAGAGCTTCATCCACAATCCAAAGATGGTGTTAGGCTAAGCCACGATAGCGTGGTCTACTCGTGGGAAACTTGTGGACGCCAATAAACTGATGAGTGCGATGAATGCGCCCTATGACCTCGGCACGACTTCCTCCTGCCAGCGCCGCACTCTCCTCAGCCCCTAGCTGGGTCAGGAAATATTGCTATGCACAAATGCGCATACAGGGCGTGTCGAGTGACACTGCAATGTCCGGTTCTCAGTCAGGTAAGAGGATGTCGCGCGAAAGCAATGCCGTGCACCGTTGCAACATGAGGCGGCGACCTGTTCTATGACCACATTAATCACTAGCGGGAGCAAATAAGGTGTGCAGACAGTAATATGCTCGCCGCCGAAGTCCGACCTTTAAGTTAACGTAGTAACAGGATTCCGACTGTGGTCGCGGAGCTAGCGGGATGCAGTCAAGCAGATGTTCGATTGACATTGGCGATGCACGTCGAAAACAATAAGATAGTGCATATATAGAGGCTCTTAACGCTCAACAATGCTAACACCTTTAATAGTGAGGCCTCCGCCATCGGAAATGTTAGTGGTCAAAGGCTAGTATGCAGGAAAGACGCAAAATGTAAAGCGGAGGCATATGTACACGAGCCAAACGTAACCAAAATGTGAATGACCATATAAGCAACGAATGCGACCGGAAACATAGCATATAACGACTGGAGCTTGTAGATAGCATTTGTCCGAACGAGATGGGCGAGCACTATGTAAATCGGGAGCAAGCGATTGAAGAAGTCACAGAGGGATCAACGATTAGAGTCATCTTTGATTAAGCCAATCATGTTCGGCACGAGACTCCAGACACGTCTCTCGAATGTCCTCCTCCTTTTCCGTATGTTGGCAGCACAGAGGTTGCATATCCGAGAGCACATGTCATTGACAGACTCTTCCCATGGTGGCGAGAACACATTACAGGAGCTCATACCCTCGTAGAGGAGCCTGTCACGGACCATCTGCATTTCCCCTCTGCAGGTATCCCTCTTCGAACACATGGCATCAGCTTTTGGTTTGAGGATGCGGGCTGCCAAAGCATTGACATTGCCTTGTAGCTGTGCACGTCCATCAATACATCTTGCCAGGTCTTCGGGGTCCAACACATGCTTTACTCCATCAATGTCTGTTACTCCATCGATGAGATGTCTGGAATCCAGCTGGCAGCAGAGATAGAATGCAGCAGGAAGCATGGAGTCTGTTTGTGTGAGACGAGCAAGACGGATTGCGACGATGGCATGTTCAGCCTCGAAAGTCATCCTCTCGCTCTCCAAACCACTGGCACAGACATCGAGCCATGCATCCAAATCTTCCGGAAACCCTGTCTTCATACAATCTAAAGCACTTGCGCATATCGCTGCCATCTCATATTTGTGACCCATGCGAATGAGTGCAGCCAGCGTCCAGAATTCCCATCTAGTCTGAGGGTCTGGAAAGCTGCCAGCAAAGCATCAGTCATCACTTTTAAGCGACAGAGATAGCTATGATCCTCCATGTACTCACCTGCTTCCATCGTACAGGGCTTTCAGCAAGCATCGCACATCGTGCCGACTGTCGGACAGACACACGACAGGGCAGCCATCGATCATCTCTCCACCCTCCGGCTGAGGTACTCTGAACAGGTTGTGGAAGACATCTGATCTACGACACAGTATGGATTGATGGACTCGGAAGGCGTGATCTCCTGCTAATAGCACGACGTTGCCGTCTGCCAGCCAGAAGTCCTGATCGCGCGAAGGTGCCGCCGGCATACCAGCTGCAAAGGCCATGCCGTCCTCGTCGACACGGAGGCGCTTTTGCGGTACAATGGAGGATTCGTCACCCGGCATGGAGGAAACTTGAACAAGGGAGGCGATGACCGTTGCCGAGGGATGTGCGAGTTGAATTGAAGCTTGAGCGCTGCTTGAGCTTGGGCGGGCGCGAGCGGGCGCGTCACGCACGCCACGCATACTATACATATACACAATAATTCGGACTCACGGCAGAAACGTTGGTAAGAAATTCTCGAAGCGATTGCGTCAGACGAGCCAACTGCAGATCCCGTTCTTTCATGCATGAATATCACCCACCATCACTGAAACTCCATCTGTGCTGTCTTCAGAGAAAACGGCAAATCGGAAACGTCGTGTTTTAAGTAACGATATGCGTAAAGCGTAACGGTAATCGTTCACTGAACGGAAACATTTGGGTCATCGATGTCAGGTATGTGGATAGCAGGTGCAGTTCGCGTCAAAAAGGTACCAGTAAGGAATCGCGGCTACTAGGCACGTTGGAGCGGCGGTCTGAAACAAAAAGACCCCCAAGGCCATGCGATGCAAGATGATCAGTATTGAAAGGCTCAGGTATCAGACGAATGCTCACGAGTGCGATGATATCACCGATTATCAACGCGGGTTGACAGCTGCGGGAGTTGGAATAAATAAAGGACCAAGTAGCCGCAGAAGGCATACATACAAGATCTGAGTGATTGTCCGCACAAGACAACGGATTGATGAGCCTCGTCATCTTTCGATCCCGTTACGCTCGGAAAGAGATCCAGGTTCGCCGCTTCAAGACCGCTTTCCGCTCTCACGTGTCATGAGTGCAGTACTCGCACAATGGCGTACAATGTGGAGGAGACCTCCTCGACCATCTAATCCCAGTGGAACCCGAACACGTCGCCGAAGTCTTCGCCATCGCAGAAGAGCCTCTCACAGGCCTGCCGCAACTCTTTGTTGCAGATCTCACCTTGCGGACAGATATAAGTCGACTTTACGCGGAAGGTGCGTGCCTTTGCTGCATTCATGAAGCGCTGTAGGACCATCCCTTGATACACATCGCCAGATTCAAGCCATCAACTTTGTATATCGAACCGCACGCCGTCGACCAGGATCTAGGGATTCAGCTGACAAGAAAGGTAGAGTGCGATGGCAAGCACGGTATCCGTTTGCGCGAGACCAGCGAAAGTAATTGCGGCGAACCCCCGTCAGAATGCAAGAACGCCAGTCTCCGACTCTCTGAGAGGTGATCGAGGTCCACGCGTCGTAAGTCGTCCGTTTAGCACGTCTTCAAGCACTTCATGCATCATCGCGAAGTTCTATCATCTCGTATTTGTGTCGCAGAGAATCAGCGCTGCCGTGGCAGAGAACCTCATGGGGTGGAAAGGAGCCAGTATGCTGTATTGTCCACTATAAATCTGCGACTTGGGTAGCTACATGAATACTCACAGGCTCCCGTCGTACACAGCTTCCAACAAGCAACACACCTTATGCTCGCTGTCGAACAAGGGCACGACAGGGCAGCCCATCCACAGGCTAACGCACCGGGAATGGTTCCAACTCTAATCTCTGCGAGCTCGATATGCGGGTGTGGAATACGCAGATTCGTTTCAGACATTGTTGGCATCCTGTCGTCAATGTAGCCGGTTCGCAGCAGGAGTGGAAGAAAGGCATATAAGCACGGTTGGGAGTGGGCAGTGGTTAGCCGTGAGCACTCACTGGCCTTCGAGTTATCAGAATCGGTTCCGGAGATGACGATCTGAAACCCAGAAGAGCGCGGTGCGCCATGATTTCGCCAATCACTCGTCTCTCTGATGAGCGACCCAGCTAGTCCATGCCATCCAACAGACTCAATTTGTTGTAATTCGGTCCTTCAGCCATTCAACCTGCAAGCTTGCGTCGACATGCTCATAAAATCGAGTAGGTTCTCCATCAGGGGCGGCCGCTTGGTACTGACCATGGCTTAGAGTGCTTCAACGCAGCGAACAATACTGTTGCGACAACTGACCGTAGAGTGAAAGTGTCCCGAACAGCGGTCTAGGTCATCGGTGTGAATCATGTCATTTGCGCGATCCACCTGAATGAGTCACATTAGAGATACAGGTGCGAAACAGTTTGAGGTCCTGAGATTCGTTAAGAGAAGCTTTACGTCCGGGAAAACACTCTTGTTTCAAAGCTGGGATTGCTGATAATTCTGATCCGAGAAGAGTTCAGTACTGACCGAAGTGTGGCGAGAACTATGCAAGACACACCTTCCGCAAGCTGTCCAGTTCGCCACGTCTAGCCAAGTACGCTGCGCCTGAATCAGCCCACACCTTATAGTCGGTGATCTTGCCTTCATCGTCAAAGTCCAGCATATAAATGAACTTCTCATCCCACGACTGGCCCTTCCCGCGGCCTTCGGTCCACGTAAAGCGTGCACTGCCTTTCACGCAGACTTTCTGCGCCTCGGGGTCGACCACCCATTCACCAAAGGACATGTCGTCATACGTGAGGCACTGCTGCAGGATACCAAAATACTCGGACACCGAGCCCGGGCCCCTGAGCCCAGTGAACGGTCGGCCGAGGAAGGGCGCGAGGAGGGGTTCCCCGTGCTCGAGAGCGGTGACCTGGTGGGTGGTGGAAAAGTGCGACAGGAGCTCGTCGAGGGAAGCCTTGCGTGCGAATGCACCGCAGAGACCTTGCGCCGAGGCGAGCAGTTGAGAGCGGGTGGGAGCCATCGTTAGCACCGATCAACACACGGCGAATGGTTGTGCAATTGTATTTAGGCGCCGGCACAGCCCCATTTGAGGCGGCCACGTGCGCGCACTAATAGATCGCCTCATTGGCGCCCATGTGTCCGGACAATCCACGATGGTCGCTGTGCTCCTCCCGGTTTCTCCACTTCGCTTCCATTTCCTTCCTTCGCCTCCTTAACCTATTTGAACCTTCTCTCCTCCTCCTCCTCTTCCTCCCATCATCTTCATCTCTCGCAGGACGCAGCGCTGGTCATCGCGTCCTCTATGGCCTCTGATCCTACATACGACAAGGCAGCGGTACAAGAGGCAGAGCTCGAAGAAGAAACCCGGCACACGAGTAGACGATCAGGGTGAGGCATGGTGTTAGTTGACTTGTGAATGTACGCTGACCCGCGTGCCTATGCAGTGATTTGGAAGCTGCCCTTGCATCGATGTCGCGCCGCACCATGCGTTACGAGCACCAGATCAAAGACCTCCAGGTGCGTTCCCGCCTATGAGCATTCATTAATACAGACGGACCAGCGTGCCAACCTTCTCTCCCTGGCAACAGTCCCGACTCACGGTGGACATGAGCAACTCTCGCGCTATCCACAACCTGCTGCAGGAAGTCTTGGCTGGACTTCAGGTACTATTCTGGCGATTTACCGCTCAGCCTCGCGCTGACCGCCTTCGTAGCAAAACCAGCGTCGTACAGATCTCGCGCTCACCACCACTGTGCCACACATCGAGAACTCCCTGGACGATGACCTCGCCACGTTGCAGGAGCTCGAGGAGCACCTCCCTCACGTCGGACAGCAGGTCGTCCACATCCGGCGCGTCTATAACCACGGAAGAGACAAGGTGCGTCTGCGCGTTCACGCGGAATCGGTGTCTTGGCATCGCCCGCGCTTCCCTTCTGATCTTCCTTGTCATCCGCTAACTGTTTTCTCCTCGGACCTCCCGCTGGCCGCTGTCCTCGAACAGGCATGCGAGCTCATGTCCGCTCTCGAATGGCTCAACATCCCCGTCTCCTCCCGCCTGCGAACCATCATCTTCACTTCGAATGCTCCGGTCAGCTTCAGGTGGAAGGCGCTCATCGTGCGTATTCCGTGCTGATCCTCCGTCATTTGCCCGCACTTACGTATTCGGCCATTGTTACTTTAATCGCGTTCTCACGCATCATTAGCGCACGCTGTTCGCTCTGGCGCTCCTTGCGTGCATTTGGATCGCTTGGATAACGATCCAAGGCGCTGTGCGCGCCCACCGTCAGCGGCTCGTGTGGGGAGAACGCCTCATGAGCTAACGATGTCCACTGGATGGCTCGTATCTCCGACGACTTCTCGCTTTCAGCTGCTCGATGCCAAGACCACGTCTACAGTTGGGCGCGCCACTGCCTACGATGTAGGCCCACGAGATACTCCTCGATGCAACCTCGTGACTGGGCGAATGTATCATATTTACCTAGACGCTTCCTTCTAAGGGAGCCACCACTGTAAAGTTATTGCCTCGGCTTCCCTTTCGGCTCGACGGACTGCATATGATTCCCATTGATTGCTTCGATGTATATAGTACTCACGCTATATAGAGCAAACTAGTGTCCCTCCGCTGTCTGGCCATGCAATATATGGAATTATGAATCGATTCGCCCAGCTATCGCTGCCGCGCCAAGCCCGCTCTCAGGAGGCTGTTCCATTACTGTCAATGGCGGCGAGTGGACACCCCGTGGACGGACGCGATGTTCCGGTCACACTTCCCTGCTGCGCGCGCGCGTTGGAAGCTGCGCCAAGCCGACGTCAAATTGGGCCGAAATTTTAGCGGATGAATGCGAGAGCTTGTGATTTAGCTGTCGAAAAAAGAGCATGTTGATGACTTGTGTCGGAAAGAGGGCGGCGTTTGACGACGGCGATATCGAGGTCATGGCCTCCGTATGCAGGACGTTCCCGCTCTCAATCAAGCAAGAACGTGAGCGCCGTCTTCTGATGTTAATACAGTTTGGTGGCAATCTCATTCTCAGGCGCTGTCGGCCAAGAATCAGTGAGCGGTTCAATGTCATAACAAAAGGACATGATCACTCACGTAGCCTCCGTCTCTTCCAACTCATCGCCAACCATCAAACTCTTGAACTATCCTAAACGACGGACTCCAGTGAGGGCACGAGCGTGTCCACCTGGAGGCGGGTTGTGAGGATTGTAATAGTATTCGCTCATGACCCACTGCACGACAAATGGCAAAGTCGGGTGGTCGAGGAACAGGCCAGATTGATGTAGGAAGTTCGCAACGACGGGTATGTTTTCCTTCAAATGTATACCAGCATTTGCAGAGGCAGAATCGAAAGCTGCGCGGCCCAGTGAGCTGGACACGGTTACATGTGGTTGACCTCTCTGTACTTCGGCGTCTAGCCATATCAACCCCTTCCCTAACATCGGCCCAAAAGACATCGCTACCTTCAGTTCCGCTACGCCAAAATTCTCTCCTGGGACGATGTCAATCGGAGGAGCTCTCCTCGGAGACTTCTGGACATGAATAGTCTCCTGGCCAGCAGCGTGTTCATAACATAAGCGAACCAGTGCCCAGTCTGAGTCCGCTGCCACATGGCCTTGCCGCAAGAGATACGGGACGGGATACAGGACGAGAGTGGTCGTCGACAGCTGGCCTATGCACACTGGTGTCTTCGGTGGTGAATCGGCGGGCAAGTTTCCGTGCCGTGGCTGCGGCGAACTAATTGGATCAATGACTTGACGCGATGAAGCGCCGTCGTCGTCATCGAGGGTGAGATCAATAGGATCAGACCGCGAGTAGGATCGCGCTGGTGGCACCGCCATAGTGCGCCCAGATGGTTGGCCAGCAGTACTAGCAGAGGCGTGTGAGGACATCGTACGGGGCCACGCTGAACTGAGAGGTTTAGATATAGAGGAGCAAGGTGGCGCTATCCGGCGGAGAGAAGAGGGATGTCGTCGAGGAGGCGGCTCAGGCGTGCATAGGGACACCTCAAGTTGTTGCCCGAGGATGTATCCACATGTGACTTTCCGTTAATGCTCCAGATGAATATCGCCTTCTACGAAGATCGAGCGGCGTCCCGGCGGCACACCGCGTCGCAGAGAAGCAGCACCATCATGGATCAGCTCGTAAGGAAGATCAAACGTGGACATCACAAGGTCTTCAAACACGGCTCCGCGCCCTATACGCATGGATTACGAACAGTTCTGAATGGCAGATGCCAGCTACCCCGAGGACGACCGGAGCTCTTCGCCACATGCCTTTCATTGTGAGGTCACTACTTCCTCTATATGCTCCGTGAGCTCACCCAGAGTCGTCTGACCACCAGAGACTACTACGACGGTCTATTTGCAGGACCATGCGTGCCACTCATTGAAGACGGGTAGAATGTGCGGTTGATGCACCAGTCGCATCAAAGTATCTGCGGCGTATGACATGCCCATGTCGTGCTGCACGCCAGTCCCTCCACGCCTGCGCCTATGAAAGACCAAAGAATTGCGTGTTCAAGGCGAAGAGTCACCGTATCGGAATTGGACGAACATCTGCGACGTGAGCATACATCGCAACGACTGCCGCCGACGCGACACCGAGGCGCCACGCACGGTGTGCAACCAATAACCCCCACACAAGCGCCATGAGCACATCGGACTTGCAGAAACGGAGCAAGGCACGCCGTATGTATGCACGCATGCCAAATAAATGTACAAAAAAAAAAAAATGCACGCATGCCGCAATCCTTCTGCCATCCGGACGCGGTTGGTCTTTCGTAAGTGAGGAATTCCGAATACGCAGGAGCGCACCGGCGTACGTGGGAATGCCGCAATCGCCCCACCATTCGTGCGTGCCGCGGAGCAAATCATCATGAAGCAAGGAAGCACGGGCATGGTAGCGGAAGCCCTTCGGGTTGGTGCTGAGCACTGGGATCAAGATGCTGCGGAAACACGTAGCGCGCGCAGATTGGGCGCTAGATACAAGATGCAAGAATGAGTTGCAGTTAGTCGTCCCTTGCATACGAGCATGCGATGAAAGTTGTGCAGATAGGAGAAGTGCGGAAAGAGCACAGCCTGTGCTTAACGAGGTGAATCGATAGCAGGATGGACATCATACAAGCGTAGCATAAACTAGACAACTCGCGTACCCCTCGGTCATAGAAAGCACGCAGAGTGCTTTTATGCGGCATGACCCTCGGCGACGGTGAGAAGATCGCTGTCTCCGGGGTCGGAGACGGTCATCACACTGAGCGGGGTGAGATTAGTGACACAAGAAAGTAGAGTAGGTGCCGTTACGCACCCAACACGGAAGAGCTTTCCGGCAGCAGTGCCGAGTGCGACGTTCGTGCCCGCAAAGTGATGCACGGACGTCTTGGAAAGCATGGCGTAGTACTCCAGCTCGGACTTGCGGAGCGGGGGGCAGTTGCCGGCAATGAGGACCAGCTTGGCTAGAGACGCGCGGGGTCAGCACAAGGGACCTTCTCAGCCTCACGCTCCAGTCCCCGTGGGTGCAGAGGGCGGGACAGACTCACCCTTGCCGCTGCGCATCTGCTTGAGGGCGGACTTGTATCCGAGGGAGTACTTGCCGGATTTGACGACGAGGGCGAGACGGGAGGAGATGCTCTCGGTGGACTTTGCAGCCTTGGACTTTTTGGTGGGGGCCATCGCGGTCGTCGGAGTGGGTGTCGGTGGTGGCGTGCGGGACTGCTTGCTTGGGATCAACGGACTGCGTGAGACTGGGCAGTTTTTGGACAAGGTTTGATGTGGCCCTAACCCTGTTGTAGGGGCAGCCAAACAGGGCCAAAGGGATGGTGTGCGGGTGAGGTGATCGAGGAGTAATCGAGCAATGCACGCAAATCCAAGCCCTTTTATTCCGCTCCTCCTCCCCATTTCTACCCTCCTCCTGGCTAGCTTAAGTCGCGTTTTCTTCGTTGTGCTGATCATCTCCAGCATGCCGGCGTCTCCCTCCGTCCGCGCCGTGTCGCGCATCGCGTTCCTTGCCTCGGACACTCTCCTCGCTTCCGACTCCCAAGACGTCGCCGCCGCACTCGCCGCTCTGCCAGCAATCAAGCCAACGTCATCCGTGCAGCGTCTCCCCTCCGCGGCCGACCCCGGCGCAGCCCTCCTCCACGTCCATGCTCAGTCCCAGGGGGTCGTATCCTTCTTGACCATCTCCAATGGCCGTAACCTCCGTCAACTCGTGCCCCACCTCGCCGAGCTCGCGCATACACCCACCGTGCTGCACGTCGCCATTCCACCAGCCGACGACCTCTCCGACGCCCTTGTACTCCGCGCCACCGTCCCCATCTGCCTCTACTCCAGCACCGCCCAGCGCGCACACGATCACGCTCTCCTAGCAAGCCGCCTCGCGCGGACAGAAGGCCGTACCGTGCTACACATCTTTCATGTCGGCACCGAGGACGACCAGCTAGCTGAAATCGACGAGGGCGCCGTCTCGCCTTACCTTTACTCCGACAAGCCATCGTCACCGAATACGAATGGCCACTCCACCACAAACGGCAATGGCCTGCTCCCCTCTAAGCCTGTTGACGAGTCCGCAGCGCTCATCGCAGCGTACGAATCTGCGGCTGTCTCCACCGTCGGTCTCGTCCGTCGGCCCATTCGCGCCCTCAGCACGCACGGCGCGCAAGACCCAACCACCGTGCTCGTCACGCTCGGCCCCATCGCGTCCATCGACGTTCCAAACACTGCGTTTGTTGACGTCACGCTCCTCAAGCCCCTCCCGTCCGCATCGCTCGCAAACTCTATCCCCGCATCCGCCTCTCGCGTGCTTGTATGCGAGCACATCCGCTCCTGGTCCGCCAAGTGGACCCCGCTCTACCTCGAGACCGTCAGTGCGCTCCAGGAGGACGCGCGCGAGCACAAGCCGGTCGTGCAGAGCGTCCTTCTCGGCGACGCGCGTGGCGTCTCCGCAGAGGACGTTCAGAAGCTCATCGCTCGCGCAGAGAACGCCCCATCGGAGCGCCTTACCCTCGGAGCGACCTTGGACGCGTCGAGCGCGGCTGCAGTGCCGATCCCACATATCCCAAAGCACGAGGCGTCGTATACCAGCCTGCTGCACACGCTCTTCGGCTCCCGCCTTGAGATCGCTAACGACCCCTCACTTGTACCCACCCTCGGTGCGGCCGCAACGAGCCCCGAATTCACGCTCGGTCGCATACGCGGCGAGCTCGAGACACTGCAGCACCTTGAGGACGACGTACGCACGCTTCTCGGCGATAGCGCGCTGCCCGCATCCCTGCATGCGCTCCTCACCGAGTGGGCTGTCGGGCGGGGCAAGTCCAAGTCCAAAAAGGTCGATGCAGAGAAGGAGAAGGAGCTTGGCCAGAATATCGCGCGTGCTCTGGAGGACTGGGAGCGCGAATCCGGCGGAAGCTTGAAGGGTGCAGCGGCGCGGGTATCTGCTGCGAGGAACCTGTTCGCGGAGGGAGCAAAGGAGAAGAGCCGGTGGATCATCGGCAGCGATGCATGGGCGTATGACCTCGGCGCGTCGGGCCTGCACCACGCCGTCGCGAGCGGGCTGAACGTGAACATCCTCATCCTCGATACGATGCCCTACACGCGCGCTTCGCAGACCCCCATCAACAAGCGCAAGCGCGACGCCGGCCTCTACGCGATGAACCACGGCGACGCCTACGTCGCCTCCGTCGCGCTCTATTCGAGTTACGCACAGGTCCTGCAGGCACTCGTCGAGGCGGACCGCTTCGCGGGCCCGAGCGTCGTGCTCGCGTATCTCCCGTACGAGCACGAGGACACGCCCGCGCTCGAGATCCTCAAGGAGACGAAGCGCGCCGTCGATGCGGGCCACTGGCCGCTCTACCGCTGGGATCCGCGCAAGGAAGGTGAGGACGCGTTCATCCTCGATTCGGACGCGATCAAGAACGAGCTCCGCGCGTTCCTCGACCGCCAGAACCACCTCTCGCAGCTCGTCGCCTCGCGCCCCGCTCTCCCCGCGGAGCT